TTATGATCTGAATCCAACACCTCGCCCACCCCCCTGCCCTACTTTTGTCCTCCTCCAGCTGCGGCTTTTGGCTTTTTGAGCTGCTCTCTATAATTAACTGAAGTTGGCTATTTTTATGTCTCTCCCTCCTCGTTATCTATAGGCAATGGAGGACAAAGGGGACCCTCTAGGGTTCTCTAAGGATCTGCATTGTTCATATGAGAGGAACATGATGAATGGTTTTGCTGGCACTAGGGTTGTTGGAGAGGAGGGTGCCTCTAGGGCTACAGTAGTTGTTGTTGCACTTGTGGAAGCAATAACTGATGTGATTCCTTGTCCCTACTGTGAGAGGACCTTCAGCTCAAGGAAGGTGATGTGCATACACTTGAGATACCATATAGAGAGAAAATTTAGTATGTTGTCAACTCTTGGCATGTCGCAAGCTCCTCTTGCCGGTGGTAGAGAATGGTGCCACAAATGAAGACATTAAGGTATGGACACAAACGAGTAGGATGGTGTGAGCTTCACAGAGGAAGTGGTCGTCATTATGCTGCATGTCCATTCTCTCATCACAAACATGCTCATCCTAGCCATGGTGGGAGGTCAGTGCTTTGTGGTGACTTAGCTCTACAAGAAGATGACAAAGTTGCAATGGATTAGTCGGGAGGAGATGAATGGTGGGGGTGTAGGAGGAAAGGGAAAACCATGCCATAGTGACAAGAGGTCCACAGAAAAAGTGGCCTTAAACCTATTGCATTTCAATTCTAGCTTCTCAATGTCATCCACTATGCCAATAATAACCAAGAGGTTATTTTTGCACTACCACCAAGGTGACATTGGTAAGATCGAGGTAAGTTGGTGTTATGTCAACAATATGAAGGTAAGCGGTTCGAGTGGCAATAATAATAATCAAGAGACCTCAAAGAGGCAACACGTGCACATATGCAATAATTACACTAGGGTCTTTCCTTCAAGGCAAGCCTTTACTGGCCATATGTGTAGACATTAGAAAGGACCAAACATTGTTGTCATGTGCATTATTATTGTCACTAGGTTTTCAGAGAATGTGCAACTGGCATCACGAGGCAACATCATGGACATTTATCTAAACATATCATCTCCTCTTAGAGCATGACTCAGGCTATGTATCAAATATGATTTATGAAACTCTCTCTCTATGTTAGGTTTCTTCCTCCATATAAGTATTCTATCATGTATGATTTTTTGCTTACATATCTCTCTCTTTATATATGTATTTATATTTTGACAAGTATGCATTGAAATTGAACACTAGACCTATGTGTCAAGTTGATATTATGCTTGAATTGTTCCTTTGGCATAGCAGCTGGTGTGAGCTGACCCTATCTTCTATTCTAGAGGAAGCCTATAGAGGAAATGGAGTTGGCTCATATGAGGAGGAAGAAATAGCTAATTTGTGGCCCTTCAAATAGGATCGTGAAGCTCTGCCACTCAGCATGTCACTCACAAATACTCTAAGGTGGCATCAATCTAGATTTTGGCTAGACCAAGGTCCCATAGGGTTTCAAGAAGAACTTTGCCATCCTATTTTTTTACTCCTCTTGTGAGCTGACTTTATTTCCTCTATTGACTCCCTCTAGAATAAGAGATGAGGTCAGCTTACACCAACTACTACAGAAGAGTTGTTTAAGGCATGATATCAACTTGATCCATGAGTTTGCTGTTCGATTTCAGTGTATACTTGTCAAAATGTAGATATATACATATATATATATATAAATCATATATGATGGAAGACCTATGTGAAGGAAGAAGAAACATAGTGTAGAGAGGAAGTTTCATGAATCGTGCATGGTATGTTGCCCAAGTTGTTCTTTGGGAGGGTGACTTGTTTAGATTGATGTCTATGGTTTTATCTTGTGGTGTTGGTTGCACATTCTCTAAAACTCTAGGGGGCAGTGGGCATGACAGCGGTGTTCAATCTTTTTTAGTGTTTGCAGATGTGGCCATTGAGGGCCTGCCATGAAGGAAAAACCTTGGTGTAAATATGATATATGTGCATGTGGCATTTTTCTGATGTTTCCTAATTATTGTTGCTGCCCTCCAAACCTCTTACTTTCAGATTATTATCTAAGCAGCAACTCACCTCAATCTTGTTGGTGTCACATTGGTGACAATGATTTCCCTTTCCTTCTCTACTACCATCATTTAGCTTCTAGTAGACCAATTTGTGGCTTCCTCATCCTCTCCCTCAAGCAAGCTGAGGTAGCATTAAAATCTTGGCCTCCCACCAATGTGGTGGACAATGTTACGAAGTTGAAGTTGAAATGTAGTAGGTTTGAGGTTGCTTCTTCCATGGCCCTTTCATCATTGTGGCATGGATTTTCCTTTTCTTTACACCCCCACTATTAAATTACTCCCAACCAATCCACAACAACTTTGTCTTCTTCCTCCTGCATAACTAGGTCACCATGGAGCTCTGGCCTCCCGCTGTCACAATGAGCATGTTTATGATGATGGCTGCTTCCTTTGCGGAGATCACACTATCCTCCTTGCTTGTCTCCATGGCCCTTAGTGTCTCTATTTGCACCACCATTCTCTACCACTGTATTGTCAAGCAAAGCAACTTGTAACCCATCGGAGGAGGGCGTACACTAAGTTTCCTCTTTAGATGGGATCTTAGGTGCCTACACATTACCTTCTTTGAGTGGAAGGTCTTCCCACAGTAGGGACAAGGAATCACATTAGTTCTTACTTTTACTAGTGTAATGGTGGGTGTTGCATCCCTAGAGGCGCCCTCCCCTTTGGCAATCCTAGTTTTGGTGAAACTATTCATTGGATGTTGCATGTCCTCCCTTATGGACATTGTATATCCTCAAAGAACCTTGGAGGGTCCATTTTGTCCATTGATTATAGATAGTGAGAAGTGAGAGATAGAAAAATACTTGAGTTCATTTAATTATAGAGAGAATAATTTGAAAATGAAACCTTACGAAGGAAAGGAATAAGAAAAAGAAGAAGAAGAAGAAGAAGAGACCAATGTCCTTTGAATTGAACAGTTGAGCTTTTGTATGCCCCTATGGGATGTGATTTGAAGCCCTCCTTATATCTTGTAGATGAGAGAGTGTTAATAGCAGACAAGAACACTAGCTTTAACCTCATGTAGGCAAGAATTGATTATTTAACATGATGAAGTTAGCCTCTATGCGAGTGTGAAAAACAAAAAAACGTAATTTTGCAAGAACTAAGAGCTGTTTGAATTAAGGATGTTAGAGATGAGATTAACAAGGGTGATGCTGCAAATAGGTGCAGAATAGAGAGATAGAGAGAGGGAGGGAAAGTAAAATCGTGAGATAAGGAATCACATACTTTCGACGAGATTCAAACTTCCCATAGAAGATTGCAACAAGAGGGAGCTGAAGATGAGGGTGTGTATGATGGATGATCGGGCTCATCCTGTCCGTTATCTATTGTTTGATGGCCACTCTAGCTTTGCACTCCTCCGATTGTTACTTGGCCTGATCTCTAGTACACTTTTGTTTCACGTTAGTCTGTGCAGCTCCAAGGGAAAATTGTCATGCCATGTATTCTCCGGTAGTCTATGGATTTCCTCTTTTATCCAACCTTCTCAAGTACTGGATATTGGCCCTTGACTGTTTAATCTTGCATATCAAATCATCGGTGCCTCGTTCTTTTCATTTGAACTAGTGATTGTGTTTATTTTGTTATTTCTTCAGTCCTCTTTATGGGGATTTTTTTTCTATGTGATCATTTGGAGGCGAGTGTTCATGTTCCCCTCTTGCTTCTGCTGATCTTGGTGGTTCATTTGCTGAATCCTAGAGGGATTTCGATGTCTAGTTCCAGGTACATAACCATCTCCTTGTCTTTCTCATGCTCCCCCGTGTTGTTTTCTTTTCTTCTTCTCAAGTGGTTCTAGTTTCAGTCGTCTACCTTAGGAGATTCATTATATGCATTCGGATTCCCAACATTAAACAGGTGTTTCAACAAGTGCTGCTCTAATCAGTTGGTCTCTTTTTGCCTCCTGTAGTTGTGTGCACTTAGCATTTATCGTGTTGGTGGATCACAATCTTAGTGTCCCCTTTAGGTAGCAGGATAATGGCCAGCTGGCGGCAGTCAGTTGATGAGTTCGAGCAGTCAGTGATCCCTTTCTTGACCAAAAGCAGAGTGTGAAAATGAGAAGACGATCAGTGGTAGGGTGGGCCTTTTCCAGGTCTTAGGACAAGGCATTCAGGTGTCTCTTTCTCAAGATAATCAATAATGTCAGTCTAGTATTAGGACTCTGTGATCAGAGACATACACGAGGACAGTAGACTTCCTGGTTTCTAGCTAGAGGAGATGTTGAGCATCTGATGGTGGAGGCGCATGGTTTGTAAGTGAAGTCATTATTTGCACTTCTTTGTTTGTACTATGTTTCACTGGATGATTCTACTCAGCTCTCTTTATTTCATTCAGTATAGACTGAACATTTTCTACAGTATTCCGTCCTCAAATAGAAGGGCAGGCATAATGACTAAATGGCATGCTAATGGAAGGGAATGGAGAGCATTTTTGACAATGTGTCCATAAGACAAGACAGTTAGGTCAATTTACTCGACATTACCAAGTTCACTCACAACATGCAACAGAGCATTTAGAATGGTCCCCCAATCACAAGAGTATGCAATGACAACAAGAAAGCACAATGGTACCATGGTACAATGGTCCATTCAAAATCACAGTAAAATTGAGGTGTGCCTATCACCAACAATTACCTCAGAGACTTGCAGTACATCCCATCTTTCATGTCTCGTTAATTAAACCCTACCATGTAGATTTGGAGGATTCCATTTAGAATTGGGTGAAGGGGCCACTTCAGAGGATCCCAGATAGAATTCAAAAGCTATACTTGACAACCATAAGATTTGAGGTGGAGTGGGGTATTGTGGATACTTGACCAAATCGCATGACAGATAGCTGAAGAGGCCACTTGAGAAGATGATATAATTTTGTGGTAGTTCGAAGACCTTGTCCTCCAATTTCATATGCAACCGCATCAATGGGCCTGTGGAAATTCGAAAGGGGAGTGGGATAAAATTTTGGTATTAGAACCTCATAGATGGTATGTGCAGCATCTATGAGGTTCTAATAGCATGCAGAACAATGGCATGTGCAGCATGGTGGGTGCACGACACAAAGGGTGCATGTGACATAATGGTAAGCCTGATAACATGGAAATGATGTCACCAATGGTTAGATAGTTAATCCTACATCAAGGATAGGATTGACTACAAGGGACCTGAGCCCCCTTGTGGGTGGTTACTCTGAGAGTTCTAATTATAGATGATGATTCTTTATACTAGACCTCTCAATCAATTGATCGATTTTCAATCATTGAATTAAAATATGTCATTTATTATTTATACTAAATTGATAATCTGTAAATTAGCCTTAAAATCATGGTGAGTTTAGTCTGATCCACAAGGATGATTTTCAAAATATGTATATCAAATTCTTGTTCACAGGCACTTGTATATTTTTGAATCAAGAGAGACTGAAAGGCACTGTAAATGTTTCACTCTCTCGAATTCCTAGCTGCTGATTAACAAGAGAGGAAAGAGGTAAAAAGGGGGGAGAAAATAATATGTATAAATCAAGTCAGGTTTAATGCTGAGATTAAAGCCAAATAGCCCATCTTTCAACCGAGTGCAAAGAAAAATGTTGTTGAATTGGTCTTGAGGATAAAACAGACTAGAAATAAATCAGTAACTTGACAATTTAGTTCTGCTGAGTGCCTACCACCCACACGACTAAGGTAATATAAATAATGAACTCGAAACAAAAATTCAGTCAAAGGAAATTTAGTCTAGAAGCCCCCTGCTTTGCTGCTTCACTAATTCTACCTATCACCCAGACTGCTGGAAGGGAAGGCTTCCCTGCTGCTGCTGTTGTACGACCAGCCATAAACACCGTCTTCATGCCGTTGTGGTTATGCTACCACCATCATGCCACCATCACTGCAATGCTCATGTTGCTGCCATCACCACCACCCCCACAGCCTCTGCCTATCATATGGAGGGCTGGGTGCCCTAGCTCTTATTGGGTCCCTCTTTCTCCCTCTCTCTCTTCCATCTATCTACTGAATCACAGAGTGTGTAGATCTATCAAAGCTATTAAATGAAAATTTCTCATGGCCTTGAGAAGTATCTTAACAACTTTTCTATTTATTCAACCACAACCATAATTCCACTATGCTACTAATTCAATTAGTTTATTGAATTTTTTTCTTAAGTGAGGGTTGTTCATAATCATGTACTATGAGATAGAAATAAAATTTTATGAGCAAAGTTTAATGTGTACTTCACATAAATTGTACATTTTTAATTTTTATTTCATTCTAGTGTCTTCCCCCCCAAACTTAAGGTGTCATTCTCTTCGATGACATATCAAATAAAAAATAAAAATTCATGTATAGGAGCGATGTGAGTGAAGAAACAAAATTAGAACATGGGTAGTGATATGTTAGGAAGTATATTGGTACCTCACATGGGATTAATGTTCAATTTCTTGGATGTTGTTCTATAGACAACAATTAAAATAAGAAACAATGGACACAAATTCCAAAAAGTACATTGAGTTGCCTCCCAATAAGATCTAAGTTTAATGTCATCAGCTAGACATAAATAAACATGGTCATATGAAGTAATGATTTCAGAAAAGTACACCTACTCATTTTCTAAATACAATATGGGATGTTGATCATTAAGTATCATTATTTGCCATTATGTAGATATAGTATTTTTACAACATCATTGTCATAACCATTTAAAACAAAATAAAATGGACCGTCCCAATGTGATTTTAACTTTCTTGGAAATAACCAAAGTCATGTATTTCTAATGGAAACCTTAGCTTTATCAATCTAAGAACATTCATAAGCTTCGTTCCAAAGTTCTTTTAGTTCCATAATTTGTAAGGTTCTATGTTTTCCAACACCTAATAAGTCCACATTGAGTTGCTTAATTACCTAATTGGATCTATGTTCCAATTTGACGAGTAAATGACATCCCTTTATGAATACAAGTCTATAAGAAGAGCTCCAATTGACATTTTATATGTTGTCCTATGGGCCTACAATGTCTCATCTAGTCTTTGATCCTTGCAAGCAGGTATGATAACTTTTTTTAGGAATCTTCTTGATTTCCCTATTGGAAACTTCCATTTGACTATTAGTTTGAGCAAGATATAGGGCAACTACTTTGTGTGATATGCCATATTTCTTAAGTAAAGATCAAAACTGAAGATTAGAGCAATGTAAACTATCATCGCTAATAATAGTTTTATGACAAACAGATATAAGATAAAATGCATTTTTTAATAAATTTTACAACTTATTATGATTATTTTTTCAAGAGTCAACAAGTTAAATCAATTATGATACATAATCTATAGTTACTAAAATATTTAAGCTGTAACTATGTCAAATATGCATGACCTATCATGTAATAATGAGGCTTCATCAACTTTCAACAATAAATTTGAGCAACATACATGAAGGACACCCACATGCACAAGCTATTGAGCCAGATTAAAGAAATGACGACAAGGTGCTATTGGATAGATGACATCATCTTATGCATAAGGGGACACTGTATATATATCTAAACTACTATGAACATCTAGAACACATAAATTATGGTCACATGATTCACTATGGTCAGAGCATCCAAGACAACAACAAACCTTAACATTGTTTAGTCATGACTACTTATAACCAATGTGAAAGCTTATGTCTGAGTCGTGCCAGATATGCCAATTAAGACAAGAGTATTGACAACAAGTAGACCTTGACACACCATCATCCTGGATTTCATTACATGCCTCCTCAAGAATAGACCAAATGATGTCATTTTAATCATTGCTAACAAACTCTCTAAGTATTAGATCTTTGTCCAAACAAGCTATCATTGTAGTACTAAAGATGCTGCTCAACTGATCTTCAAAAAGCCATCATCAAGAACTAGGGCTTACCTTAGATGATCATAATTGATCATGACATTGGAGAGTTTGGAAAGTGTTGTTCACCAAGTTGGGCATGCAACTACCCTTCTCCATTGCCTATCACATGAAGACAAATGGACATACATAGTGCCTCAACATATTGTTGTTAGAGTACATTAGGCAATGTCACAAGATTGTAAGACAATTGAATGGAGCTGTTTGACACAAAATAACTAGCATACAACCTCCAATGCAACAGTGCCACTTGTTACTCTTAATTAAAATTAGTAACAAGTTGCCAACCATTGATGCTCCTACAACTTCTAGATATGCCTAAACCGTGCCATGCAACATCAGGACTGCCACATCATCACATGAAAACACTAGACGAAGCAAATATAACCTACAAAGGGACATTGATGGAATGAAAAGATAAGTTGACTGATGCCGTCAAAAAGTAGATTTTCAAGTGGGCGAACAAATGCTACTATGAATGCACTTAAAAAATCCACAATTGCACACAAAACACCTCAAAGAGGGACCCACTCTGTGTCATACAACATACAAAACAAACTCAAAGAGTAGCAAGGGACACAAGGCCTTGCCCAATGGCCACCCAAGGGAGAACAACAGTCAAGTGTAACAAGTATGAGGGGCCCTTGTCATAAATAGAGGGACCAGACCAACTAGAGACAATGATGAACCTATTTAGACAATTCTTTGAGAGTTCTTTGCCTAGAAGTGGAGGGTTAGCTAGGGAGAAAAAGTCACCTCATTGCCTAAACCCTACTTTGTGGCATTTCCCACTTTCAGAGAACCTAAATATACATAAACCCAGTTCATCAATCCCCTGCAAGAGCACCGGACATCTCAAAATAATAATCCTCTACGGTGAAGGTCTGCCAAACTTCTGGAAGAAAAAGGAGAAATGAACCTCACAATTTTTTCAATGCCAATACGAAATATTAGTCAATCACAGACAATAGTTTCAAAACCATGAGACTAAGTAGATGGAAAATTATTACTCAAGAAACTGAAATGGCAGTGATTACTGACATCTGACCAGGAAAACGCTGAAAATTTATGGTCTAGTTAGTACCATATGAATTGATCCATCTTACAATAATCTCGCAGCAGTGGATAAAAGCGAGGCCTGTCCAACTCGTTGCAAATTGGTTTTGAGTCGAATAACACTGATAATTTTGCTGTTGCATCATAGTTGAACTGCATTTACCCCATTGATTCAAAAATAGAGAATTTGCCCTGCAAGTAAAGGAATAGGCCAACTCCACTGGCAGTGAATTGAGTTTCAGTCTGAAGGCTCTCATAACATTAGCCTTAAGCAACTTGGAAAAAATTTCATCGCCTGTGGGAAGTTCTTCTAATCAGAAAAATGTGCTAGTTGATGAAGAATGGTCACTGGATTGCCACCAGAGAGGGGAAAATGGACGTAGGTCACCGAATTAAAAAACAATAGCAGACACAAGAGTCAGAGTGAGTGAGTGAGTGAGTGAGTGAGAGAGAGAGATACTCTACGTCTTTGGCCTTCATCACCTGTTGAGCTTTTTCCTTTGACTCGTACATCATAATGCCATATCCCTCGGGTCTCCTGGTTAAGTTGTCCCTGATTAACCTCACTGTGAAACGATTTAAATGCCCTTCATCAGAGGGAACAAAGGTGAAGGAAACCACCATAGAAAAAATGGAGAAATCTCGAGGTATACCATAGCAAACATTTTTAACTGAAATCGAACGAACACATTACAGATAATAGAAAGGCCCAAGAGTGCCCAAGATGTCCATGTCACACAGCCACACACAAATTGTGAGGTAGAGATTGAGAGGGAGGGAGGATGAGATTTCCTTTTTAGAAGTACCAATCAGAAACACCTTCAAAAGAGGACTCAAAAATGGATGGAAATCCGCTGGCAACATCCTAACAACATAAAGGGTTCAGATTCCGGATCCTTTGAAGGTCAACCCTTCATAGCTAGCACTAGTAGAAGAACCCAAGGACCTTGCCGCCGACGTTCTTCCTCCTCGCATCTTCATGGTCCATGATGCCCGCAGAGGTCGTCAGCACGATGTACCCAAACTGCAGATTCCGAGACGGAAATAAATAAATAGGTAAATAAATTGGCCGACTAAGGTTCAGATTGCAAGATATTACTACGATGAAGAGAAATGACGCAATCGTCAAATCGATCGCGAGGGCTGACCTGCCGGGAGGGAAGTAGCCTTGCGGTCCACGGCTCGATTTCTTTGACTCCCACGTCAAATCTAGGGCTGATGACGCCGCACTTGTTCAGTCGGCCGTTCAGCTCAACAACGATTTTGCCAGCCCTGTGATCGTCCACGTACTCGAACTCCCCAATGTAGCCTGAGGCCCACTATGATGATCAGAGATCGTACCAAAATTAGGGGAAAAAAAAGAAGAAGAAGGCGTGATCTATGGGGGGGCATACCGTGCTTCTGCATGACGAGGAGGAACTTGATGATCACCTTGGAAGACGGGCGGATCAGGACCTGCCGCTTCCCCCGCTTCTCGGCATTGTACATGCTCTTGAGAGCGTCGTTCAGGACGCTGACTCTCACCATCTCGACGAAGACTGCAAGCAACGACAGCAGTTCAAGAGACGACACTAATTTACAAATCGATGAGAAAATTAAGAAACCCATTTCAGGCCATCAAAGGGATCCCCCCCCTCATAACCAAGCCTGGTCCGAAGGATTGAGAAAAGCTTAGAAGAGGGGTAAGAAAAGCGCACGAAAGCCGGATTGTCGAAGATGTTATTCGCCACAGCCCACGGCTTAAGAAGAAGTGACTCAATTTCTACACGATTATCGTCCTTCCCCGATTCGGAAGAACGTTCGGATCTGATAACCTGGCCGAGGGATGGGCTATAGATCCTGCAGAAGGGCGGATGCCGACTCAAGCGACTAGGACTCACAACACCTTAAAGAAAAGGAGAGACAACACCATACCAGCAGACGCGCCACGACGCAGGCTTCAGGACGGAAGAGAGCTGAGACGAAAACCCTAGCCGCCTTCTTAAACCATGCTCTCTCTCTCTCTCTCTCTCTCTATCTCAGAGTTGGCACTCAGTACGCACAAATATTGGGCTTTTCTCAAAGCTTTGGGAGGTCTCTCACAGAAAAAAAAAGCCCATTCATAGTAAGGGTATTTTAGTAGTTTACCACGATACATTCGAGAAGAGATATAAAAATGGGGATGTCCCCTCCAGCCCTAACCTCCTACTCTGCCGCCGCCTCCAACCCGCAGCGCTGCCGCAGTATCTCGTCGTCGGCTCCTTCTCTCTTCGCCGAGGTACGTCCGGAAATAATCACCGCATAAAGAATTATTTCCATCCAGTTTGCAGAGCGCAGACGCCATCGAAAGCGCCTCACTGTGATCCAGCTTTTTTCAATGGATTACTGTCCACTGTGTTTAATGGAAACTGTGATATACAAGATATGAGATGGTCTCTCCATCTCCGATAATTCCCCATCCGTTTCTTATATTTTTTTACTTTACTTTTCCTATTGATCTGATGTAAATTAGTGTCGTCTCTTGAACTGCTGTTGTTGCTTGCAGTCTTTGTCGAGATGGTGAGAGTCAGCGTCCTGAACGACGCTCTCAAGAGCATGTACAATGCCGAGAAGCGGGGGAAGCGGCAGGTCCTGATCCGCCCGTCTTCCAAGGTGATCATCAAGTTCCTCCTCGTCATGCAGAAGCACGGTATGCCCCCCCATAGATCACGCCTTCTTCTTCTTTTTTTTCCCCTAATTTTGGTACGATCTCTGATCATCATAGTGGGCCTCCTCAGGCTACATTGGGGAGTTCGAGTACGTGGACGATCACAGGGCTGGCAAAATCGTTGTTGAGCTGAACGGCCGACTGAACAAGTGCGGCGTCATCAGCCCTAGATTTGACGTGGGAGTCAAAGAAATCGAGCCGTGGACCGCAAGGCTACTTCCCTCCCGGCAGGTCAGCCCTCGCGATCGATTTGACGATTGCGTCATTTCTCTTCATCGTAGTAATATCTTGCGATCTGAACCTTAGTCGGCCAATTTATTTACTTATTTATTTCCGTCTCGGAATCTGCAGTTTGGGTACATCGTGCTGACGACCTCTGCGGGAATCATGGACCATGAAGATGCGAGGAGGAAGAACGTCGGCGGCAAGGTCCTTGGGTTCTTCTACTAGTGCTAGCTATGAAGGGTTGACCTTCAAAGGATCCGGAATCTGAACCCTTTATGTTGTTAGGATGTTGCCAGCGGATTTCCATCCATTTTTGAGTCCTCTCTTGGAAGTGTTTGTGATTGGTACTCCAAAAAAGGAAATCTCATCCTCCCTCCCCCCCCCCCCTCTCAAGTGTTCGGCCTGAATATTGATCGGATCGTAGAGAGAGAGAGAGAGTTTCAATAAACGCAAGAAGAGCCAGCCAGTTAGCATTTTCACTAGTTTTCTTAGTAGCCACATGGACCGATAAGCGCTTATGAGAAGGTTACAGGGGAGTAGATTGACAAACGATGGCCTACCTCCTCAGGCTCTCGACGATGTAGTTTGCGTAGAGATCCCTTCAACAGAGAGAAAGCGGGTGTCAGCTTACGGAGAAGAACCGGCGGAACGTTGGACGGATCACGGGCTCTGCTCAAGGATGAATCTTACATCGAATGTTTGATGGCTCTGAACGCGTCCGTTGAGGGCAGGAAGTCGTTCACCGCAACATCCTTGTTCTCGTTCTTCTTGTCTGATTCTCCATCGGTCAAGGAGACATCTCTCTCTCTCTCTCTCCCTCTCTCTCTCTCCTTCCTCTGTCTGATGAAGAGCTACAGAGAAAATAATGAAGGATACAGTCCTCGAAGAAGCGGCGAATCTCTGCCAAACGGTGGGGCGGGAGCTCCTTGATGTCAGTGTAGTGCCGGTACTCGGGATCGTCCGCACAGACCGCTATTATTTTGTCGTCCTTTTCACCCTGTTTTTTTTTTTGCCCAAACGAGCATAAGTAGCATGAGAACCTCCAGAGTTCCACCACCGGAGCCATCAGACAGATTCAACTCGATTCAATACCTGGTCGATCATAGGCATGAGGCCAATGGCCTTTGCCCGGAGAAAGCAGCCTGGGTGCACAGGTTCCTGCATTCGACCGTGTTTGAGCTGATCTCTGGGTGTTTAATGGATTAAATTACTCTTAATAAATATCAGCAGACCTCAATTCAGAAAGATCATCTGGGTGGTTCTCTCAAGTTTCTCATTTCACGTATAAAACCCTGTTCTTTTAACCTCATGATAAGTTTGAACCCAGAATCCTACACGCACCTGCATGATGACCAGAACGTCCATAGGATCGCTGTCCTCGCAGATGGTGCGTGGTATGAAACCATAGTTGTGGGGGTACACTACTGAGGAGTAGAGTACACGGTCTACCTGCACATATAAAGGGTGACGCAGAGAGACTAGTTAAGTTTCTTGAGATATGATGCGAATGAAATAATCGCAAAGAGATGAAGGCCGACAGGTGCTGGGCCACAGCAAGAAAGCCAGACTGGGACAAGATGGGCGGTTACTTGGAAATAGGTCTGGTGGCCTACATGTATATTGATTGACAGCAAATAGACCTACCCATATGAGGTATCAGACAGTGCATGAAAATAAAAAGGCAAGCATCTAACATCAAAATGAAAAAAAAAAAAAAACTACAGAAATATAAAGCTGACTGAAAGCTTGCGTATTTGATGGGCACTGAGCCCAATGGCTGCCTTGCACGAGAAAGAGAGTCGATGATCTCATGATTTCAGATCATTCAAGAAGAGAGAAAAAAGTTGACTTTTACAACAACCTTTATGAGACCCGTTTTCTTGTCAAGCTCATATTTCACCTTACTCCCCTTCCCTATTTCCACCACCTGCAGAAAATGACCCACGTTATGGTACTTTAATGGGAGAATATGTATGGTACCGGGAAACCCAAGCTAAGGGCCCTCTACGATTTGACAGAAATAACACTAAAATATAAGGCGAGATGAGAGAGACAGAGGAAATTGAAGTTTAGATTTTTTTGCATTACTTCCAAAATATTTTAAATCTAGAATATGAAAAGTTTGATGCTCGCCACCTATAACTACTACCAGAGAACAGAGAATTTTAAACAGAAAAAAGAGGGATTCCAGATTTTAAGATGACATGTAATTTTTTTGTCCTTCAGAGAACTACATGCATTATAAGAGAACGTTGAGCAGTGTTAGAAGAGAAGACACATAAACCCTAAAAAAGCATGATAAACTTGTTGCCCTAGACGAAACTTCAAATTATTGATGGACGTGTAGATAACTTTCATGGTACTGACAAAGGATAGATTTTATTCAACATCCTACAATGAATGGCAGTGAAAGATGCAAATTGGAGAGAACAAGATTAGAATTTCACTTGTGCCTTTAGAAATAACTGTCTCAATGGAATCCTTTTTTTATTATTATTGTTTGAATATTCAGGAGCTAAGACCCTTCCAATGCTCCTTTCCAAAGCATGAAATTCGTTCAAGAAAAGCCTTTTAACGTGTTGTAATTTATACTGATAAAGAGGAAACTACCAACGCTATAGAGATGGCAGGAAGAAACTTTTCTTCTCGGTTTAATAAAAATTAGTTGGACGCATTAAACGTGTAATCTAAGTGTGTGGTGTATACTGTTAATCAATGCTGTGGAATGTCTTTGTCATGGAATTCTAAAAACACAAGTGAAATTTCAGAAAAAGGCTACAACAGCTGTCCCTTCGCACGAAATCCCTTCAAATGTTGTGCTATTCTTAAACAAACAAATTGACCATCAATATCAGCGGCACTAGGCACTGAAACAAAAATCGCGATGTTACAGAAAAATATCGAAAAATATCTGAGAAATGAAAAGCATCTATGAGAAACAAATGACATTGTACTACCTAAACCAGACACAAAGATGAATGTTCAAAAGAAGAAGAAAAATCCTAGATAATTCAATTATATATCAAATTAGAAATTCAGTTCCTATTTAAAAAATAATAATAGTTCAGCAACCTTACACAATTGAAAATGATAGGAGCTTCAGGTCCTGCAATCACAAAAAGGAGGCTCAGAAAAAATATTACTGTTGACTTGAATGAAAGAAAAAATGTCAACAACGTTATGCAGCAACGAGGTACGTGGCAGTAGCTGCACTAAAATCAATTACCTATCTCAAGATCATGCCAGGGATGCGCTGCAACTGCCCTCCTCGACATGGATGCAATAATTCGTTCATTGAGCTTTATTGTGGATGGGCCTGACTCAGGAGTCTTATCTGAAGATTCCACAGATGCAGCCATGGCAGCAGGCTAACACGAAGCCAAAGAAACATCACGTTTTACGATTATATCCGGGGACCGTATTAAAATAAAAGTAAGAAAATGTAGGGACAGCACTGTGAAATGCAACAGAACATAATTGATCGACATTGATCGAGCTCAATATTCCACACTAGCAACTTTAGCGTGACAAAAAACTGCTGAACAGGTTAAAAACAGTCGCAAAACAAAGTGAGATCACTCGTCTTAAATTAGGCATTAAAGAAGGAGAAAAAGATAAGGAGGTAAAACGAATTAACGTTAAATGAAGGAAAGAAAAAGTCGATGTTAGTCCCACTGACACGGAAGTTATTGTTGACACTGACTAGTCCACACAGTTCTTTATGCTCAATGAATTGGTATCTGGTGCGCAAAGTTCAGTCAAGGCAGATAATCGCCTCTTACTGTTAGAACGGAGTTGCTGCGACGGATTAAAAATAAGACTTGGGGAGCCACCACACAACTACTTTGGAATTATCGGGTCAAATGCTGTTTCACCATAAGAAAGTTTCACCGCCTTAAAAAAGAAAAATTCACAAATATTTGAGTTAATTCTAGTCAAAATCACCGAAAATCATAAAATGATTAAAAAACATTCGATAATAAGTCCCCAGACAATTCCACGTTTCAGATTATGGTTCGGAACAGAGGACAATTGCACTTAATGGGGACGAGTTTCTCATTGCCTATTATTTAGACCTCTTTCGGCGAATGACGTGCATTGATGCATAATGGCTGTCTGTACCGAAGGCGGGAGAAGGAAACGTCGACTCTGAGAAAAGTAGCCCTATGAACGTAAATACAGAGACACAACCACCCTCACACAATTTGGTGGCAAGAACAGTGACTAGGGAGCGGACCGTGGTACGACCCCGCCGCCTCGGTCTTGTTCCATGAGGTTATCCTAGAACACAAACCCCCCTCCGCCCGCAGAGAAACGCTTCCAAATGAAATAGCAGAAAACTAGGGATCCAACCGTGCGACGGCTCTTGATGGAGTGAAATAACCACGCCGCTGGGAGCGTCCCCCAGCTCCATCTTGAATGTCGAACGTTCGGTAGAAAAAAGACACTCTAGAATCGCCGTCACTTTCCTGGGGGGTCGCGCTGCCGGCGAAAACACCGACGAGACGCCGATCCAATCCACCAAACAACACAAAAACGAAGGCAGAAGATCGTCGCAACATCGCATCCAACAGAACCTACCGCAGGCGGCGATATGCTTCGAAAGTCGGACGAGATCAGACCCCCCGAGCTGCGCGCCCTGCCGCGAGGAACGGTGGAGAGAAGAGATGGTGAACAAGAGGACAGCTCACCGGAGTGACGTTCCCGCTTCCAACCAGTCAACCCGCTTTTGTTCGTATTTGGTCTCTCCTCCGATATTTTTCCCATCATTTTTCTATGTTTCCTACTGAAAATGTCCGCACGTGTGGACGAACCACAGCACGTGATCTATAAATATTTCCGTTAGGTCCTCATTGATAATTTTATTTCCTTTTACTGGATGAATAGCTTCGTTCATGGGACTAAAATGACACATATGAAATACTTCGAATTATTAAGGTACAGCAGCAAAACAAATTATTGATTAACATATGGAAAGGGGTAGAGAAGGTGCTTTCGTCTAGGGTTTAGCTGAGGAAGGTAGCTGTGGGATTTTCGGCTGAGGGAAGCAATGTGGTGTAACGGCATCTTCAGCGTGAGGGGGTCCATCGACGCGCTTCGAGCTTTTCGGCATCGATCGAGGAGTTTCAGCGCTGAGATTTTCGTCAGCAGTAGGTCTCCGTTCCTCTCTTGGTCGTGCCGTCTGGTGGCTTCATTTCTGTCTATGGATCCCGTGCTGATTGTCTCCTGACTGAGCCCTAAATCGTCGTGGCGCGTGGCAGGGTTATCATCATACACTACGGAAGAGGATTTCAGATCTACGTTTTCACCTTTTGGCAACATTGAGGAAGGTATATCTTTCTAATGATTTGGCCAATGAATTTCAGAGTTCAGATCAAAATCTTTGTCGTGGTATGCGTCAATGTTTCTCCTTTTTTCTGTCGAGGTTTCCATGAGCTTTCTTCCCTCTGTTGATTTGCATTTATATCGTTTCACAGTCAGGTTAATTAGGGACAAGCTAACCCATAGACCCAAGGGATATGGCTTTGTGAGGTACGAGTCAAAGGAAGAAGCTCAACGGGCGATGAAGGCCATGGATGGCAGGGTATCTATCTCTCTCTGTGTGTCTATCTATCGATCTATCTATCTATCTCTCGTGTGTGTGCTATTGGCTTTCATTTTGGTGATCAGCGGCCATATTTCTCTCCTCCGGTGACACTCTAGGGACCGATTCTTTATCAACTAGTGCATACTTTCCTGATTAAAACATCTTGCCGCAGTCCGACGAAAATTTGGCTAAGCAGCTAGATGCTAAAATTATGTCAGCTTTACAACTCAAACTCCATTTACATCCGGGGGAACTGGCATATCCCTTTACCTGCAGGCCGAATTCTCTGCTTTGTCGTCACATGAACAACACGAATAACATAAATGGGGTAAATGCAGTTCAATAGTGATACCACAGCAAAATTATCCGAGTTATTCGACCCAAAACCAATTGGCAACCAGCGGGATGGGCCCCGCTTTTATCCACGAGATTAATTTTCTTATCTACCAAAGCGATATTATTGCAAGACTGATCACTCCATATGATATGAACCAGATCATATATTCTATGTGTTCCAGATCATTGAAGAATCATGGTGTCCGTTCAAAAGTCAGGAGTAGTCACTGCAGTGTGAGTTTCTTCAGTAATCATTTTCCATCTAAGTCGTCTCATGGTCTTGCAAATCTTGTCTGTTATCGACTAAGATTTCCCATTGACATTGGAAAATTGTGAGGATCACTTATCCATTTTTTTCCAGAAGTTTGACGCACCTTGGCTGTAGAGAGTAATTATTTTGAATTGTCCGTTGCTTTTGCAGGGGATTGATGAACTGGGGTCGTAATGGATATATATATTGGAGAATTAATTTTTCAGTGGCCCATTTATCCTTTGAGACGTTTAATATATTCTCATCCGCGGGTGCCACTACCAATATTATGTGAATTGATAGAACTGCCCGAGAAAATAAGCAAGGGCCATTAATGAAACACCATGAATGTTATTATTGTGTCTAATCTGCTAGCTTCGGTTCTAGTCCGGTTTTTTGGAGCTTGAGATTCCCCTGTAATTCCATCTCGTCTCATGATCTTTGAGCCTACTTATTCACACTGATTTTGTTTTTATATTACCTAGGGAAATCACCCAGAGCTTCCCATATGAGTTGCTGTAATTTAATTCAGTTATTATTATTATTATGATCCTCAAACATAATCATCATGTATTATTTTTAGTGTTAGTCATTGTCGCGTTGACCTCTGTCTCATGTTAGCAGATAGTCGAAGGAAGGTTGATCTTTGTGGAAATCGCGAAATCTGAAGAAGGGAACACACCGTGAGAGCATCAATCACACCGTGGGATCATTCAGACATCTTCTCCGGGCAGTAAAGAAGCAGCCAGAATTCGGCGAGCAAGGATCATTACGCCTCCACCCACGCAAAGTCAAACCCTCGAGAGTTCCCATCAACCTTCTCTCAAACCGCTGTTCTTCACAGGCTCCACGCGTATGTTCCTGCCGTCCAACCGCTGAAGACATGAGAAGGAGGGTCAGAAGTAGGAGAACCAGAACGAGCCCAAGAAGGAGTTCTCACCTGGCCATCCATCTCTTGAAGGGCTTTCATGGCTCCATCTTCCTCGGCAAACGTCACAAATCCAAACCCTTTCGATCTCCCGCTCACTCGATCGCAGACCACATTCACTGTCATATATATGATTTCCAGACGTGATCTTCTGTGTTCTTATGGATATGTGATAAGTAGGTGCAATCATGGGATACCTCTGACCACTTCCCCATGCCGTCCAAAGGCGTCCTTCACGGTGGCTTCATTCGTGTCATAGGAGAGCCCTGCAATTGACCGAAGCGGGCAATAGAGATAGAGAGAGAAAGAGAGAAAGAGAGATGGTGATTTGGATGTACCTCCCACGAACAAGGTCGAGGTTTTGGAAGGAGCCTTTTGGCTGAGTTGCCTGGTCCCAGGGCGGAGGAGGATGATGGCTCGAGGCAGCATTCTCTCTCTCTCTCTCTCTCCCGCGAGCTTAGAGGGCGGAAATATACTCCCAGTGGCGGCCTCGTCGTCGAGGTCTTGAGTAAGAACTCTTTCTTCGTTCTCGATGCGTGTTCGGATCTACCGGATGATTGCCAGAGGGGGGAAACCCTAATCCGACCCTCGAAGGTGCTCCAGAGACAGAGCCGCAAGAAAGGATGAAAGAATCAACGACATTGAAGGGGGGGAGGAGTCCGCAGTGGAAGCGGAAGCGGCGGCCACGGCGGAGGAGGAGGATCCCTGTTCCGGTGGTCTTCTGGTGGGGGTGTTTCTCTGCGGATGATCATATACTGTCCTCTGGGGATGTAAATTGAGGCTTGATTGAGGGTAAATGCTATCTGAATTGGACGGATGCGATTATTTCTTGCTCATCGCCGGTCGGAGAGAGAAGTGAAGAGGAGATTTGTCGATCGGGCTAGGGTTTTTGCTAGTAGGGTTCGTCGTTGGTCGTCCTGCCGGAGGAGATGGCGCAGTTCACTCGATTGAACGGGCTCCGCCGTCTCCTCGGAGGCCTCTTGTCCAACCATCAGCCACCTCCGCCGTCGAGGTTCTTCCTGGCCTATAACAGCTCTTCCTCCTCAATCTTCGACGACGGCGGCAGCGGCACCTCCAATGCTCCTCCTCTGACCATGCCGAAGCTCTTCGTCAGCGGTAAGCTCTCTCCCTCCCTCCCTCCCTCCCTCCCTCCCTCCCTCCCGATCCCCCTCTTCTCTCTCGCTCTCTCTCTCTCTCTCTCTCTCTCCCCCTCCCTAGACGATCGTCGTCGTTTAGATAGCAGATTTGGCTACTATGTTAATTACGGGATTGATTGTCGATTATGTGATCTTTGATCAATCGCACGATCGTTGTTCAATAGAAAACGTGAGAGATTATGGCAAGAACACGATCGAGGAGCCGATCTGTGATAAGAACACCCCGATGGAGGTCTCCCCTGTCTAGAACTTGTCCCCTGTTGGCTACATCACGACCTTAGACTGCCCTAGAGACTGAACATTCATCTCCATATCCGTTGACCTACCTCGGCTTCAGATACCGAGCTTGACGATTCCTTGGAATGATACCCTATTGAGAGACCTGCATCTCCTGGGGCTACTACTTGCAGGTCTGTCGAGGATGACCACCGACGAGAAGCTCAGAGAGGCGTTCTCCCCCTTCGGCCGGCTCCTCGAAGGTACTCCCCCTCCTTGGAACTCTTAAGTCATCTTCTTCTTCATCGCCACCGTCCTCTGGCGGACGAGTTACGCCGGAGTTTGCGATCTGCAGCGAAGGTAATCACGGACAGAGTCACCGGGAGGTCCAAGGGCTTCGGATTCGTGCGGTACGCCACCGTGGAGGAGGCCAGCAGCGCTCGGGAGGGGATGAACGCCAAGTTCTTGGACGGGTGGGTCATCTTCGTTGACCCCGCGAAGCCCAGGGAGCCGAGGTCTCCACCGCCGCCGCCATCGTCGGCGCCACCGCCGTCGGAAGAAGAAGCAGGGTTCAGGGCCAACAAGACCATCGGATGGTGTGGCTGATCGATGCCGCAGATGGAGGGAGATGTTCAGGAGGTGGGGCCTAAACCCTAATTTGCCATGAAAGAAGATATTACCTCCGTATAATTTTACATCAATGTCTTTCAGCGTCCTTGCAGAAGAGAGAGAGAGAGAGAGAGAGAGAGAGAGAGAGAGGGGTCCGATTTCAGGAATAAAGATGACATTTTTAATGAGGGTGGGGTATTTTCGTTATTCCAGAGGGGACGAGTGTCAGTCTGGGAGAAGCCGGGGGAAGGGGGTTTATCCGTTCCCTGGAACGGCCTGCGGAGCGGCGGCCATGGCTTCCCTCCCGGCGGCGGCTCTCGTCTCTGTTTCCTCTTCGAGTGTTTCGGTCTGAATATCCCGAGCATTCTTCTTCTTCTTCCTCTTCTCCAGGTCAACGGGGAGGCCTCCATCGCCATCTCTGCTCCTCTGTTCCTCCCTTTTCCTCCTCTTCAAGCCTCAAAACCTAGCTCAAATTCCTCCTCATCTCCTTATAAGAGCTTAGCCGGAGGAATTTCCCCTCCCCGTCAATGGCGTTTTCCTCTTCCCTGTCCCACTACCATCCCTGCTTCCTCCCCCGTGGCCAGCTCCTCCGCCGGCTACCCACTTCCACTGCGGCCTTCGCTTCCCTCAAGCACGGCGGCGCCGCCGGCCTCGACCTGGGTTTCACCTCCAGGGACCTCCTCGGGGCCCTCCGCCGTCAGAAGGACGCCGAATCGGCGCTCCAGGTGTTCGAATGGGCCTGCAACCAGGAGAGCTTCGTCCCAACCAGCTCCGTCTGCGAGGAGATCCTCTCCCAGCTCGGGAGGGCCGGCTCCTTCGACGAGATGCGGGCCGTTCTGCGGCAGGTCCAGCGATCCGGCGGCAAGCTCGAGCCGGGCACTTTCCTGGTCTTCATCGAGAGCTACTCGAGGCTGCTGCTCTTCGACGAAGCTGCCGCCGTCGTGTTGGAGTTCATGGAGGAGTTTGGGGTTTCACCAGACACCCACAGCTTCAACTTCTTGCTGAACGTTCTCGTGGAGGAGAACCAGCTGAAGCTGGTGGAGACGGTGTACGCCGCCATGAGCGGCCGGGGAGTTCCCCCGGACGTCTCCACCTTCAACATCATCATGAAGGCGATGTGCAGAGCCCACCAGATGAAGCCCGCCATGGCCATGATGGAGGAGATGTCGGGCTACGGCCTGATGCCGGACGAGATCACCTTCACGACCCTGATGCAGGGTTTCATCGAGGAAGGGAGCATGGAGGCGGCGCTGAGGCTGAGGAAGAGGATGGGGAAGATGGGGTGCGCCCCCACGGCGGTCACCGTCAACGTGCTGGTCAACGGGTTCTGCAGGGAGGGGAGGATAGAGGACGCTCTGAGCCTGGTTCAGGAGGAGTCAACGAAGGGGTTCAGCCCGGATAAGTTCACCTTCAACACCCTGATCAACGGGCTCTGCAAGACGGGCCACGCCATGACGGCGCTAGAGATCCTGGACGTGATGCTCCAGGAGGGCTTCGACCCCGATCTCGTCACCTACAACACGCTGCTCTCGGGGCTCTGCAAGTCCGGGGAGATGGAGGAAGCCATCGCGGTTCTGAACCAGATGGTGGAGAGGGACTGCTTGCCCAACATGGTCTCCTACAACACCCTGATTAGCACCCTCTGCGCGAGCGGCAGGATCGAGGAGGCCATGGAGCTCGCGCGAGCTCTCACCGTGAAGGGCCTCCTGCCGGACGTGTGCACCTTCAACGCGCTGATCAATGGCCTCTGCAAGGACGGGAACCACAAGATCGCCATGGAGCTGTTCGAGGAGATGAAGAACAGCGGGTGCCCGCCGGACGAGTTCACCTACAACATCCTGATCGACCATTTCTGCTCCAATTCTCGGCTCGGGAGGGCCCTGGAGCTGCTGAGGGAGATGGAGGAGAAGGGCTGCGCCCGCAGCGTGGTGACCTACAACACCCTCATCGATGGCCTCTGCAAGAACCAGAGGATCGAGGACGCCGAGGAGGTGTTCGACCAAATGGAGCTCCACGGGGTCTCTCGCAATGTGGTGACCTACAACATCCTCATCGACGGTCTGTGCAAGGACCGGAGGGTGGACGAGGCCACGGAGCTCATGGACCAGATGATCGTCGCGGGGATGAAGCCCGACAAGCTCACCTATAACTCCCTGTTGTCCTTCTACTGCAGAGGGGGGAATATCAAGAAGGCGGCGGATATTGTCCAGACGATGACCTCAAATGGGTGCGAGCCGGACATGGTGACCTACGGAACCCTAATCTCCGGGCTCTGCAAAGCGGGGAGAACCCAGGTCGCCGCCAAGCTCCTGAGGACGATCCTCATGAAAGGAATGGCCCCCACGCCAAAGGCCTACAACCCCGTCATCCAGGCGCTGTTCAAGCAAAACAAGACCAGGGAGGCCGTGAGACTCTTCAGGGAGATGACGACCAAGGGACGGCCTGCGGACGCTCTGTCGTACAAGATCGTCTTCCGGGGGCTCTGCCGAGGGGGGGGCGCCATTGGAGAAGCGGTGGATTTCTTGGCGGAGATGACGGAGAACGGGTTCCTGCCGGAGTTCGCCACCTTCTCCATGCTCGCCGAGGGCCTGCTCGCGCTGGCCATGGAGGACTCGCTCGTCAAGGTCGTCGACCGCGTCATGGACCGGGCCGGCTTTTCGGGCGGCGAAGCCGAAATGGTCAGGGGGTTCTTCAAGGTCCGCAAATTCCATGATGGCCTGGAAAGGTTCGGGCAGCTCCTCGAGGCAAGAAGACCAAGAAATTCCTACCAGTGACTGAGAGACAGCAGTCACCCACTTTACTTTCAGAAGCTCCAATGAGCGGATCTTATTTCAGCCCGCTCTGCGCTGTGGATTGTTCTTCCCGCAAGAGGACACTGGAGCGAGCCGCTGATTCTCAGAAGGAAAACGATGGAGAATCTCCAAGTGCCCCCGCCCGGAAATCGCCGGTCAGACCCATGGCTTCTGTTAGATCTCGAGCTCGTCATGCTCAACCATGATCAGCTATCTATCTGCTTCAAACTTTTGGAGAATCTACGTCAGTCAGGAGATGGTATACTTGTCGACGAATCCTGAGATTTCCCCGGTGTTTTCTTCGTTCTTCCTGCCCACCGGAACTCTGCATGTTTCTGTTTCTCCAAGTATTGCTTTTTTTTTTCCCTCAGAATTTTTTAAGAGAAAAGACCGATACGTTGGAGGAAGGTAGAGATTTATATAACAACCCAGGAGAAGTGGGTATTTGCATATTTAGACGCCCCGGCGAGATAGAGAATGTAAAACGAGATGATTTATGACGACACTCCACGTCACCTGACCTTCTCTCTCCCACGGACTGGCCCCCTCTGTCTCTTCCTATAGGAGACACGTAAATCTCTCTCTCCCTCTCTCTCTCCGCCACACGGCGATCGTAAGCTCCCTCTTTCTAGCCTCCACCGCTCCACCAGACAGAAACGGCTCTTGGAGCGGGGGGCGGGGGGAAGACGGTGGCTGGCCCTGACCAGGTCTGATTCCATGGGAACAAGAACTGATGACCGTAGGTTCCTTCTTTTCGCTTCTTCTCACTAAACCCTAATCCGCTGCGTTCGATCGCAAAGATATCACACCGAATGAGGGAAATACGATGCTTATGAGGAGAAATCAGCGGTTCGACTGCCTCAATCAGCGGCGAACAGGCATCAATCAGCGGGCATGCGACAGAAGCAGTTCGAGTTCATCTCCGGACGACGAACTATCTATCCAGGGGGAAGAAGGAAGAAGCCAGACTTTCTATTTAGGAGCACCGGGCCTTCTTCGCCGCCATTCATGGAGCAGATTGGACCAGCTTCTCGCTGAACTCCCACAGCTTCCTGGCCATTGTTTCGTCTCTGGCGAGTGCACTCGGCTTTGTCTCGTTGCAGTCGAGGAAGTACTTCCCGGTCACCCCCTTCAGAGCCGGGTGGAGGGCGACGTAGCAGGTGGTGGCGGCTCCCTGCATGATTTCAGCACGCTTATTACCTTCGTCACCGTTCCCATGTAGGTAGAAATTTTCGGCTAGCATTGGTAGGTGTCATCATTTTTTTTCAGAATTTTGAGGTATAGTTACTTGATCGAGTAGCAAATAAAAGCAAAATAATAGCTAATCTTCGTATCTAATCCTAGAGAACAACACATTTGAAAGAAAAATAAAGCAGTTCTCATGGTGAAAAAGTATATTAATACATGAAGTCGACTGGCCAGGCTCAGTTTTAGCCCTGCCAGAGAAAACCTCGGAAATGGATTTTGGGTCAGGCCCTTCTCACGAATCGTGTCTACCCCATGATCATCTTCTTCATATGAGAGAGAGAGAGAGAGAGAGAGAGAGAGAGAGAGAGAGAGAGAAGCCCGCGAAAAGACGCTCAAGGGGAGCCTAATCTCAAAATATCACAGATTTTATGGATCTTGGGTGTTTTATTCTAGGTTTATGTCATTAAGATCTAATGGCGGGCATCGGAACCGATATGCAGGTTGCAGGGTTGCGGGGTTGCGGGCTACCTGCGGCACATTCTTCCACATCAGGTACGTTACTGCTTGAATAGCTCCTGTAAATTAATCACAAAAAATAAGGTTTTTGGTTGTCCGAGGACGACGAGAGATGCACCTCGAAGAGAGCTTAACGTAGGATCAGTGGAACGTACTCATCAGAACCACCGAATGCCTCATCAGGTTCGTCATGATCAGCCCGGGATGAACCGAGTTCACCGTGATGTTCGCACCTTCCTCCTGCCCAACTTTGAAGAGTTAATTCTATTGATTACTAGATGGAGTCGACGATAATCCCCGTGAACCCTCGTGAAATGTGACTAGCCCGGGGGACCTGCCGGATGGCAAGGTATAACGGGCTTTCGGGCCGGATCTCTCTGGGGTCTGGTGACAGCCCGGGCCGAGATCTCTCTCCCGGGCTTTGGGGTCACCTCAGCCATCGACCCTTCCAAATTCCAGAGAAATAGAACAAACGGAGAGAAGAACCTGCAAGCGACGAGACAACTCGCTGGCGTGGAGGATATTCGCCAACTTCGACTGCCCATACGCCTTTTTATCAGAATATCTGGCCGACCACCGTCAATCAGAAGGTCAAAGCCCGACGACTTCTCAAAATCCGCAGCCCCCCGTCTGATTTGGATCTGCAGTAGGCTCTTACCTGGATCTCTCGTTGATTTCCTCGAAGAGTATCCCTCCTGGGTACGTATTGAGGTGAGCTATGGAGGACAGATTAACGATCCTCCCCTCGATCCCTGTCTCTTTCGCTGTGGCCTTCATCTTCTCCAGAAGGAGGTTTGTCAGCAGGAAATGCCCTACCATGAATACAATACTCACGCATACGATATATATAGAAAATTAGCTGAAGAACAGTGGTCTATTAATGGGTACATTAGATGACATAGAAAAAAGGGAACACTCGCAGGTCTAACCAAGGTGGTTGGTGGCGAACTGGGTCTCAAATCCGTCCTCGGAGAGCTGGAAGGGGCAGAACATCACCCCGGCGTTGTTTCTGCAGATCCGCAAAGAACAGAAGATTCAGGATTATAACTCAAGAAATGCCGAGAGATATCTCCGTTAGTTTGACGGCGGAGTGGACACATTAGGATGTTGAGAGGGAGGCCCATGGCGAGGAAGGCTTCTGCGAACGCCCTGATGGATCGCATGGAGCAGAGATCCAGCTTGAGGACCTCCACTCTTGCCGAAGGTCTGGTTCCCAAGATCCGGGACTTGGTCGCCTGCGCGGCCTCCGTGTTCCTCGCGGCGATGACGACGTGAGCCCCTCGGAGGGCAAGGACCCTCGCTGTCTCCTCGCCGATCCCGCTTGCACCACCTGTTGAGATTAGGGTTAAGGTTACGACATCTTGCCGTGGGGATACAGATGCGTGCCGCCAAACCCTAGCTGATCCAACGAGGGGGTGGGTCTGATACTGGTCGGTTGGGTGGATCTGGGGTTGGTTTTTTTTAACCGATCGAGCAAGATCAGTAGAGAGCCAAGAACAAGCAGATCTAAGGTTGAATCAGGTCCTCAAGAAGGTGATCATGGCGAGGAGCACGTGCGGCTGATGAAGATCTTCATCTCAAAAATCAGAAAATCAAGAAGAGAGTGCCCGAGGTCATGCCTAGAGAGAGAGAGAGAGAGAGAGAGAGAGTGAGATCAGACCAGTGACGATGACTGTGAGGTGGGACGCGTCGACGTCCTGAGTTACATCCTCGGCAGTCGAGGCTGATCCGAACCCACTCGGCCCCCGTCGTCCAGTTATCAGCGAGAAGATGCTCATCTTTCCTGTACTTCTCTCTCTCTCGGTTTCTTTCTCCGGGTTTTTTTATCTCAAGTAGGAGAGAGACGCGGCAGGACAGAATAAGGAGGGGAAAGCGGAGGACAAAGGAGGGGGTGAAGAGTGTGGGATGTATTTATGGCTAGGAGGAGGACGAGAATCTGTTCGAAGAGGAGGACGAGGCGCGGGGCAACAACTAAATGCACCGCGTCTCTCTCTCTCTCTCTCTCTCTCTCTCTCTCTCTCTCTCTCTCCTGTGAACGGGTTAGATTTCCAGGTGGCGATGGGCGATGAGAAACCGGATGGAACACGACTAGGCGATATAACAAGAGAGTTACCCGTGAAACGCGAGTTATCATTCCACTCCCAACGCTACCCATTTGTTGTCTTCTTCATTCATCGAATATTTCTCTCGTTTATCATTCATTCCCGTAAAATGGGATATCTTGCTAAGATTGTCGTCTCATGGAGGCAGTTAATCCGTCTGCTTCTCGGTCAGGATAGATTGAGAGAGAGAGAGAGAGATTGAAACTTGTAGGGAATTATGTACAGGGATATATGTAGATAGAGAGAGAAATAGATATCGAAATCGACGGTGGGAGAGAGAGAAATGTGTGAAGAGATAAGTTCCTCTGCTGGCCAAATACTCCGGCGGAGAAAGCACAAACTAGAAGGAAGATTCTACAGACTTACGGGTGCTTACAGCAAGTTTCTTAGAGAGAGAGGAAGGGAAGGAGAGAGAGAGAGAGAGAGAGAGAGAGAGAGAGAGAGAGAGAGGGAAACAAAAGAAGGGGAACTACCTGCACTATGAGTCTATGATCTCGGTAGTCGTGCCATCACGGTCCACATCATCAATAATCACGTATGTAGCTTTCGTATAATCTTCACCCACCTATATGGTACATTCGGTGGTCTGTCTAATGTCTTGACCGCTCGCATTAAATGGGACGGTTGGGAATTTGACGTAGGTACCTGGGTGGGGTCCACCAACTAATGGCTGAGCTGGGCTATCCACAAGAAGACACGTGTGTATCGCAGAAGGAAGTAAATGCGATTGAATGCTTCGCTGAAATTTACCAAATACAGGATCTAATGGCCCGGTCCCAACCTCAGACAAATACCCCATTATACCCCTAATATGTACAAATCAATTGCTGGAGTATAGATATCATAAATATGGGCATTAAAAATATTCATTTATATTTTCCGTAATAATAGAAATAAATTATAAATCGATAATAATCCCTTATTTTTTATATTCACTTAGCCCTCATAGTTCTCTCTCTTCTCTCTCTCTCTCTCTCTCTCTCTCTCTCTCTCTCTCTATACATATATATATACATACATATCTCAGAGCGAATATAGGGGCCGGATTCTCGTCAACTCTTTAAAAATAATTAATGTCAACAAAAAAAAAAGTTTCGATCAACTACTGGAAACTAGGGACATGTTTTTATTATTCCGACTGTGGGTCAACCCAGAGACTAATTCTGGACTATTATGACGTTTCCATAGCCGTGGTCCATTCGAAGCCAGACGAAAACATTAATATATTTACATGCGGGCATTTAAATCCCATTCCATATAGACTCCCTGCTGAAAAGGAGCCGGTCTCTGCAGAGTATTCGAATCCCCGACTGCGGGGAGCCGGTTGCTGGTAGAAGAAGAAGAGTAGAGAAAATCCCCCTCCTGAGCCGTCTGAGAATCAGCGGCTGGTTCTACGCAGGACTGCCGAGGGAGATCCCATCAAGCACCATGGAGACTGGGGTCTCGTCGGAGTGGACGACGTCGTGCTGTTGGATCACCAGCACGGAGGAGACGACGCCGCTGCCCGAGGAGGCGAGGGCGTCTCCGATGGGCCCCAGTTCGGCGTGCTCCGGCGACCTTTCAGCAAGCGCCGCTACGATGGAGGAAGGGAACCGGCCCTTCCCCACCACCAGCAGCTCGTACTCCCCGCTCCGTCCCATGGCGACCACTTCTTCCAGCACGTTGAACGCCAGCTTTTCCTCGTACAACGCCCCGGTTCCCTCCGTCCTCCTCCGGAACTCCGCCACCGCCGCCTCGTCCAGCTCCTGAGAGAAAAGAAAAAATAATGTCCACGAGAACCTGAGAGAGCGAGTATATGCGCTGGATTTTGAAGGAGACGGTGTGCAATAATGATAACTTGCCTTTTCTTTCTCTCGGTCGACGGCTGCGGTGGAGAAGCTGTAGTTATCCTCCATAGATTTGTGCGGCGAAGGCCTGAGACTGATGCTCACAACCGGGGATTTGATCCCCGCCGCTGCCGCTACGAATCTTACCGCGTTGACCTTGATACCCGGATGCTGCGCCATCGTACCAGCGAGCTCCAGCACCTCCCGGTCGTCGGGACCGCCGAATACAACAACGCAGATCCCGTGCGAGACCTCAGAGGACCCCACCTGTTCCCCGCCGCCGAGCCCGCGGTCAACCAGCACCGCCACAGAGCACGGTGCGCCCTTCAGGACCCTCTGGTTGACCACCCGCCATTCGTGGCCCACATTCTCCATGGCCTCTCCGTGGGCGGCGGCCGCCTTCCCGTGCTTGTGGAAGGGCACCACCAGCAGCGTGACGTTCTTGTCCTCCGCCACGTTGCAGACGTCCTCGTGCATGGTGGCCATGGCAGAGATGGCAGTCATTGGCCGAACGTTGACTTTCCCGAGCTGCCCGTAGGTCTCGAAGGCGACTAGAACCCTGTCGCGGGTCTCCTTCCTGAGGGGGTTGCGGGAGGGGAGACCGTTGCGGCGGGCGCTGAGGGCCATGACGATGGAGGAGGAACGCTCTGTGAGCTCGACGAGGTGCATGATGTAGAGCTTGAGGGGGGACTTTGTGGCGCCGCCGCGGATGGTCTCGATGAGGTTGATCATGGAGGGGACGTCGCGAGGGGATCGGACGCAGGCAAGGACGCGGAGCTTGGTGGTGACGTCACCGGATGACTCCCGTTGGAGCTTACGCCTCGCCGTCGCTCGGTGGCCGGGTCGGGCCGGCTTGTAGATGGCCATTACCGCCGGTGTCGTGATGAAGGTGGTGAAGAGCGCCATGAGGACTAGTATAGCGAACGTCTCGTCGTTGAGAACCTGTTCATCAACACACAAAGATTAAAGATTACCCGGGGGCATATTAATATGAGAGAGAGAGAGAGAGAGAGAGAGAGAGAGAGAGAGTAGCTTCTGTCCGAACTATTTTCAGCTTCTTGTTCAATAAAACACATTAATATGAACTTTTCTATACAGCGTCAATTACCCAACGACAGTGTAGGGAAGAATTTTATCGTTGGCCTGTCTAGATATATATATGGAGTGAGTGAGTAAGTCAGAGAGAAAGAGAGATGAACTTCTTCCAGAAGACGTGTGAAATAGAGCGAGACTATCCTCTACTTCCCTCTTCAGGAATACACAAGATGTCAATCCAAGGTATCATGAACTCTTGGGGGAATGGATTACGGAATGACAGGTTTAGTAAGAACTTGGTATCTCGGCTCTAGAGAGAGACCGTAGTCACTGGGCTATTCTCCACCTCTCTGCTCTTCAGCGGTCCAACCAAGCTTAGCGGGACCCACTTTCTAGGTCAGTTAATGAGATTTGGCGTCCCAAGGCGTGGGAAAGATGAAGAAAAGGAAATTTGTTGCAGTTAAAAGCTCGAGATAACTACAAATGAAACCGATCAAAGAGATGAGCTGTCATTTATTCGGTATCAATGCAATCGGAACATCCTCAAGTTTTCGACCTATGAACGTAGAAAAAGGATCGTAAACGACAATAACAGAAGTTATATCAAAGAGACTCACTGACGGCATCTCTCTCTCTCTCTCTCTCTCTCTAAGAGAGAGAGAGACGACGGCCGTGTGAAAGCCGATTCGCAATCAACGACTCCAGTGGATTACCCAAAAGAATCTAATGTCTGAAGTAGGTAGACAATCGGTGTCTCGCCAATGGCACCGAAAAAACCTGAGAACTTAGGTTTCGACCTCAGTCGGATTAAGGCAAGAAAAAAGGGTCTTACCTTCCTCTCCTTGCCGATGTTGAGGACGATGAGCTCCACGAGCCCCTTGGTGCTCATCAGCATCCCCAGCGCCGCCGCCTCCATTACTGGCATCTTGCAAGCCACCGCGGCAGCAAACGTCCCCAACATCTTCCCCACACAGGCGATGGCAGTGACCAGAACCAGCAGGCCCCACGCCCTACCTCCCTGGATCTTTGTCACGTCAGTCTTAAGCCCACTTGAGGCGAAGTAGAGCGGCAGCAGCAGCCCCGACACGAAGTCCTCTATCCTCTCCATCAGCCGCCCGGCGAAATCCTCCTCCTCCTTGGGTATCGCTAACCCGAAGACGAAGGCCCCGAAAATGGCGTGGATTCCGATGATGTCGGTGGCGAAGCCCGCAGCCAGCACCCCCGCCAGCGTCAGGCAGGTCCACAGCTCCGCCTCCCTCTCCGATGCCCTCCGTGCTACCCAACCCATCAGAGGCCGCACAGCCACCATCATGAATCCCACGAAGGCGACCCCGCAGAGCAGCACCCAGATGGAGACGAGAGGCGACTTGTGGCTGTCGCCGCCGGACAGTGCAACTGCCAGCGCGAGTAGGATCCACGCCGCCACGTCGTTGAACGCCGCGGCGGCCATAGCGGTCTCCCCCAGCGCGGTGGTGAGGATCTTGAGCTCGGCAAGGATGCGAGCGAGAACGGGGAAGGCGGTGATGGAGAGGGCGACTCCCATGAAAACGAGAAAGGGGGCGTAATCTGCCTTGTCGGCCCCCGGGATAGCTCGCCGGAGTACGAAAGCCACGCCGACTCCGCAGGCGAAGGGAAGCGTGATACCCGCGGCGGCGATCGACAGCGCCCGCTTGCCGCTGCGGCGGATGGAGGCAAGGTCGAGCTCTAGCCCGACGAGGAATAGGAAGAACAGGAGACCGATGCTCGCCGTCGTCTCCAAGATGGGCATGCTCCATGAGGGGAACATGGTCCGGATGTAGTCTTTGTTCCTCCCCAGAGCCGACGGCCCCAGCAGAATTCCACCCTTCACAAGAAGGAAAAATGCGACTGGTATCGATGTGGGACGCCAGAGTGAGAGAGAGAGAGAGAGAGAGAGAGAGAGAGAGAGAGAGACTTACGATGATCTCGGCGATGACCTTGGGCTGGCGCAGGGGTTTGATGAGGAAGTAGAGAAACCGGCTGAGGAGGACGATGATGATGGTCTGTAGGATGAGGAGAGGGAAGGCGAAGTGGAGAGGATCGTCACCCTGCCACAGCCCGTTGGATGAGGTCTTAATTGAGGTGATATTCACCGCCATGTCTCCTGCTGCTGCTTCTCTCTCTCCCCCCCTACTCGTCCTGCCAACACCTCCCTTGAATATATAGCGAGCGAGAGGCGGGGAGCTGCGGAGACTTCCTCGGGGCGACGCGTGTCTCTCGACATTTCTGTTCCCTCTTGCGGTTATTTCCTATGTGCTTGGAACGAAACAACCAATATAGTATTTTACTTTATTTATTTTATCGTGCTGATCTTCAAGCGGGATAGTATCGAATTGCTTATGGGCAACTTGTTTGATTTATCTAATTGAGAAGCTCCGCAGAGTTCGCCTCTAGAAGACTTGGGAAGCCGCAGGCGGAGAATGAGAATGTTATATCCTCTCTCTCTCTCTCTCTCTCTCTCTCTCTCTCTCTCTCTCTCTCGGTCTATAGCTGGGCTCAGTCACGCAAGACTCGGGTGTCAGGTCCCCGTCAAACGAATAAAAGATCTGTTAGAAGGGACGAATTGGTGGGTCGAACGTTGTGGCGGACATCCCGTTCAAGTTGACGTCAACTCTCTCCAATCAGCGAAGATGTCCAATGGGCAATTTTTCCTGTCACGCTCCTCCTCCAGCCGACGACGAAACTCGCCTCTCTCTCTCTCTCTCTCTCTCTCTCTCTCTCTCTCTCTCTCCCCCATCCATGGTCAAGTTCAGAGGAGCATCATATACCACAGGGGGGGCCTCCTTCACAAGTTCATGCCCGGAAGAGTCACGAGAACGCCGTTGGAAGAGGAAGTTAGATAGATAGACTAATCGATAGAGATAGGTAGAGAGCGGGAGAGGGATGCACGTGACTTCTCTCTCCTTACCCGAGAGTCTCCTCTTCACACCGCCGAGAGCAAGTGATCACAGAGGAAGGAAGGAGGGAGAAAAAGGGAGGCCTCTCCGATCCCTCTTGTGGCTCGAAAGCTTCCGGCTGTCCATTTTCCCTGTCGTCTTTATTCGGTGGGGATAGGAGTTGGAGATGGTGGCACCGGGAACGCGTGAGAGCCGGCCATTTGTGGGCTCCGGCGGCAGACTTCAGAGGGTTCTTGCTCCCCATGGCGACTAGGACGGTCTCCGGCGGAGTCGCCGCCAATGCCCGCTCCGCCTGTGAAAGAAGATTAAAATACCAATTATCGAAAGAACTCGGTCTACCTCTGTGCATCCGTCATCAAGTTAAGCTCTGGTCTACTCCTTGGATATTCTTAAAATGGCAGAAAACCCCGCCGCCCTCACTCCCTACCCCAGAACCACCCATCCCGCGGTCTACACCTCGGCAGTCCTTCTCATGTGGAGAGGCTATAAACTTTATTTCCTCTTCTTTGTTAATTAATGATATACTTTAATCACAATTACATACCCTAAGTCCGACGGAAGCTAATAGAATGAACTAAAAACCTAAAAAGTATGTCGGGCTTACACCTATTATTTAGAACTAAAAGCTCAAAAAACTCAACTATAACTTATCCATTCATTTTTACTTATTTTTCTAGAAATTAATTACTAGTTACATTAGTATTTTTGTCTTTTATCACGTAGTACTGAAGCTTACTGTGCACCAATATCTTTTGTGCTAAGTGAGTATACTCGCTTCTTACAAGAAAAGTGAAAAACATAAAGGTTATAAAGAAAAGGTCTTATCACCTTGTCAAATATTTTATTTTATAAATAATTTATTTATTTATTTATTATATCCTTATTTCATGTTATGCTGATTGTGTTAAGAATTAATTATCAGCAAAAATATGTAGACTAACTTCTTTCACGTGATATCTTAGTCACCATAAGTGTTGAGACATTAAATCTATGTGGTCGGATTTCCTCTTACAAAGTCTACTTGCTTTAAATGTTAAAGACATTTCTTATTCAGTCAACTCACTTCTAAGAAATAAGGGAAAATTTAAATGTTGCTAGCAATAAGACTCAAACACATAAGAAACTTTGATCGATTTTCAGTTGATAAAAGATTGCATAATTATATTTGCAATGAAAAATTACCATTATACTCCTACGTGTTGTCTTTCACACTACGATTGCAAAACTAATCTTATCAAGGATCTCAATTCATATGGAAATTGACTAATGGCTTTGAAAATATGTTGCCATCATACTTTTTAAGCATAGCATAAAATATGTTGCCATCCATATTCACGACATGGATTATGCTACGACTGTATATTTATAGGTTAAAGATATATCTAGTAGTTACACCAACATAGAGTTGTGAACTTAGAAGAGAATAGTCAACTGTTAATTTGGTTGACCTCCAAGAGATGATAATTTAGAATATATATAAAATCTAGTGAAGGCTAGTTATGAATATGTAAAATATTTAAAATATTTAGTAACTATATAACATCGAAGAACGCACAATGAAGATGCCTGGGCCATTTTCCTATTATCGCATAGGCCCAGCCCCTCCCCTACCGTCATTGAGGGTTTACCCTTTCCGAACACCAGCCCAGCCCCCCCTCCCTCCCCCAACGTCAGGCGGCCACGTGGCAGCGGTAGCCCATTTATATTTCTTTCGTGCGCTATACGATGCTGAATTTGCCCCACAAAAATGCAGGGCCTTGCGACGGTGTTGCTATTTGGGGAGGGCAGTGCGAAAAGAGTGGAAAGGGGGATATGAGGCAGTTCGATCCGTGGCCCGTGTTCTTCAAGAGGGAGTGGGGCAGGAACTGGCCGTTCTTGGCGGGTTTGCCGTCACCGGCTACATCGTCACGAAGGTTTCGCTCAGCCTCAGTGGTAAGTTTTTTGGGTCCCCCTTTCTTCCGCTCCTACGAGGTCCTTCGAGTTTTCTGCTCCGTTCCCTCGTCCCTTTCATTCTGTTTTATTTTTCTATTTTTTTCCCATCCCCCTGCAGAAGAGGACGCCAAGAACTCGCCGTTCGTTCAGAAGCATAGGAGGTCAGGGCTCTTGATCCAGCTATTCCAATGCTCTCATTTTTTATTTACTCGATCAGCTTTTCTGTTGACATTATTGTGCGTTCAGAGAAATAGAAAACGGGCTTCGTTCTCACGATTCATTGAATTTTGACTGGGTATTTAACTTATAGATGTTAGTGAACTGAGAGATCGTATCAGTGGATTAATTTTTTTTGGCGGAATTGAATTCGAAGGTGAGCGATTTTAGTGGGATCTGTTTATTTCCTAGAGATTCAATTACTCTGCAAGTATTTAACGTGATGGGCTGGTCTACTATTGTCCTAGGTGTTTTTTTTTTTTTTTCTGAGTGTTTTGATCGACAGAATTTTGTTGCTATTGTTGCTCCCCATAGTCATTACGGGACATCACATAGCAAGCATGTTTGAATCCATGACCATTTCCATCGACCCCATGAAATCCTGGCCTTCCTTTCCTGTCTTCCGTGGCCTGAACAGTTGTGGTCGAGTTTTCTTACCTGTACTAGTTCATAGAGGAGGGCAAATGTGCGATGATAGAATGGAGAAAATGGAAGTTTCAACGAGGTAAAAGGGGTAGGGGGATAAATTAGAGTCTAATGAAGTAGAAATGCGGTATGATGCAATTTTTTGGACCTGTGGGAGAGAAGTTACGTTGACTTCAGTCACGCATCTTATATCGTGGGTGTGCCAGTGTGTACCATCTTCGTTTGGGGGAGATCATCAGTACTAATGGTTGATACTTGTTAACGCTAATTATGTGGAAGCTCACCAGTCTTGTGGGTGGTGGGGAGTTTTATTTTTCATATATTTCCTAATCAGTAGAGAGCGTTGGGAGTTTTAGGTGTTTGTGACCGTTGGATGAAGATGCCAGCATTCATCCCTCTGCAAGATTGGCCTGAGGTCTTGATGATTCAAGTCATTTCTGCTTAATCTTGCCAGAAATTTTGCATGCCATGTGATTCGAGTAAGAAAGAAATCTGGGGTAAATCTGTCATTTTAGGTCTTGAGGAAAACGGGTGTTCTCGGGGTCTGCTTAGAATTGAACCCTTTTTTTTTTTTTTTGAAATCTTTTGGAGGAATTCCTTGAGAGGAGGAATCTTAGCCAAAAAGATCACGAGAGGGTTCGGACCATCTGCAGGTTTTGGTGCACTACTTTGGATCAGTCTAGTCCCCATTCTCTCTTGAATACGTTCTATTATGGGTGTCAGTGAGACCCTCAGTCCAGTCCAGTCCTTTATACCAAAGTATGAGAGAGAGAGAGTCAACAGCGTGGGCGAGAAAGAGGTGTCTCACCCACGCTGTTGACTAGCTCCATAGCGTGTTCCTGATGTAGCTCCGTTTTGTGCAGGTGAGCAATCTGAAAGCCCGGACGTCCTCCGCGCGTTGCATGTGTCCCATTTGGCTATCTTCTTTTCTCCTCATTCACGAGCCTCAAATGTCACCAGACAGCACATTTTCAATCTTCCGTAAGCTACGATGAGCTGATTTGTGGGTCATAAATTTGTTCAATCCCTCTCGGTTATGCCTGTCTTGTAGATGATCTTTCATAGATTGGACCCACCACTGCACTCTGAGAGAGAGATAGAGAGAGAGAGAGAGAGAGAGAGAAGCAGATGCCCTGTTCGAGAGAAAGGCAGAAGATGCTGAAGATTTTAAGAAAGAACAATGCAGGGGAGATGCCAGGCATTCAGCCACAGCAGAAGGAACCCAACTTTTCTAGAGCTTTTCCTCCTTAGGGTGAGTCAGATGCCTGGGGGGGTCAATCAGTGGTCGAGAGCAGACGAGTATGAGCGTGCCATCGTTCTCTCCCTTCCCCACGTCGTCGTCGTCGTCTTCTGAGGGAACTAGCTTTCTCTAAAATATATCTGGGTTGAAATTATTGGGGATTGAACTGGCATCCTGCGCCCTCTGAAGATGGATCTTCAAGGTGTAATTGCTCATCTGCAAGATGACAGAGAGAAGGGCCCGTCACTCGGCTGCATGAAGAACAGAGGTAAGTTCTCTATGTTTATCTGCAAAGCATGAATGGGCACCAAAGAAAAATAAATGGGTGCCTAGGGGAAAAGAAGCTCCTGGGAAACAGACAAACAGGTGGGGGGGTGAGGGGGGGGAGGGAAAGGGGAGGAGGGAGAATGATGGCCTGCTGCATGAGCTCTGGCCTCTGCATCCACGCTGGCAATTGGCACTCCTAGAAGCAAGCAACCCACTGATTGTGAGCTCTGGAAATCCAAATTGACCTAAATCTACTACCAATTAGGTCAGATATTCACTTCCTCCGGGAACAATAAATGCTGTCCTGTAAAATGACACCGAAGTTCCCCACAAAGTGCCTGGAGAGGGTGGCCACGGGAGGAATCATGTAAATCGCACAAAAGAAAATCTGATTCCCAAACAGGGTCTTACCAGAAATTCGAAGAATGCAGAAAACCAGAGAGAGAGAGAGAGAGAGAGAGAGAGAACACGTGAAACTAAATTCAGCATGGACAAGAGTTATCTACTGGAAAAAAAGTGGAGTCTTTTACCTCTAGAGCCCGAACTTGCTCCTGGTACTGTCTTATCACGTGCTTCAAATGCTGTATTTCCTTGGATTTCTCCTCAAGCTCAAGATTCCGTTCGCGCTGGATTGCAACTGCCCTCTTCAAGATTTGATTGTCCCTCAGCAAGCATTGCAGCTGTTCCCTCAGCGAAGTCGTCACCAGCTACACCACACAGAAAAGGCAACAACGACCATGCTGAATAAGCTGGTTTTCCACTCAACCCACATTAAATCCTCAGGTTGTTTACCTGATCAGGCACCCTCGAGTGGTTAATGATCTGCTTTTCAAATGATTCCAAGATCTTTGTTACGCGAACCCGAACATCATCCCAATTCGACGCTTTCATCATCTCTTGCACGAAGAAATCCACCCAGGAGAATCCGTCCTGAGGTAATCCCGGTTCCAAATCTGAAGAGTTCTTATTCTGTACATCTTCGATCCTCGGTTCAAATGTTTCAATATTTACAAGATCTGGACAAAAATGAGCGAAGAAGGGTTGAAATAAAGGAATATATCATGCCCATGAAATGGATGAATGAATCTCCAATTTAAGAACATCAAAGAAGGTACCCAAACCGAATTTTCCAACCTTCAACTAAATGATCCTTTTGAACTGAAGCTGCAATCTGCCTCTGCGCCTCCTTTAGGACAGAAGCATCACCAAGGCAAAGCGAATGGAGACTCTTGATAGCATCGTCTATTTTGTGATCGTGAGAATTCAGAACAGTTTCCACAACCTGTGATATGATTAAGCATGATCTAAGTGGTGCGTGGAAATGCAAAATATTGAGAAGCCGTGAGAAGCACTAAACATTTCAAAGGTATAGAACCGGATAAGAGGTTAGATGTTGTCAATAGAGGCTAAAAAAACATTTCAAAGGTGATTAGGATTTAAGAGATCGAAACTTTGAAGGCTAAAATAAAAAACAAGTACAAACCATGGGTAAAGAAACTTCTCTCTTTTGACACCATCAATGCCAGTGGAATGTGGACAGAAAAAGATCTGAGAAGTAATACTATAGGTAGAACCTCAGGACAACCATGGGTCTTCCCTTCCGTAAGAGATAGGCTACATTTGGATAACTTACAGGAGAACTTAATATTTTAAGGAATGAGTAACCAAGAATCAGGATGAGAAAAGTAAATGTCAAGACCACACAAGTTCTCCCGAGAAAGAGGAGAAACAATCCCCATGTTAACCAATCCTTCCAAAGTAACTTCAAACAAAATCCTGGCAGCCAGCACGATTCAAATAGATGGAGATTTTTCCTGCCTGACTATTTATCCAACAGCCTATCCTTATAAACAGTCTCCAAGAATAAAAATCTCTCGCATGATATATGAGGCATATCACAGGAAACACTTGGTTTCTTTTGTGACGGCAAACAGGGTTAACTTATTATACAGTTCAGTGTAAAAGGAAGGAAAGTAAAGGACCGCCACATCAGTTGGCCTCCACAAACAAACTGACAGCAAAGGTCGCTAGAGGTTGTCAGAGTACGAAGCTGCAAAAATAGATGAGTTTTCACAATGGTCACTGTGGTTATTCAAAGAGAAATTAATTCAAAGAGATACGAAGACTTGGTGCCCTCTGTGAGGTATCCAACTGAATACCATCAATTTCCCCAATCTGTACATAGATCAGAGTTTGATAATGAACACAGAATTCTTGAGATATGAGGATCCGACTTTATATACGAGACCAACCACCCTCCACTACCGAATTAAAAATTAAAAAAAAAGAATAATGCCCGACAGTTATAAGTAATTCGAAGGCAGAATCACACAATTGCCGACAGGTAAGGTTACACAATAAACGAAAAAAAATAACAGTCAAAGGATATACAGAAACAAGCAACGCGGAAATCAAACGAATTAGAAAATTCATGAAAAACAGGCATGAATTACCTCCTGATCCATTGAAGGGAACATACGCAACAGGGTGGAGACCTTTTCGTCGGGCCCGAAGCCGCGGTCGAAGGATCGGACAGGGGACCCGATGCGGGAGCAGCGGGATCTCTTCGCCGACGAAGCCGCCGACGAGGACCCGAAGATCTCTTCGATCCCTAGCCGCTTCCCGCAGATCCCCGCAGACATCGCAGCCAAAACCAAGGTCCCGACGGAACCAGCGAACCCCCCCGGCGTCCTCCCCCTCCCCCCCTCGCGATCCTCTTTATGTTCCAACCTCGTCGCTTTTAGATTTATTTAAAATATATATATTATCCTCCGAACTCCACGTGGTCCCGTGGACCACTCGAATCCCAGTTTACAATTCATCGGGTAATAAATAGTCAAACAGTACATGCTTATGTGGCGTCCACGTGCCATCAAGCCCACGTAAGAAACGCCCGGAATCTCATCGACCTGCTGGGCAGATACGTATCCAAGGGGGGGAGAGAGAGAGAAAGAGAGAGAGAGAGAGAGAGAGAGAGAGAGAGAGAGAGAGAGGTTTTCTAGCGGTGATGAAATGGGTGGCTTGGGCACAACCCAAAGATGCTTTAATCCCACAATCTTAGGGTTCCAGGCAGGGAGTTTTTACCATTGGATGGATGAGTTGACAACGAATTCCAGAGTCAACGCCATAGTTAACGCGTGGCAAGAAGAGATAATGCCACATGTCCATCTCGCCCAGTTCACGCTTACCGGGCCATTTGCACCGTTCTTCTCATCTTACCTCATTATACGTACTTCCACGGGCATAATAAGACCATCAACTATTTATACAAGAGCATTCGTCATACGCTAGGAGCGAGCTGAAATTTATATTAAAAAATAAAAATACAAGAACCTCAGTAGAGAGAGAAATTGGAGGCTAAGATGCAAGCCAGGTTGACTTCATCACCTCGACGATGACTTAAATCTCCCCCCATCGAGTCCACCGGGCCCGGATCGATTCGGGCCGAAGAAGCCCGAAGAAATTCGTCTTACGGACCCCCCTGCCTGAACAAGTCAACCACATCAACACATGGACAACAGACACCAGCAACTACACCGCATTAGATCCACAGAACTCCCACCTTTCCTGATTCCCTTTCGGCTCCCTGGCCGTCTCAGAGCATTTCTTGAGAGCGTCTGACGATCCGGCTGACCTTCTTCTTAAAGTCGTCCCTCTTCTCTCTCCATTCTTTCTGCAAAGTCAACCAGCTGAGTCAAACGACGCACTAGCAGAGAAACAGCGCAGCTGGGAGAGACAGAGGCTTCAAAGTAATCCGAAATCTCTCTTCTCGTCTTGAAGATTTTAAAAAATATTTGAAAACTATAAATAATTGATAACCATACGCTGATCTAAGAGTGATGTGATCAGACCTATTTGTACCCTGAAAAGGCGGCCGATTTAGTCCCTTCGTCTAAATCATTAAAAAGAAAATGCTATAAATTATCATCTTCGGCCGATTTAGTCCCTTCGTTGACCAACTGAAAAACCCAGCAGGATCCATAAATTAGAGGACCCAAACAACCGGTGCCATTCGAACTTCTGCTCTGGAACCATATTATCATCGCAGTTTCAACGCGCTGACTAAGTTGACATGAATGAGTCGTTTTTTAGATCAGCAAGCATAAAAAAGACAAGGACAGGCAACTAAATGGTGAGGAGATAAACTCACAGCAGCCTCAATGTTTGCAGGCGATTCGTCATTAGGGCTTGAAAGCATCGAAATGATACTCAGGACTATACTTTCAACCTGCATGTTCAAGAAATTTACATAGCTAATCAGAAAATTAAAGAGTACTCTCGTTACTTCACTCTTCTTTATGAATGTCAAATAGCCCATATTTCCATCGCAGTGTTTTGCATCAACCCAAGGAAAATAGGTCGAAGCTTGTAAAAAAAAAAAAAAAAAAAAAAGCAAAATATGAATCTCAGCACCAGAAAAGAAAAATGTTCATTGCTCCTTACTCCTGTCTCTAGCACACCTCTACACATTTCTAACCAGCTGTGGGTAGTAGTATGAACACTCTTGACAATGATCATTTCAAGAGTGAATTCGACCTCGGATTATGAGATACTCACTTATGTTAAAATCATTCATTTTTAAAGCGTCATTAATCTTCGTCTTATAACATTTTTTTTTTGTTAAAGTTTCTTGAGTGATTCAACATTAACATCAAAACCCGTATGTCTCCCCAAATATTGGAGAAAAACGTGAACAGAAATCTATTTCTTACCTATTTTGAATCGAACCAACTGACAACCACCTGAGTCCTGCACGGAGTATGATCTATGCCATTTCTGTAATTTTCATAATCCCCTCAGAAAACCCCCGTAAATGATCATTTAAATCACCACCTCTTAAAACTACAAACAAATCGTAAAGAAAATAAGTTTAAATAGCCAAAATAACAGCTCTTCTCTTTGTTAGAATCTTGTTAATGTTTAGATTGTTACCGTCCACAGACACGCGGATAAATCTATATAATATAAATACATAAGCGTACATCTACAGAGAGAAAGGGTAGTGCATATTCAAAGGATACTTTCACTGCAGCATACCGTATGCACAGGTGACCAACGCTCACTTGCAAGCTCGTAGCCACTGGGGTCATCTCCAGGTGCATGAAGAATAGAAATGCATACACGTCCATCTGGGTAAACTGAATTCTTTGACAGAATCAGCAAGCTGTCAGAAGATTCTAACGTGCAAAATCTGATAGATGGACATAAAATACAAAATAAGAGGTGTGGAAAAGCAAGAACAAGAGGGACATACCATTAGGATGCCACATTTCTGAGGTGAATCTCACAGAAGGAGGACTGTTTGGGTAATTCTCTGGGAAACTCATAATCGCATTGAAATAGCCTCCCTCACTACATTCACAACATAAGTAAACGGGTTATGAACAAGAAAAGCACATCACTACTCAAGGAAAATTCTCAGGCCCCAGCTGACCCAAAATTATGAAGCATAAGCCTTCTAGCCAGGCAAGACATCAGAAATGCTCGGGGAAGTCCGGGAGAATATCTTCTTTATTTATCAAGTAGAATACTAAGATGAACAAAAAGTAAAAAGTGACAGGCCCGAACCCATTTCACATAGCACCTCATATTAAGGCATGGACATCTCTAATACTAGAAAGAAACCCAAAGTCCATTATGCTGCTCTGATAGTATATATTTCCCTCCCCCAGAACTCTCTAACAGAATAGAATAAAGAAAATATACAAGTATTAAATCTTAAAACTGAGAATGTGATCAGAATTCGATCGAATATTAACTTTTTCACAAGAGCAACAGAAAGTTAACACTTTTAGATTTAATGCAGAGACATCCCAGCTTAAAAAAAAACTGCAAACAGGAAATTTGATCAGATACGCGTCAAAGCTCATCCTCTTCTCAGGGGAGAGGACTATGCTGTTATGAACTTCTTCATGAGACGTTGACTATGGGTGAACAAGGCGAAGAGGATTGAGGGTTGCAGCAAATCGTAACAAGGTCCATTTCGAGATTATTGTATGCCTGTATCAACCGTATGAGATCCTCTAAAGCGACCCTGACCAGTGCGAATAAAAATGCGTAGAAGCTGAAATAGGTTTCTACAAATGAACAGGGATCCACCTACAAATCTTCATGCAAATTAAATACGGAATACCAAAAGACGAAGCACATCAGAAATCGCTTTTGAGAATCTGTCTCATCTTATTATGAACCACTTCGGGAAGAAATTAAAATACACTGTTGGAATGTTTCACTAAAATCTAGTATTTCATTCTGCTAAAGTTGGAAGCAGTCCTTGGGTGGACAGGTAGCAGCAACACCAATTTCCAATATCCAAATTTAAAATCACTACCTGATCCAGATGCAAAACCGTACCCAAGGAGACCGCCGAAGCTAGAAAAAACCCGATCGAGAGACAAGGCGTATGGACGACGGAGAAAACTCACTAAAGTGTGTCCGGTGGCCCGATGATCGTCACACTCCACTCGAAGATATTGCTATCGTCCACTAGCCCGGCCGAGAAGCCATCCACGGGACTCTTGCTTAGATCTGACCCAACGATGAACATTAATTACCATACAGCCGAGGTTTCCGCAGATCACGAAACGGAACTGGTGGGAGGAACCCACAAGGCGAGTTTTCGAACCGATCAGGGTACCTTTTAGCTGCTTCAGAAGCAGGAGACTAGCTTGGGTCTGCGCTGCCATGAGAAGGGGGGGGGGGAGGGGCAGGAGAGAGAGAGATGACGATGAACCTGAAGCGTGAAGACTGGAACAAGAGCGGCCGACCTTCGCGAAGCGGCGAGTATATATGGAGAAGGGGATAACACTAACCAAAATAGCTGGTCCCTCTTACATATTTCAATTTCCCAAAAAAAAACATCAAAAAATAAATTTTTTATGAAAATCTACATTTAAAAGAATGACAGTTTTTTTTCGTTTTTCTCAAATATAATTTTGGTATTTTCATCGCTAAATTATTCTGTGTAGAATAAAACAATTTCAATTTTATTTGTTGGTGTTGAGCGAGGGCTTTCTTTGTTGATGGGCCCAGCGTGGGGTTTGACCATTCGGGCCGACTAGTCCATTTGACCAATTTTGCTAATTGTACAAGGTTCTGGAAGGCCCCGGAACCACGTAGAAACCATTAGAAACAGAGCTGCTTGCTGAATTTTCCGAAGTTTCTGGAAATCTCGGCGAGAATAAATAGCCATACTCCCCGCATTCTTGGTCCCAGAAATCTCTGTTCGTTTGAAGCAATAGTCTGCATTGCTCTCTCTCTCTCTCTCTCTCTCTCTCGTGCGCGCGCGCGCTCTTTCTCTGGTACTCATTCCTTCGATTTGCTTTGAGCTGCTGTGGCGGTTCCAATGGCCGGGAAGGGTGAGGGACCGGCGATCGGGATCGATCTCGGAACAACCTACTCGTGTGTGGGGGTCTGGCAGCACGACAGAGTTGAGATCATCGCGAATGATCAGGGGAACCGGACGACCCCGTCCTATGTGGCGTTCACCGACACCGAGCGCCTCATTGGGGATGCCGCCAAGAACCAGGTGGCCATGAATCCGACGAACACCGTCTTCGGTAAGTCTCATACCGGTTGATCCTCTTCCCTCTAATGCTTTTCACTAGTCGATTTAGGCTCTACATTGTCTCCCTGCTTGCTATGAGATGTTTTTCTTTTACTGTTAATTATGTCGGGATTAGGCTGCTCATAGTTGTTGTCTCCCTCGTTCTAGTTGGGAGAATCCGAAACTCTCTAAGCCTCTTCGAACGCGAAGTCATTCAGTTTTTCTTCATCATCCCTGCGAATTAGAGAGCACCAGGGTAACTGACAAACCAGAAAAAATCATCCATCTACTGTCGTACAGATGTCAATGCATTAACCAAGCGCATAATACAGCCAGTCTTGTCGTTCTCATTGATCACTGTGGATTTCCTTTCACTTCCTTTTTCCATGTCGTCGCGTAAATCTGTTGATATGGGAATAATTCGCGTTGGTTTACTTTATGTCGGCCTTAAAAGAAAAAAAACTACATCACCAAGTTACATCTGAACAGCCTTTACTCGGATCAAATATCTATCTACGGTGTACGGCGAGTACTAATCGAAATTCATTTTGCTTTCTTAGATGCGAAACGTCTGATCGGTAGGAGGATATCCGATCCATCCGTCCAGAGCGACATTAAACTATGGCCATTCAAGGTCGTCCCTGGACCCGGAGAAAAGCCCATGATTGCCGTTCAGTACAAGGGCGAGGAGAAGCAATTCGCCGCTGAGGAGATATCCTCAATGGTTCTCGTAAAGATGCGCGAGATCGCCGAAGCGTACCTGGGATCCACAGTTAAAAACGCCGTGGTCACTGTGCCTGCGTACTTCAATGACTCTCAGCGTCAAGCGACGAAGGACGCTGGCGTCATCGCCGGACTAAATGTCTTGAGAATTATTAACGAGCCCACGGCTGCCGCCATTGCTTACGGCCTTGACAAGAAGGGCGGGGGTGCAGGCGAGAAGAACGTGCTGATCTTCGACCTTGGTGGCGGCACATTTGATGTATCTCTTCTCACCATCGAAGAGGGTATCTTCGAGGTTAAATCCACAGCAGGGGACACCCATCTTGGAGGGGAAGACTTCGACAACAGGCTGGTGAACCATTTTGTTCAGGAGTTCAAGAGGAAGCACAAGAAGGATATCAGCGGCAATCCAAGGGCTCTGAGGAGATTGAGGACGGCATGTGAGCGGGCGAAGAGGACCCTGTCCTCCACAGCCCAGACAACTATAGAGATCGACTCGCTGTCCGAGGGGATTGATTTCTTCTCTACCATCACCCGCGCCCGATTCGAGGAACTGAACATGGATCTCTTCAAGAGGTGCATGGAGCCTGTGGAGAAATGTCTGAGAGATGCTAAGATGGACAAGAGCAGCATCCACGATGTCGTCCTGGTCGGGGGCTCCACTAGAATCCCAAAGGTCCAGCAGCTACTACAAGAATTTTTCAATGGGAAAGAGCTCTGCAAGAGCATCAATCCAGACGAGGCGGTGGCATACGGGGCGGCTGTTCAGGCCGCAATCTTGACCGGCGAGGGCAACCAGAAGGTGCAGGACCTGCTGCTTCTGGACGTGACTCCTCTCTCCCTCGGCCTGGAGACGGCCGGAGGAGTCATGACCGTGCTGATCCCCAGGAATACCACAATCCCCACCAAGAAGGAGCAGATCTTCTCCACCTATTCGGATAACCAGCCGGGCGTCCTCATCCAGGTCTTCGAGGGCGAGAGGACCAGAACCAAGGACAACAATCTCCTGGGCAAGTTTGAGCTCTCCGGCATCCCTCCTGCTCCCAGGGGTGTTCCCCAGATCACCGTGTGCTTCGACATCGACGCTAATGGCATCTTGAACGTCTCCGCCGAGGACAAGACCACGGGGCAGAAGAACAAAATCACCATCACCAACGACAAGGGCCGGCTGAGCAAGGAGGAAATCGAGAGGATGGTGCGCGAGGCGGACAAGTACAAGGCCGAGGACGAGGAGATCAAGAAGAAGGTGGAGGCCAAGAACGCCCTCGAGAACTACGCGTACAACATGAGGAACACCATCCGGGATGAGCAGATCGCCTCGAAGCTCACTCCAGGAGAGAAGAAGAAGATCGAGGACGCCGTCGACGGGGCCATCCGCTGGCTGGACGGGAACCAGCTGGCGGAGGCGGAGGAGTTCGAGCACAAGATGAAGGAATTGGAGAGCGTGTGCAACCCCATCCTCGCCAAGATGTACCAGGGAGGAGCAGCGGCAGCCGGACCGAAAACGGCGGGGAAGAAGTACGAATCCGGGGGGTTCCCTCCCGCCGGTGCAACCGCGGCAACAGGAGGCCCGACGATCGAGGAAGTCGACTGAGCCCGCGCACCTGAGGTCCCCTAATCCCGGTCCGGTCTACTCCACTCACAGGTTCTTTCGAATAACCCAACGCACTATTAAACTACCGCCCATTCTCTCTCTGTCTCTGTCTCTCTCTTCCACCCATGATCCGTGCGCCACTGCCTGTCTTCTCCTAGTAAAGGCGTGTTGAGAATCTTGCCCCGCTACTTCCTGTGTAAAATCATCAGTTCGGACAACAAGAAATCATGTTACAGTAAAGTTCTTAAAAGAGTTCCAAGAAAGATGGAGGGACACTGACTTCAATCAGTCAAAGGTCTCCCTGTGTAACTTGGGTAGTCCACCAAACCTTCATCAGTGCACTGCCGCCACCCAAGGGGGCCCTCAAGCCCGACCATCACAACCAGCCGAGCTTGGCATCGAGAGCATCCTCTTCGACCGCATCTGCAGAACTGCCGAAAGCAGAAATGACGTGGAACAATGGAAAAGTCAACTCCACCGAGCGAAATTCTCGTCGCACCGGATGGAATGGGGAAGACACGGTTGAATCACACCACCGACTTCTACTATTGAATTGACTCCTCTCACCGGATCAGACGACGCAACTCTTAAGGATGGGTACTACTGCGTCTTCAAAGATTAACATCATAATATCATAGGCTGAGACAGACGACCTACGGGTCAACCCCCCAAAGATCTACGGCCATACGGCTCATGAACAGAGATGAGGAGCTCTGTCTCCTATAGCTTCTAGCTGATTCGATAGCTGCAAGATCCTACACAAATCTAGGGCTCCCGGCGCAATTTCTCCCCGGGATCAGTCCCACACTCAAAACCGGGCAGCAGTCGTCTATCGTTTTAAGTCAACGTAACACACGAGCACGGAGGACCAAAGTCGCACCATCTTCCGCCGGCCTCGGAGAGAAGCAACCCCGCTGCCCGCTGCGTCCAGAGCGGGATTACAGCCGAGTGCTTCGGAAAGAAAGACTCCACAGGAACTGGCTGGGGATGTCAAGGTAATGAGCTTGGAAGAATGAGCCGTGCTCTGAACCAGTCACATGAGCCAAGCACGCGCATTTAGCATACACGCGGCAAGGAAAGGATACCTCTCATTCACGGTCAACGGAGGCCGCCGTCAGAAGAGCAGCAGCAACGCGTTGACCTGCTTGCTCGCTCGCTCAGTGCTTCTTCTTCCTTGTTATGCCAAGAGGAACTCGTTGGCTCCGAGGTGGGGGCGCAGGCAGACGCGGACCTCGTGCTCCTCGGGGCCCGCACGGTGCTTGGGCACCACGATCTCCAAGACGGTGCTACTCTCGTCGTAGAAGGCCTCCAGTTGGGCATCCTCGGGGATGCGGGTGGCCAGCGGAATCTCCCTCACGAACTCCCCCGGCGGGCAGTGCTCCGGCGAGGGATCCGTCAGCTTGAAGGTCCGGTCATGGCGCTTCACGTAGGGCATCCGCGCGGTGCTCACGCAGAGTATCTTCACCACGCCGTGCGTGGGTGTGTTTTTCCAGGAAACCTTCACCCGCAGGAGGTCAGCGAACGGCAGGCTCACCACGATCAGGTACCCTTCCTCGTCCTCGTATATCGTCTTCGCCGCGGTGACGGGCCCGTAGGCGCGCTTCATTACGCCGGAGAACTCCGCCAGCCACGGCGGATCCGCCGGCGGCGTCGGCGCGTCGCCGGAGAAGGCCGACAGGCAGCAGTCCTCCTCCATCCCCCCGAAGAGGTACTCCTTGCGCCGCTTGTTGCAGGCCGGACCAAACTCGCCGCCGTTGCCATTGGACAGGTTAAGGCCGGGGCCGGTGAGGAGCCTCCTGGGCCTGGCGGAGGGGGAAGGAAGGTGGTGGTGGCGATCGAGCTCGAAATCTATGGTGGGGAGGTTCCGCCATAAGCCGAAGTCGCTGGCCTCGAGGGGCACCGCGAAGGCGGCATCCCTCCCCGTGAGCTCCGCCCAGCGCTTGCGGTCCGCCTCGGGGACGGCGGCCAGGTTGGGCTGCCGGACGATCTCGATTCCATGGAGGCACTGCGGATTGGAGAGGCCTCTGTACTGCTTCCGCTGCATCCGGTGAGAGCGGACGAAGCCCTTGTCAGCGCTGAAGGGGAAGTGGGGCTCCCCGGGGCGGGAGTGCCCGTTCATGTAGCTCCGCAGCTGCATCTTCCCGAGGGCGTTCTCAGGGCGATCCTTGAAGACCCACATGTACATGTTCTCCATGTCGTGCTGCACCAGAAACACGTCCAGGCGGAGGTCCACCTTGTCGAAGCCGGCGCCGCCGCCGGCGGAGGAGAGCTTCCCCTTGGACTTCTCCGCGAGGACGGGCCGGAAGTAGAAGGTGAAGAAGAACCAGGCGCCCCAGATGCTGTCCCCGCGTCTCGCGCACCGGCGAGGCCCCGCTCTGGGGAGGCTGAGCAGGGCATCCGTCTCGTACAGTTGCTGCGGCCCGAGCCCCACTTCCAGGAGCTCGCAGGGGTCGGGGCTCCACGCCTGCGGCGGTGGCGAGGGCTCCGCCGACAGGGGAAGGTTGATATCCGGCGGCCGGGAGAGGGTCATCTGCGGCCGCTGCTGCTGCTGCTGCATGATCATCTCGCAGTCGTCGTGAGGGGACGACGCCATTCCCGTCGGATCCATGGACAGAAGAGTGGAAGGATGGTGGCTCTCCCCCGAGATCAGGGTGCTCAGCAGCGGCTCCCCCATCATTACGCGAAGGCGGCGGCTACTCCCTCCCCATCGTCGTCGTCCCCGTCCTCCTCACAGTCTCCTGCTCCGCCGCTTCTTCCCCTCCTCCCCACCGGCCGCCGCGTCCGAGCGCCGTCGCATCCGGGGATAAGACCTTCACGAATTCATTCCACAAAAGACGAAGAATCGAGCCCTAGATCCTTTCGCGGGCAAGGACCATTCGAAGATCGGACGCAGAGACCGGGGGGGGAGAGAACTCTGATCCCCGCCCTCACATCACCTTCGATCCAGATCCTGGGGTAGCGGAGATCAAAGGAGAATTGCGGAAACCCTAACCCTAGAGCCCTGGAGATCCCACCGGCGAGCGTCTAGGGCTCGAATCCGGGGAAGCCGGCGTCTTCCTCCGCTGCGGAGGCGGACACCAGAAAAATAATCCTGCCTTCTCTACAAAGATACCCATAAAAAAAACATAATTTGTCTACCCTCCCCTTGTCTTTGACCTCTTCCCCTCGCCCTTCTCAGTCTAAGAAGTTGACCTCACGGACTGAGCTGGCGGGTCGAACGGGATGGACCCCATACATTATTTATGGGCTTGCAACCCACTTTTCCCACTTGGGGCAGCCCATTTTTTCAAATACTGGGCCGCCCTTGAAGTAGTGGTCTCCTCACTCGCTCTGACCGTCGGGCCCAACCTTGTCCCACACGTGCGATCTGACAGCCGTTGCTGAGAGGATGAGAGGACAGAAATTGCTGACCTGTTCTCTTCGGCATTTAACTTAAAACACGAGATATGCGCTGTTTATATATATTAAAGCGGTAATTTAATTATACCCTTTTTTTGTCCCCTGGTCGGCCCCCACGTCACAACAGGTGAGTAAGTATTCAACGTGAGGTGGGATGATCCCGGGTCAACGCGATGCACGTGACGTCGGCTGGTCAGCGGCGACGATTGTTCGGCATCGGCCACGTGTGTTGACTCAGGTTTGTCTCTTCGGTAGGAGTAGAAGATACTACTCGGAGCAGCTGCCCTGGCGAGTCAATCGTATCATGACTTTATCATCATTTTTAATTAAATATTTAAAATGCAACATAAAAAATATCACAATTTACTTAAAGGGGAAAAAATAGCGGGAAATTTCGAAGGCACGAGGGCATTTTTTCATATTTTTATATTTATTCGTAAAAAGACTTTTCGATAAGCATCGTGTATTTCTTCTCTCCATTTAATTCTCACTCCAGATTAATGGAGAGAGAGAGAGAGAGAAAGAGAGAGAGAGAGAGGGAGAGAGAGGGAGAGAGGGAGAGAGAGAGAGAGAGAGAGAGAGAGGGAGAGAGATCAACTCTTCCTTGGCGAAGGCGATAGATAGGCGGCTGAGATTTGCAGCAGATGTAAAAGGATTTATCCTCAACCGTTCGATCTCGATTTCCAGAGGAGGCCCCTCTTCCGTTCCCGGCTATCACGGAAGAGGTCCAAACCGTCCACATTCATCCGATACAAAAGCTGTCGACCCAGGGAGGCATAAAAGGCAACCCTGAGTCAGTTACCCCATGCAAGTACGAAGAGCAGTACTCGCAGACGGTCAGTTCAAGGGAGGCCAACAGGAATATTCCGCTTTGTCATCAGGGACCTCTTCTGCACGTACTCGTGTATGCAAACTGATGCGTACGAGGTTTCCCGTCGCGCTGGCTGATGCTCCGAACGCTATATATACGTATCCCGTCGTGGTGTCTCGAGCGGTGTCAGCTGAAGGGAGGGAAGCGGTCCCTGTCCTATCTAAAGGGGAAGAAGGGGGTTTCTTCCCCCTCCTTCCAGAGGGTTCGGGGGAGGGCGGCGGGAGGAGGGAGATCGAGGAGGAGCTGATGGAGGCGGATTTCTTCTGCCAGGAATGCAAGGCATTCACGCAGACGGTGCTCGATCGATCCACGGGGGACACGGTCTGCACAGAGTGCGCTCTGGTCGTCGATCACCACTACGTCGACCTCACCTCTGAGTGGAGGGTCTTCGCTGATGATACCGATGGCGAGGATAAGGTCCGGGTTGGGGGGGCATCCAATCCCCTTCTGGGGGACGAAGGCGGCCTCGCGCCCACGCTCATCTCCAAGACGAACGGCAAGCCGACATTATTCTCGGTGGCCCGCGCGCAAGCCAATGATCCCCATCGCGCCCTCATCCAGGCCTTCGGAACCATATCGGCTATGGCCAACAGGTTCCATTCTCTTCCGCGCGCTCTCGACTAGGTTTTTGTCTGGGGGCGGTTATGCTGATGTCCTTGATATCGTCATCTTCTTCATGTTTAGCGAACGGAAGCGATCACGAATCGAAGCTATACTGTCAATTGGATCTCCGAATATACTGTTTTACTTTTAAAAAATGGAGAGGTGAAAATCCTGGGCTGGGAAGTCGTATTCTTTATCAATCAGGGCTCCCGGTGGAAGATGATAGTGTGGATTATAATTTTATCCTCCGAGGTCACCTTGCTGCCGATGGATGTCCACGGGTGTCACGAATGGGGAACACTTCCTTAATCCAATAGACGGAGAAAGTTTTGGCTACTATCAGGGTTATATTGTATGTGAACAAGTACATAAACTTCGCAAAGAAAAACGGCAAAATACGGGGATCTAAATATCTTGGGTAACCTGGCAAGCTTGGATCGACAGTATTCATCTGATGACTGAAGGCAATGACGGATGAGTACCATAGAAAAAATAAGAAAAATAAGACATTTGAAATTATCATTGGTGTCGTTCTAGAATTCTTTGCGTTGAATGATCTCTGGGTGAAGGGCATAATTTTTCCACGGGGAAGGCGGGGCAAACCAGATCACTCCTTGAAATTGTGCACACATAAAACCTTCACTCAGATTACGAATTAATATGGCTCACAGTAAAACGGAGTTCCAGTATCGATTCAATCCATTTTCTAGGTACCTTATGGAAGAGCAGCATGGAAACGACTAAACTCTTTCAGATTTTTTATAAATGAAAGCTCTCGGATAATTTTTGTCCTTCTCTCTTATTGTACTAGATGTCCATATTTTCTGCTAGCTAATACGTGGTGGTCTTCCATCAGCTTCCTTCCTCTGAAAAATCCTTTGGATGCATGCCTTAAACAACTAATGTGTCGGGTTGACTTATAGACCTTAGGTCTTCTATTTAGAATTCAGGTATCCGAATTTTGAAGCGGATGTAATGCTCTTATACCGGTAGTGAAATATATGCTTTCATTGTTGGTCACATAGATCTCTGTCAGTGTATCATTTCCCTATTTCTGGTACGAGATATATGACCCCCATGCACTTTGTAAAAAAATTCCACTAGCTCCCTCGTAGTATAGAATCTAACTTTTTAGCAGTAGGACATTCAGAATTACCATTTCATATTGTCTTCCAGCCCTTCTGGTTGACACGTATCAGATTGGTTTCTCTCCTTCCATGTATGGCATTCATATGCGAGTTTTCCTTTTTTTCTGACGGCATCGTAATTTCTTTTTTCCAGATTGCACCTTGTTTCGAAGATTGAGGTACGTCAGGCCCATATTCATATATTCTTTATTTTGTTCCTCCGTTTTATCCTTTATAGCATTGCTGAGTTGATGGTAATTGTAAGCCTCAGTGAGGATTCTGATTTTCTATAAGCTGCATATTCAGCAGAATATTCTCCCAAAATTGATTGCTGTTTGACTGATGGTTTGTAAGGGGCTGGCCATACCATCCAATTGCAAAAAGATTAAGATCTGGTCTATGCGTTTTCTTATCCTTTTTTTTTGTGAAATTCCTGTTCTAGATCACGGGGGAGGTGGCTCTACATTGTGAGATATCAAGGAAGAATTAAGAACACGGCAAAATTGGAAGTGTAACGTCTATTTTACAATGGGAAAATTGATTCAAAAATGTTAAGGAGGGAGCAGAGCAAACTTATCCGCTGTCAAACATGGCCCTCTGAATACATGCACCGTGCAGGAGGCATTTTGTGATTTCTGCAGTAGCCTTGTGGAAAATCCAAAATGTCTGTGGAGTTTGATCTGCTGCTCAGCCCTCTCCTAGTTGCACATGAGGTTTGGAAACTTGGTCCCCGTCCCTCTGGAGGAGGACGAGGGGATAATATGTGGCTTCTGGTCTATTGCGAGGATATTTTCTTGTCAATCCTTGAAAATTGGAAGAACCGATATGGATTGCAGCTTTCTTCACGATTTGCGGCATCACCATCTCAAGAATGGAGATTATGTCTTTATAAAAGGAGTCATCCCATGAAACAAAACTACACGAAGATCTTGTCTGGAGATGATACTTGTCGGGGTGGATGAACAGGTAGTAAAATATTGATAAAGAAGTTTGCCTTCTGCTCCAACTATCCATGGTTCAACGACTATTTCGAGACCCTTGGCTTGACGTCAATTAATTATGATATTAATGAAGAGAATTAATAGGACACAAGAATAATCAGTTAACAAGCTGCATTCCGTGAGAAGAATGAAACAATTTGCATAGAAAGTGGGATGTTTTCAAAAGATGCAAGAAAAGCTTGTGCTGACATGGAAAAAAGGAAAAATCTCTACGCATTCCATGATATGGTATCATTTAGGGTCTCTCAAGTGCTAGTTGCTTGTTTCCATGTTCAAGTTTCTGATTTTTCTTTATTTTCTTGATTATGATTTACCGGTGCATTGTGTGTTTTAATACTGATATCATTTTTTCTCACCATACATGCTGATACTGCATGATCATACGCTTGCATGTGGTTATTAGTCAGTTTCTAACATCATCATCGTGTGATTTTCTGATGGAACCTATAAATTTGTTGAAGCATCGGGCGCAAGAGATTTATAAGAACCTAAAAGATCGAAAATCGATCGTTGGAAAACCTCAGACTGCAGTCTTGGCTGCCTGCCTATTTGTTGCTTGCCGTCTAGAACATGCCCCTCGCACTGTAAATGGTACTTTTTGAGCCCAAAAATGTATTGCTCATATGTGTATTCTACGTGGGATCTAACATCCCCTGGACCTGTCTTTTGCAATAGAAATATTTTCTGTTGCCAATGGGGCTACCAAAAAGAAAATTGGTCAAGCAATAAACATTATTGAGGCAGAAATGGGTTCAACACTTGAGATGGGGACTGCACGTGCAGGGGATTTCATGGTGAGTTTGTGAGACTGCTATTATAATAATCCTAAATTATCTAGTTATGATTTTGAATTGAGAACCGTTGGGTTCATGGCATTATCTTTATCTGCAGCGGCGCTTTTGTTCCCATCTTGGCATGTCAAATCAAACTGTTAAAGCTGCCCTCGAAGCAGTTCAGAATTCAGAAGAGCTTGATATAAGGTAGTTTTCTTTTTCACCTTGAAACCAGTTGCTCATCTTCATCTCGTGTTTGGGCACTGAACTTAGAAAATCAAGTTGATTCTCGAAACACACCATCCATAAAAATGGCCTGAAAATATGATATGTTGAAAGAGAAAAACTCCTCTCTCTCTCTCTCTCTCCCTCTACCCCCCATTTATTTTTCCATCCATGTTGTGGACATGAACGAGCTGACATTACATATTAGTCACCTGGGTTGTGGTTGGCTTTGCAGAGAAAAATATATTACAATTATTATTATTTTATTGTTGGATTGTGCTTGAAATTATGGCCCCTCGCATGAAGAACATATTAGTAAAAGAATAAATGAAAGCAAGACAGTGATCTATGATGCTACAGTCAAAAGAAGAAGATTGGAGCACAGCTTTTTTTCCCATGCCATGGCTCTGTCTCGGAAGCAGCAGCGTCTGACTATTCGCCATGTGTTGAAGAAAAGGCAGCAACACAGAAGACCGAATTTAGGGTACATAATACAGGTGTGAGTATTACAACATGATTTCTTTGAGGACCAAAAAACTGTGTAGACCCTTGATGTTAGAGAAGCCGTGCTCACCAAAAAACTGGTTTCTACCAGATTTCAAGCATATCTGCTCAACGTTCGTCGGTCTTGTTACCATAAGGAAGCCAGTAGAGGAAGTCTACGACTGCGAGTGAGCTCCATTGAAGGATGTTGCAGAAATAATTCACTGACAGACCAGCACTGTTGAAGGGATCAAACTGTGGACTGGTTGGTCGTGCTTTCCAATGAAGAGCTTATTCTCTCAGAATCGAGATGATTAGCAGAACAGTTCTTACTAGAAAATATTGGTTTCTAGTTGGCTGGTTTTGATTTAGTGGAGCTGAGAGACTATTTTGGTGGTTCATGGACTCAGGTTGACGGATAGTTTTCATGATGATAATGATGATGATCTGTAGATTTTTTTTGATATTCATTGCATAATTTCAGGTAAAATCGGTGATTACAGAGACTATTGGGAGTATGAATTAGAAGATAAATCGCATATTGTTCTTAGTGCTGATGATCAGGAGATTGAACATATTCGCTGTCTCAGGGCCAGAAAAAAATATTATTTTTTTAAAGCAAAAAATTGGTTGATAATTCCTCATTATCAGTATTTTTCTCACTCTTAGTTTGCCTCCTTTCGTCAGTATTTTCTTCCTTCTTCCCGGGAGTGATTTACATGCTTTCCATATTTAGATTGTTTCTAGAGATGGGAGTTATCAGCAGTAGCTTCTTTCACATCGACCATGGAATGTCCCTCTCTGTGTTTCTCAGTCACTCGCCGCCTAACATCTGCTGGCTGTCTCTGGTTTTCTTTCAGGCGGGCGCCACTGTCTGTGGCCGCGGCGGTCATCTACATGATCACCCAGCTGTCGGACGAGAAGAAGCAGCTCAGAGGTTGGGGCTCTAAACCCCCCCCCTTCCCCCCCTTCCTCTCTCTCTCTCCTCTCTCTCTCTTCTTTCTCACGCGAAGCAGCGTGGGCGTGTTCCCCGAAGCAGATATCTCGCTCGCCACCGGCGTAGCAGAGGGCACCATCAAGAAGGCGTACAAGGACCTCTACCCCCACGCCGCCAAGCTGATCCCCAGCTCCTTCGCCCCCGAGGAAGATCTCCGGAAGCTCTCCAGCCCCTGACTTTCCGGCGTCGATCGCTCAAGAAGGCTCCACCGGCGAAATCCCCGCACCATTCAAGGGAGCAAGGCGGCGCCGCCGCTCCCTGTAAGTGAACCCGAACATATCTGCACCGCCGGTGGAATCCAAGAGAGAGAAAGTGGCGATTTTCATGAAGCCTGCCGGCCATGGTTCGTACGTGATCTGAGGGCAATTCCCTTTTTCTCAGATATATGTTCATACTCAGGTTCTCTCTCTCTCTCTCTCTCTCTCTCTCTCTCTCTCTCTCTCTCTCTCTCTCTCTCTCTCTCTCTCTCTCTCTCTCTTTCTCTCTCTCTATCTCATATACGTCCCTGGAATTGTAACGGTCAGAGCCACGTAAGCCGATCTCTGCTGTACAACTCGCACTTGTCATAGAGGAGCATTCAAAAATGGGTCGATGACGGTTTGATCGCTTTTATCTGGGCCGAGCCTTGAGAGCCCGGCTCGGTTTCTTTTCGGGCTTTAGCAGAGCAAAAGAGAGAAGAGTTTGCGTCAAAAGTCGGGTTCTGCCGGGCCCGGTCGGTCCCCTTCCGCAGAGCTCGAGCCCGAGTCGGGCCCGGACAGGAGCTCCACCGCAGACGTGATGGGCCCAGCCTCCTGGCCCGTTTACCAAGATGGGCCTGTTCTTGAATGGCGAAGTGGGGGAAACTGGGGTCAACCGACTCTTACGACTGAGTTGGGTGGGCGATTGAATGCATGAGCGAAATATTGGGCCAATTTGGAATATTTTGGGCCGGGCCTATATTTAAAAATGATAGGCCCATTTTCGCTGCGGGAACTGAAGCAGAAAACCCTACAGAAACCCCTCGCTCCCCTCCCACCAGCGCATTCATTCCACTCGTCCCCTTCGTTGAGGAGATGATCAAAGGCAAGGGTAGCCAGCCGGCGGTATTGGCCTTTGCGGAGCGCTGCAAAGTAAGGCTTTCAATATCTCTCTCTCTAGAAGTCTGAGCGATCATCTCTTGCTGGAACAGCTTCTCAGCCGCTTTCTAGGGATGTTAAATCCAATATTGTTGCGTATTTTCATGCTGATTTTTTCTTCGGCAGAATATTTTGGCCGCCAATTGGCAGGCTCAGTTGTATACCGTGAAGGCCGACGCCAAGGGAAGGTACGAAGATCGGAATTCGTTGATGATTGAACTCGCCGATCCAGTCATTTATTATATACGTGAATAGATTCAAATAGACTCTATATGTGTTGATCTGCGTGGTGCGGTGTTCTCCGCGGGATGTGGTTCATACGAACATCCGGTTCCATGCTTTGAACTTCTATTCCCGCCGTTGAATAATGCAGTAATGGCGTGGATGGATCATTCGGCAATTTTTTTGAATTTATGACAGCAAGGAGGACATTTACTCGTCGAAGGTCAAGTACATCTTCAGGCGCGGTAAACCCTATTTTTGGGTGCCAGAGGGAGATTTGCACAATGTGGTACTAGTCCGATCGCTTGCGCTCCACTTTTTAGTTCAATATCACGTTCGTTATTTCAAAGTCCGAGTTAATTGTTACGATCTTCTGGTCCACGAATGAGAGACCACGTTTTAATATCTTGCTCGAAATTTTCCTATTTTAAGCTCTCTTTTTTTTTTTTTTTTTTTTCTTTTTTTCTGTTCTAGCCTAACTCATTCGGACGGAAGTCTCATCGATCTTCCTCCGTTGTGCGACTTTGTTTCTTTATTTCTGGAGATATTTTCGTGGAAAGCATCCAATATAGTCGTCTGCTTGTGCCCTCATCATTTGAGCCATTGTTTTTTGTTATTTTTTGCCAGAATACGCTTATTGATGAGCGTGGCTCTCTTTCTGTGAGCACTCCAACCCCAGGCGCCCTCGCGAGCCTATTGAAATCTGTTAAGAAGGTTGGTATTCCGCAAGATTTCATGAAGATATTCTTGGGGATCTGTAGCCCTGAAGTTTTCCTGTTGGGTCACTCGTGTGAGCTTTTCTACTGACCGTGAATGAAATTTTCAGAACCTCTTCTTCGATCCGATCCTTATCAGAATATTACTTTCTTTCTATTTTTGCCACCTGTTCTCATTAAAAAAAAAAAAGAATACTCGTGAATTATGTTGCCCACATTGTTGTACCAAGATGGCTCTATTTGTCTGCGTTCAACAACTAAAAATAAATTATCATTATTTAATGCCACTTAAATCTTATACTGTGCCATTAAATCGAAATGAATTTAGGCTGCCCTCCTAATTTTTTCTTTTTCTTTTTTCTTTTTGTTGATATTCATATCGCCTGTCGTTTGACTTTCATGCTGCAGCTGCCAGGTCGGGTTGCTCTAACCGGTGATGTCATACCCCTCAAAGAGACCAAGGTAAATCCCCCCTAAATAGATGATGAATATTGACCGAATCAGCGGCAGCTTCTTCTTTTTTTTTTTCCTGAATAAAATAAAATCATTCGTACCGATAATTACGAGCATCTCAAGCCACCAATCTAAACAAAGAGAAAAACTCTTGAAAACATCACTTGGTTCATCGGATCTTGCAGGCCCAGGCAGAAGCGTATAGGGATTCTTGCAAGATTTCCATGATGAATAGAAACATGGGCAGCGATTGCTTGTTACCGATCGATTTATGTCGTTATTTTGCATAAATGCAGGCTGAGTCTGCCATCGAGGGTCTGAAGGAAGCAATGGCTTTGGAGAACAGAGCCCTCAATCATGCCAGCTATTCAGTTTCCGGCGTGCTGAGCTCCGCCAGCGCGAGTTGCAGGTCCAGGAGTTATAATTTTCAGGAGATCATCGATGGCGGGGATAATTTTGTGGCTTATAAGTTTAATATCAGGTAAATGAGGGCCATTATATTCTCATTTAATCAACTGGCTTTGCGTATTTATGAATCTATTTTACTATTATTTCACATTATTGACGATATAAAATATCATATCTGGTTCTTTTATACTTTTTTTTTTTTTTTTTTCATTTAACACCGATCCCCCACAGAACATGCACTTACGTTGATGCCGGGGGAGGCACCCATGAAGTGGAGCTGGATGGCTTGGAATCCTCGAAGCAAGATCTTTTATGTAGGAAATCTCTGCCATTTATATAGTGCACATACCAGATGATAATATATGCATATATTCTTGGAATTATTCAGTTTATTGAGGATTTTTTTATTTTTCCTTTTTTTTTATTTTTTTAATGTTCTTCAGTGCCATTCTCGGAGAAGCTCGTCGATGGGATTAATCAGAGTGAGGCGAGAAGGAGGGCCCTGATCTTTTTCTGCCTCGTCTACCTCAACGCTAATGCCCGGGTGAGTCTCAACACCAACCTTATTTTTCCATGAATATCTCAGATAGACTAGAAGATATCCCTGCGATTGAAAAATAAATATAAACCAAGAAAATGATGACGGAGATTTGAACGGCATTAAATGATCTCCTTCTGTGAAGACGCGAACACATGATGCGAACAGATCCTGCTTCCTGGGGAAGATCATCAGGGAGGAATTTCTCTTTTTGTGAAAGAAAAATTAAAATCAAAATCAAGAGATAGGCAGGCTGCGATCCCTCTGGATCTGACGACTCCATTCGATCTATTTGTTTCGGCTCGAAAGGACGCATTCGTGCTCTCCGTGGATCGGAAAGGATTCGACGTCCTCGCGAAGATCCCCTGCGCGGCCGCCGGAGACGGCGTTGGGGCTCACCAGTGGAGGGAGTTCCGGATCTCCTTCAACGAGGAGGTCTCAGACATCGAGGCGTTCTGCAACCTGCTGGTGGAGATGGAGGCGGCGACTCTCAGGGAAATCAACAGCTTCAGCGGCCTCGGATGAAGATGATCGCCGCTCCGTCCATAGCCGCCGCCTTCGTCGCCCGTCTCCCGGATTTTCCCCCCGAAGCATCTTCCCACAGTGAGTAGTGGCCTCTTTATGTCGAAGCAGGGGGTGTACATGATGGGCCAGGCCCTAGTGAAGCCCATTTTCATAGACCATGTTTTGGGCCCCGCAGGCCTATTATCAACCTCAATACTGTGTGGGGGGCCATAGATCGTGACGGTAGGAGCTCGGGAGAGGAATCTCGTCGCATGTCGGAAGATCCCAGGCGTCCAATCGCTGGACCCCATTGGCGAATGCTGCTCGCTAACTACCGTTATATCTGACGTTCTGACGGCGAAGAGTGAACCACGAGATGGGGTTATAGGGCACGCCGGAGGGGGGGGAGGTGGGGAGGGGGGAACGGCGCAGCAGCAGGGCATGTGATGGATGGACCCATCGATCAGAAGGCCCGGGTGAAAGGGACCAACCAGCCAGGAGATTTGGTCCATCACTGCGCGGATGTTGGGCCCCCACTCGCGGCAAACATCACAGCTCACAAAGGTGCTGGGCCCATTACGTCACCGACCCAATAAGTCCGGGGATAAGATTCCCCGCGGCTAGAATGGGGACCGGTAGGCGACTGCAAGTGGGCCCCACACGGATCACGTGGCTGAAAAATCTGGCGTCACGGGGGGGTTGGGGGGGAGTCAAATCTATTTCTAGTTTGTGGGAAATCGTGGGTAAATGTGTACACATAAGTTTTTAGTCTTGAAGATTTCCAGATTTGGGCTAAGAAAAAATGATCCCTAAATAAAGAATTTACTGGATTGCCACATGGCAGGCTATAGTCGTCCTTCTTACTTTCTTGTGGGCCACTTGTCGGCCATGTGTCACTCAGCTCCCAGCTGGCGGCCCAGTCTCTTCAGATGACACCTCACCTACATTCTCTTCAGGCGACTAGATGGATGGGCCCAGCTAGGACAGGATCGATTTCATTGTTCCTCATGAACAGGGATTGATTGAGCAAGTTGATTCGCTCTCTCTCTCTCTCTCTCTCAACCCTTCGGGGCAGCTGCACTAGCTAGGCTGAGGATATGGGGACACGAGGAAACCGACTGAACTAGTCCGAGGCTAAAAATGCACAGGTCAATAACTTGGCGCAGTTGACTTGATGTTATGTAGCTGGAAATCTCAATGTTGTTGGATTCTTGTTAATCATCTTCAAGATCATGAGAGAGAGAGAGAGAGAGAGAGAGAGAGACACACACACACACACACACTCTCGAAGGCGACCAGCCCCCGGCACTGCACTTTTCGGGCTAATAATATTAAACCAATTGGCTCTAGTATTACAAGTGTCCCTTCCAAACGGCCTCTAATTAGGGTTTCATGGCCTCTGCCGAGCGCTCCTCCTTTTTTGTCGTCTCAGCTTTTCATGCATGACAGCCACCAATCCCCGACATACTAATCGATATAAAGAGGCTTCGGCTTGAAGAAACTCTGCAGGCAAGGTGACCAGAGTCTCTCTCTCTCTCTCTCTCTCTCCTCCTTCCCTCCTATTTCACTTCCTTCCCCCTTCTTCCTCTCTCTTCACCCTGGAACATCTCTCTCCGATGTGATTTCTCACCCTCCAGCACAGACCATCTCAACCAGAAGAGAGGAAGATCACCAAGCATGGTTTTTTCTTCGGTTCCCGTCTATCTTGACCCCCCAAGTTGGATCCAGGTGACTCTCTCCACCAGTCTGCGATCTCCATTCTCTTCTATGTTTTCTACCTCTGGGTTTCGGTTCTTCATGACAAGAGCACGATGAAAGAGATAGATAGATAGATAGAGCGAGAGAGAGAGAGAGAGGGAGAGAGAGAGAGAGAGCATTCTCACTCGTTTTATCTGCTCTTTCATACACCAGAGATTTGATGTATTTGAACCTTTGTCTTGGAAAACAGCAGCCGGCATATCAGCACGAAATTGGAGGAGGAGGAGGGGACTCGGGGCATCTTCCTCTGGCGGCGCCTCCGCGGCCAGAGATGAATCCGGCCCGGTTAGGATCGACCGCAGAGAGAGCTCGCCTGGGGAAGGTGGCTCCGCCGGAGGGCGCCCTCAAGTGCCCCCGCTGCGAATCCACCAACACCAAGTTCTGCTACTTCAACAACTACTCCCTCTCTCAACCCCGCCATTTCTGCAAGACCTGCCGCCGTTACTGGACACGTGGAGGAGCCCTGCGCAACGTCCCCGTCGGCGGCGGATGCCGCCGCAACAAGCGAAGTAAGAGTGGTGGCGGCGGCGGCAGCTCCAAGTCATCCGCTGCCGACCGCCATGCTGGCTCCTCCACCTCCATTGTGGCGCCGTCGTGCGGAGACAGTGCAGCTCACTGCGGCGTCCTGCCGCTGCCGCAATTTCCCTTCATGGACTACCTCGCGGCGGCCGCCAACCTGCGGCTGAATCTGCCCGGTGGTCAACCGGTTGACGCGCTGCACTGCCAGTTGAGCGGCGGCTTAGAGGAGTGGCGGATCCAGCAGGTCCAGGAATTCCCGCATCTGACGGCGATGGAGCAGGTTCCGGCGCCGCCGTCCATGGGGCTGTTCCAGTTCCAAGAAGAGCCGCCGGTCAGTCAACTGTCTATGATGAAGATGGAAGAAAACTCACAGCGATTTACATTGCCCGAGCAGTATCTTGGCATCTCCGGGAATTACCATTACTGGGGTGGCGGCGTCGGCGGAGAGGTCCCCGGAGGGAGCGTCAACGCCGGAGGATGGGCGGCGGACCTCTCCGGTTTCAACCTTTCCTCCACCAGTAATCTCATATAATCGACCTTGGAAGCTCGATTTTTGCCACAGCTTCGAAGAAGACGCGAGTTGACGACTACGAGGGGGGAGGATCACTCATCAATCTTTGACCTGGAATTTCAGTTTTGAATGGTCAACACGTCGAGTCTGTTCTGGAGATGTAGGTAGGCTTCTTGTTCGTCATATATCCGGGTTTCCAGTGAAGGCTGTCCATGAAGTCTTTGGAGTTTATGCCCAGTTATGGAAGCTGTGACAGGAATTTTTATATTGCCATTTTTACCCAGAGAGGTCTCATTATATCCCAGCGTTCTGCCATATTCCTACATTAGTTTGTCTCCCGGAGATCGTCTGGAGGAACAGCCAGTTAATTGCTGCCATTGGTGATGCAGAGGAACTGGTGGTTTACCTTACAATTCGTAGAGAAGCTTCTCTCTCTCTCTCTCTCTCTCTCTCTCTCTCTCTCTCTCTCTCTCTCTCTCTCTCTCTCTCTCTCTCTCTCTCTCTCTCTCTCTCTCTCTCTCGTTCCCTCTTCCTCTCTCTCTCCCCCCCCTCTCCCCCCTCTCTAAAGGTTTCCCTCTCTAGCTCTAGTCGGCACCTTCTTCGGTCTCTCTTTCTGTGCTGATTCAGTCCTGAGACTGCGGCTGGTAAAGGAAAAGAAATCCTTCGTCTTTAGTACCTTGCAGGTCTTTTCTTCCAATCAAATGGAGAGATCTAATCCGCCTGTGTCAGTACCTTGTACGTGTAATTCTGTGCATTAGAGAGAGAGAGAGGCGGGGGAGGGGGAGAGAGAGAGAGAGTGAGAGCGGGAGAGATAAACTATTAAGTTCACATTTCACCATGCACTGTGCATCTGTTTCTGTGCATGGATGAGCCTTCTAGGAAGAGTGGGAAGGAGAGCTTGACATAGACAAATTGAGAGACAGAGAGATGAGGATCAACGAATGGGTTAACCACCTTTCAATGTATTGCGCATGCGTTTCAGCATGCAACTGCCTGCTGCGAGATAGAGAGAGAGAGAGAGAGAGCACATCAAACCATTGTTCTGAGATCGGAGGTCGCGAGGTGTTCATCTTGGGCACGAGATACATTTACGGCGAGTTATTCACACCGGGAAACGTCCTTGCATGATAAATTTGTTTTTCCGTGAATGAGAGAGAGGATATTGATAGAGAGATGGATGGCGAGACGAATAGATTCGTAGAGCGATTGGGGAAGAGCTAAGCTGAGGTGAAGGGATAGAGAGGAGATAGATAAAGAATGATTGAGTAACAGAGATGGGGATACCTACAGAGAGAGAGAGAGAGAGAGATGGTGCGTGGTGTGATCGAATGCCTCGAATAAGAGAATGATCTCCGACATGAATCTGCCAAAAAACACGAGGGAAAAAGGGAAATTCAACGTCAAAAGACACCGAATCTCCCCAAAATCAGTGAAGCCAAAGCAATCTTGCAAATGTATCGCCGCAGTAGTGTCCTTCACTGAAACGCAGAGATAGAAAGGGAGAGAGAGAGAGAGAGAGAGAGACCATAATTTTCCAGAGACGGTCACCCATGTCTAAAGGAGTCTGTGTTTCCTTCCCCGCTTTCGCGAGGATCAAGGTGTTCGTCTCCCCGGAAGAGAACTAAAGCAAACCCATGCAGAAAGAAAAAGAAAACCACCCATGAAGCGGCCCAACGACAGTAGAATTGGAAACCGAGAGGGAGAGGGGAAGAGAGAGAGAGAGAGAGAGTACAGACGAATCGAAAGTAGAGTTTTGGAGGTCTCGGTGGGCCGTGTTCTGGAGATAACAGAGTAGAATCATGGCTGACTGAGTGCGAGCTTCTCGGTCGACGGGGGAGGAGGGGGGCGGTGGGCGCACAGGGGAGCCAGCTTTATCTTTTCTGTAGAGGGCGGTCGGTCCTCGGCTTGGTCTCGCTCGTCCCTCCCTACTTGCGGAGCAGGAAAGAGATAAAGGCAGTAGACAGCTCCATAGATTCCCTTCCTCTCTCACATTTCTCAATCATATCCACAATACTTCCTTGCATCTCTCTCTCTCTCTCTCTCTCTCTCTCTCTCTCACTCACTCACTCACTCACTCACTCACTCACACAGACATGTGCATATCTTCTCCCTCTCTCGCTCACTATCGCACACACAAGGACATACTCTTTTCTTTCTCTCTCTCCTCTCTCCTCTCCCCCTCTCTCTTATTTTTCTCGTTCTTATTCTCTCCCCCCTCTCTCTCTCTGTCTCTCAATCTCACTCGCACACACGCCAACATAGACACTCTTCTCTCGCTCTCCCTCTCTCTCCCTCAAACAGTCTTCCTCACCGCCCTTTAGCTACAAATCGCATAGGCACATCATCTGCCTCTCTCTGCTGCGTCTCTCTCCCACCGGAAGAAACCCAGCATCTCTCTCTCTCTCTCTCTCTCTCTCTCTCTCTCTCTCTCTCTCTAATATACACACACAAAATCTCTATCATACTTCTCTGTCTGTTTCTCTACCCATCTCACTCAGTATTTCCTTGTCTCTATTGCTCTTCTGTCTCTCTCCCTCTCTCTCGCAGGCACACGGTCTTCTTCATCTCTCCACCTCTCCCAAACATACACGGGCAATCTTCCTCATCATTCTATCTATCTTCTCTTCTCTCTCCTCTCTCTCTCTCTCTCTCTCTCTCTCTCTCTCTCTCTCTCTAGCACACGTGCACGCAGACGGATGATTAATTAGTCTCCGTCCAGCACCATCTCCATAATTAAAGAGAGAGAGAGAGAGAGAGTAGGGCCGTCAGATCAGTTTCCTTTGAGCCATGGGATTATTGACCAGATCTCCGACTTTGTTGTGACGGCTTTAAATCACTTCGTTAGTCAACTGATAGTTAACCGGATTCAATTCTCTATATTCATACGAGACCACCTAATTTAATATGAGCGATTTTATATTTTTGTCTATATAAAATCACTAAAAATCCTAATCATACGCAATATTGTGACGAGCAGATGACGTCATAAAATTATAATATATAGCAAAGAGACCGACTGAAAATTTTATTTACTTAGGACTATGTCACGTGTATACGTCAGTCTTTAGAGAGGGAGATAAACAGGAAATGGACACCTTGGCTGCCCGCATTTACCACATAGGCCCCATGGCCACCATGACGCCCCAATCGGTACATTTACCACATATTTCGATGACGTACCACTCCCAAGTAGATCAATTCGTATCAGGGCCAATGGGCTGTCCCATGATGCAACCATAGGCCCATTTCTCATCATGGGTCCCAACCCAGCGTCATCTCACGGTGGGCCCACTAACTACCTAAATGGACCGGTGATTGATCAGCAACTGATGGCCCATATCCAGCCTGGTCCCATAGAGAGAAGACGGCCCATAAAAAGGGCATCCGATCGGTCGCCGCAACCCGTTGATTCTCAAGCTGCTGCGGCCCAAAATAATCAAAAGCAGATAGGAATCAGGTGCTGACATGAGGAGGAGAAGAAGAAGACAGCGGCGGCACTGGGTTTCTTCCCAAGACAAGAAGAGCTCTTCATCTACTATCCAAAACTTTACTTGAAATGGGGATAATATGGGAGCGGCGGTCACATCTTGATGCTGAAGTAGTCCGGGTCGAAGTGGTGCAATCTGACGTACCCGTCTTCACCTCCGCTGGAGAAGCTGCACCGATGAGAGAGAGAGAGAGAGAGAGAGAATAACTCATTAACCGAAGATTTCCACAACTTATTAGGGCAAATAAACTGGGTTTAGAATGGAACGCAGTAGATTTGGATATTCACACAAACTTCAACAGCCTTTCTAACACGATGGAAGGCTCTACGTTCTCCGTTCATAGATATACAATAATTCGACCGCAGCAAGCTCCTATGATAATAATAATGATGATGATGATGATGATGATGCTGATGATGTTGATAATATTCGCTTAATAAGAAAGATATCTAATAAGCCTGTGCACAAGAGGGGCCTTGGATTGATACGACTGGGGGGGGGGGGATTTACTACCCATAAAATGCACTTATGTTACTTATATATAGCATAAGATATTGAGAAAGAAGATGCCCACGTAGAAAGAATGGTGACGTATCAGGTCCTGCATGGTGGCAGAATAGCAAGAGAAGAGAGATTTTTTCAGAAATAACCTTCTGCCGTCAGGATTGAAAGCCAGCGCATTTATGGGTCCAAAGTGCCCTTTCACGCCACCAATTTCCTCCTGAAGAATCTGGACGAAGAGCATAAACAAAATAAAACAAAGAAGTAGGACCGAGTTTCAATTATATCCGAGAGTAAAAAAATGAAGGCGATTTTTTTTTATTAAAAAAAAGGAAACAGGATATTTATGCAATAAAAACGCTTGTCATGTTGACCGTTGACCCACCTTGTGAAAGAATTTGGCCTCGAATTTCCCAGCACGATGGCTAGTCATTGTGACATGGGTAGCCTCCTGACCACCTCCGATCACCACCTAGAGAAAAGACATGATATTGGAGCCTTAACAATGTCTGGGGGGGAGACAGGATAGTAGTTATTGGATGACGCGAAATACGAGCAAGAAGCATGCACTGTGACGCCAGTGATCAGATGGAAAATAAGGTAATGAAAGGTACAATGATCGACTATAGACATTTATTTTAAGAGCAAGCTTTTAATATGTTATTGCTTAAGCTCTATCATACTATTTTACGATGCAAGAATCTACGAACAGCAACGTGTAATGTCAGGCGGAGCCAAGCAAGGATATTCCACAGCTTTAGAAAAACCTAACAGCAGAGAGGAGGAGAATCTGGTTTTATGAAAGAAGAGGTTCACAAAGCAAAGGAGGCCTTTTAAGATTATTATATATATATATATATATAATGGGCTCGTATGATTGTGCTTGGATTCTTTTTCTCAAAATTTCGTTTGTTCAGTTACCACATTATGGCGATGTAAAATTTGCAGAGTTCCTCCGTATGATAACAATGTTTCCAAGTCTCGAGATAGCGAACAAGCAGTTTAGTTGAAAACTAAAAAACAGGTAGAAGCTGAGACAGAGATCGAGAACGATGCAAGAGTAGAAAACTATCACATACATGATCAAGAAGAGGGGAAATGGCACAAGCATTGACAGGTCGTTCTGTCACATATGTTTTGAGTAGAGTTAGTGTCCTGATGTCCCATAACTGAAAAATATCACCAGAGTCAGAAACTCAGAAATCGCAGCTGAATGATAAGAAGATTCTGGATTATGAAAGTGACAAAAGAAACAAGGTTCAGTATATGCAATAAATACCCTTGCACTTTTATCGGAGGAGCCTGTAATAAAATGAGATCCATCAGCCGATTTTGACAAAGAAGTAATTGGCTTCGCATGTCCAATTTCTTTGTCAGATTCCTTAAGTACCTTCCCTGTCTGCACGTTTTAGAAGACAAATCTTAGACGAGATGTCATTGTATTCACATTGAGCTGAGGTAAAAAGTAACCTAAAAAGCATACTCAGCTGTTTATTATTAGGCTAAATAAAACCTATTCAGACAAGTCCACAGAACATCTATAAAAGGTACACATTTGAGATTACAGTCAAGGTGATAGTAGTACAACACGTTAAAGGCCTTAGAAGACGCAGTTAATAGCCCCCACTTATTACTTCCCTGAACAAAATAGAGCATCCTTCTTCAAAAATCAGCATTGTTCACGAGAATAGAGAAGCAAAATAATTGTCTATTCGTCTTTTTTGTTTTCCATGGAGGAGATCAAATTTCTGAGTGGGAGAAAGCACAAAAGGAATGAGAACCTAGCTTAACGACGACTATGCCAATAACACAATGTGCACATCTGTTATTAAATTTACTCTCCATGAGTAATCTTCTTTGCATCTTTCAGTGTCATGTGGTCAATTGGCTTGCACATCAGAATACAAGTTAACTCCAAAGAACAACACAAAACTAAACGGTGGCACAGATACGGTAAGGTTCCAGTGCTATTGATGTCATTGAAAAAGACCATTCCCTAGACATTGTTGATTCATAAACATTTCGTGGTTCTTTCCTAACTATAGATATTAAACATTTCATTTTTACCAAACAGACCTTTTTTATATTGAAAAAAGCAAACTCATCCCACAAAATGGAAAGGAAAACAATGTTACCCCGATATAAAATACGTAATATAAACTCTCTTATATTAATATGTCAACAAACAATTCAAATGAATATCATTTTATGGACGTCGTAATGCTTCAACCTACCTCAGAATCCCATATCCGAATTACAGCATCTTCACCCGCGCTAATTATTGTCTGATTTAAGGGTCCCCAGACAGCCCTATTGATTCTTCCTTGAGGTCCTCTTATCGTAAGCACTGATTCTGACGTTTCTGAATAAGCAAGAAAAAGAAGTTGAGCAATAAACTTTCGCTCAAATTAATGACAGGTTGCACAGAGTCCGCAGGTAAACCAACGAAAAAGCCTTTGAATGTATCACTATAGACAATAGCGTAAGTGGAAGAAAGAAGAAACTGGAGGCATCTGATCAGATACAATAGCAAGAAAAAAAATAACACAAGTTTTGGAGTAAGTTCGCACTGCTCATGAAGTAAAAAACCAAAAGCGATGAAGTTTTGAATTTACTTCTATAGATCTACAAGCTGATTGATATCAGTTATTCCATAGAAAACGTGTCATTCTTCCCATGCTGAAGTTTATCACAATGACATAAGATTTGTCTACACTTAATTCCATTATTCAACTCATAGATTATGAGACAGATTTGCCATATTCATATGTTGAAGTCAGAAAAAATAAATTTCCACATGCAGTTGATGTCTTCAAGCGAATGCCATGACAACTATAGACCAGAAAATTAAAACTCTTTTATCCTTCTCTGTTGAGCTTCAAATCGACAAGGCTGAAATTAGGGGTTGATGTTACTAGGTTCCAGAGCTTGTGTACGAGGCAAAGCATAATGTCTTTCAATACGTAGACGTTAGCACACTCTAGATAATATCTCTGTGATAACATGTTTACCAGTATCGTTTGTCTTGTATGTAGCTTTTCATAATTAAGAACATCCTAAGGTAAGCAAGGAAACTGCCTTCCGGAATAACTGCAAGTTTCGTCCACGTCGTACCTAATAACATGCTTATCACCAATACGACAAGGAAAAAAAAATTACACCGAAATACACAATTAGGTTATCCCTCTTATTGAAATCTGCATTAGAATAACATGCGATGGCATTGCATGTACTGTACTGTCAACTCCCAACACCTGAAGAAATGCTTGAGAATGAATCAAATGTATTCTCCGATTCAAATGAAAAACAATTAAAAAGAGAAACGTTCACATATACACCCAATACTACACGACCAGTCATTAGAAACTGCATAACTCCATTTTCATCCGGCTAATTGATGAACCACCTTTTTTGGATAAATTTCCTCAGAGATAAATTCCATCTGGTGATAATCCATTAAGTTCACCAGCATGTTGCAAGCGCCTACCTAAATAACAAAGTGTTCCTTTTTTTTATTGTGATCCTTTCGATTTACAACGAAATAAACGAATGTATTGAACGTTGAAATTCCTTTCTGGCCTTGGAGGTAGTTTAAAACTTAGGCCCATAGGAGACATTCAACACGTCAAATAGAATTTTTCGTGAAGCAAATCATTCCAATGCTATGAGTGTTTAGACATCAAATAAAATCCCCGAGATATCAAATAGCTAACAGGAAAATAGGAAGACTCGAAACCAAGGAAATTATGCATAAGGATTGGATGATTGCATGGGATCCATACGTTCACTAACGTCTTCGGCGATCGTCTTTACTTGAATTGAAGATGAATGCTCCATGAAAGGATCTGTTGTTATTACGGCAAACTTATCACCCACGGAAAAATCAACAGCTCTGACCGGAGAATCGAAGTTAAACGAGTACAACTGAGTTCCAGTTTGAACATCCCAAAGTTTCGCCGTCTGGTCGGCACATCCAGTGATAAGAAGTGTAGAATCACCTGAGAGCCAACGAAGACAAGCACGGCAAGAGGTAAGTAACAAAGAAAATAAATCAAAAACCTAAGGATAGTTTATCGAGAAAGATTATATTCGAGAGACGAATTCCTAGTTGCGTTAGAAGCATGTTACCAGGAAACAATTTTGGAGCTAAATCAGGACGTTTTATAAATTATATGAATATTCTTCTATTTTAATCACGGATACATCCCGACGAGCAAACTCTTCAAAAGGAATTACGACAGCAAATTAGACACATTTCTTGCCGATAACGAGAACGATAGGAGGATCGGCAGAAGTAAGGAAAGAAGAGAGCTCACGAGAGATGTCGCAGCACCAGACCGCGCCGTTGTGGCCCTTGTAGGTGCCAAGACGCTCGCCGTTGTCGGCAAACCAGACGGTAGGCGTGCTGTCCTTGGCGCAGGAGAAAAGCAAGTCCCCCTCCCTGTTGTACTTGAGGAAGGTAAGGGGCCTCTCGTGCCCCTTCATCAATATCGGCCTCATTTCTCCCTCCGCTGGTCGCTGCTTCCACCTCCTTACAGATCGATCGGGACGTGAAAAAGAGCGAGCGCACCTCTTCCTGGAGAAACCCTAGCGCCGAAGTGACGGTGAAGGAGAAATACCTATTCTTTGGAGCCTTTCCTAGCCAGGACCGAAAATGAGCCGATCCAATAGTGGATGCGTTAATGGGCCGTGGAGCCCATATTGGTCTGGTTTCTTCTAGACTGGCCTTCGAAAGTGGGTATTCGTCGTTGATCAGGCCATTGTGTTACACCCAATTCCGCCGCCGGTGCCCTCCATCTCGCCGCCTTCTCCCCATCCACCGGCCAAAGCGATTCCACCACCGCCGTCGCCTCTCCCCCCTCCGCTCGCCTCCGCCACTGCCGCCGCCTCCTTCGCCCACGCGGAAGCCAACGAGGTAGCGCTCTCGCAGCCCCTTCCTGGTTTCCACGGTGTAATTTAGGGTTTCCATCCCCCACTGTAATCGCTGGGAAGGAGGGGGCGTGGGGGATTGGTAGGTAGAGAGAGAGAGAGAGAGGGGGGGGAGGGGGGGGGGACTGGTGGTGATGGGGAAGAACGACTTCTTGACGCCGAAGGCGATCGCGAACCGGATCAAGGCGAAGGGATTGCAGAAGCTGCGATGGTACTGCCAGATGTGCCAGAAGCAGTGCCGGGACGAGAATGGCTTCAAGTGTCACTGCATGAGCGAGAGCCACCAGCGCCAGATGCAGGTCTTCGGCCAGAATCCCACCCGAATCGTCGACGGCTACTCGGAGGAGTTCGAGACCTCTTTCATCGACCACGTCCGCCGTGCCCACCGCTTCTCTCGCGTTGCCGCCACCGTTGTCTATAACGAGTACATCGCCGATCGCCACCACGTCCACATGAACTCCACCCGATGGGCCACCCTCACTGAATTCGTCAAGCACCTCGGCCGTATCGGCAAGTGCAAGGTTGAGGAGACTCCCAAGGGCTGGTTCATGACCTACATAGACCGGGACTCCGAGACTATCTTCAAGGATCGGCTCAAGAACAAGCGTCTCACTGCTGATCTTGTTGAGGAAGAGAAGCAGGAACGCCTCATCGCGCGCCAGATTGAGCGAGCCATGTCCGCCCAGCAGCAGTCCTCTGGAACGGTCGCGTCTCCCGCGCCGTCCTCGGATTCTCCAGCCTTTCAGTTGCAGGATAACCCAGAAGGTTCTTCAACCTCTGCGGCTGCTTCCGGAAAGGTCGCATTTTCCCTTGCTGGAACGTCAGCGAAGCCAGCCACCGGCAGTAGCGTGCCTGCAACTCCGGTTCTGGCAGATGACTCTAAGCTGCAATTCGGGGACAAGCTGGATAAATTGGATGGGGAGAAGATCAGCAAGCGAGCAAAGACGAGCGGTGGAAACAGCAACGGTGTATCATCCGCACTGGACCAGTTGATGAAGGAGGAAGAGAAGGCAAAGGAAAGGAGCAACAGGAAGGACTACTGGCTCTGTGAGGGCATCGTGGTGAAGGTGATGAGCAGAGCCCTCGCAGATAAGGGGTACTACAAGCAGAAGGGTGTGGTAGTCAAGGTGATAGATAAATACGTGGGTGAGATCGAGATGCTGGAGAAGAAGCACATCCTGAGGATTGACCAGGAAGAACTGGAAACAGTGATACCGCAGATAGGAGGGCTGGTCAGGATCGTCAACGGGGCCTACAGAGGATCTAATGCGAAGTTGCTGTCGGTGAATACAGATAAATTTTGTGCAAAAGTCCAGATTGAAAAGGGGATATACGATGGCAGGGTCCTGTCTGCCGTTGACTATGAAGACATTTGCAAGATTTCTCAGTGAAGTGTATCCTGTGGCAATTTTCATTCAGATAAACGTTACTCTGAGCACCTTCCTGTATCCACTGCGTTCGGGTCAAATCATCGTCTCCTTGATCCCCATCATCTCCCTGAGTCCTTGTATGTGGTGTTTTCTCTAGCCTGATGCATGTTGTTCTGCCCAAAAATGCCATTCCCGACTTTAATTTTTTTTCTTCTAATCATGCTGATTTTTCCTGGATCCATCAAAATATTGCATAGTTTTGATTTATATAATCGAATGATGTGTTCAGTGTGTAACCATTCTTGTCATGCTGATTGATGGCCGTGTGATAGAATCAAGTTGAGGTGACTGGAGGAGAGCAGAATTAGATCGGCACAGCCCTCTTTCTTGCTGCGCCATGTGTAGATGCTCACTGTGTGACCATCTTCGGTGAAGGATCCACTAGACATGAATTCTGAAGCTCTGCCATGGGAAGAATTCACGAGTCCCCAGCTTCTCATAACCGCGTCGGACTGTCAGAATCATGCCGCCAAGAGGACAGGTTTGCTTGCCACTCTGTTCTTGCAAACCCTAATTTTGAAGGAAGAAGATGAAGAAGATGATGAACGAGGGACAGCGGGTTGTCTCAGAGGAGGAAGAGACCAGCATCGAGAATCTGGGAGGGTTCTGCATTCGTTGGAATTGACAATGCCGGTGATATCTTTTATTATCTGTGACAGGCCCCTGTGTTTTTTTTTTTCTTCCGGCGTTATCGGCGGAGGTGCGGTCTTCCCTCTATCTCCGGCAGTCTCCGCAGAGGACAACTCCCATACACGAGAGCCGACGTCTTTTCCCAGGCGGCGCCGCCGCCGGGCTCGCCGCCTCGCCGCCGTTGGAGTAGAGGGAGGAGTAGGGCTCCGCCTGGCTCCGACGGCCGGCCCGTCTCTCCGCTTGTAGGAAGTGCCCGAGGGACGGCGTTCTGCCACCGCCGCCGCCGGGCTCTACGTCGTCGCCGGCGGCGACGGCGGCGGTGGCCCTGGTGCACGGACGGAGGAGGAGCCAGTTCCTGGGCCTCCTGCGGCGTCCCCCCGCGGGGGGCTGCCCCTCTCCGCTGCCGCTGCGGAAGAACGCGCCGGAGAGCTCCATGAGTCTCCCGAGGGTGGTGGCGCCGCCGTCGCGGAAGAAGGAACCTAAGGACTGCAGAGTCGCACGGCGGCGTTAGCATCGGCGGTAGGTGAGATTACGGCGGCAGCGGCGAACCTGAGAGATCCTCCGTTTCCTCACCGCCTGGGTATCGGAGTCGGAGGAAGAAGAAGAAGAACCGATGGAGGAAGTCGGAGAGGCAGAGATGAGGGTGCTGAAGGACATGGAGCCGGAGAGGTCTCCGCTCCTCCGCAGGCCGATCCTCACCCCGAGCCGCCGCAGCCCGAGCGGCCACCCCCCTTCCTGCACCCGAAAGAAGCCGTCAGAGGAGAAGATCGAAGAAGAAGAAGAAGAAGACCTGTGCAGCACCCGCAGAGCCATCCCTTCGAAAGAACAAAGGTGACCACCAATGTTACAGTCAATGCGGGAAGTATGAGAGAGAGAGAGAGAGAGAACGAGCTGGTAGAGTGCGTCACAAGGAAGACTAGAACAGACCTATGCAAGTAGGCTTGCTGTAGAGAGAGAGAGAGAGAGAGGGGGGGGGGGTTACGTGCACGCAGGACAGGAAGGTGGGGTCTGACAGAGTGTGGCAAAAGCTTGAGCGAAACCCGGTGGCGGAAGACGGCAATGAGAAAAACCCAGAGAGAGGATGAATTGTTTAACCGGCGCCCGAGAAAAGGGCGAGACCCTGGGCTTCTCTCTCTCTCTCTACTCCTTCCCTCGTGGAGTGGGGGGAGTCATTAGAGAGATGGGAATCGTCGCTCTGATGGGGGAGAGGAGGAGGGAGGGAGAAAGAAAGCAGACCCGAGGGAGAGTCCGAGAAAGAAAAGGAGGGGAGCAGGGGAAGCTTTAGCTTTCCCCATGGGACTTGCAGAGCCTGCGGAGGGGACCTCTCCGGGGAGGAAACGGATCAGGACCCATCTTAGATCCGATGATGCACTCTCCGTTTCTGCGAACCAAGTTCATGCGCCGTGGAGAAGGAGATGTGCGAAGAGACCACCATCTCTCACAGAGGCCACGAGAGCTGGAGATCGATCATTTTTTCCGTATTAAAATATGAATATATTTTCCCAATAATGTTTTATTTAATATTTTAATAGAGAGATCTGGAGGGGCCTCTCCGTGTATTTATGGATGAGTGCAAGCCCAATAAACGATAAAATAGACAATGATATAAATTAGGAGGCACATGGCGTGCCACGAGTCTGAGCCTTAAAAAGCCCAACCCAGATTTTGGGCCCATCTATGGGCCTCCAAACCCGTGTTAGAAGTTCCGTGGTTGTCAGCCCAAAATTCAGGGCCTTTCCAGATCAGCCCCAACCATTTCGGCCCACTAACATCTCCATTCTTTTTTTTTTGCTTACCCCTTTTGCTAATAAATAAATGGTCCGGTACTCTTTCCATATATATATCGATGCAGACAGGAGCGAGCGTTTTGCGGCCGTCCTGGGGCGGAGAAGCCCAGAACTAGGAAATCAGGCCCAAGCCCAGGCCCGTATTTGTGATCTTTTGGGCCCATGTTCAGCCCTATTGCCCTTGAACCCGATCCGATGATCATCCCCGTCCATCCGGTGGGCCCAACAGATTCAGAGGCTGCGCCCTACCGTCAGGATCCCATCAGAGAGTCAAAGTGGTCCCCCTACCGAGCTCGGCCGTGTCCGATTCCTCCCCTCCCTCCGTTTGGATTGCGGTATAATCGTGAAATTCCCCGGGATTCCGAGATGGCCCCGAATTTAGGATCCGATACCCGATGGAGGATTTAGGCGGCTTTTTCCGACAGCGTGTCCCTTCTCTTTAACCGCGACAGGTTTGCTCACGTGTCGGCAGGAACAAGGCCAGCTGCCCGACTCGCAGAAGCTTCCCAGCAGAGATAGATAGAGAGAGAGAGAGAGGAAGAACGCATCCATGCAGGAAGCTCGCCCGCCACGAGGGCCTGCGCTTGATGGAATCTGCTCGCACGAAACCATGCAGAAAGAGGAGAAGGACGGCGAGAAAACAGAAGACTTGCTCTTTCTTCTTCTTCTTCCTCTTCTCCACAAGGGGAATCCGAGGATGAGGAAGAATGGGGGTATCTGGTTCTGTCTCCTCGCGGGAGTTATTCTCCCGGCATCGCCATGGAAAAGAAGAAAAGCCAAGGAGGAAGGCCAGTAGAATGACGAAAGGGGGAAGCCATTCAATCCTCCGATGGAAGCCCCTCTCGTATTCGTCACAGAGAATCCCTGCCGGAAGCTTTTCCAATGCTGGGTAGTACCTGTTCTTACTCCACGTTAGAAATGCGGTGTGGATTCTCTGTGACGATTCACCCAGACCAAGCGGACCACAGACCTCGGTCCTTTGATCATCCCCGAGGAACTCGCGTCACTTGATGCAGAGATCGGAGGAAGGAAGGAAAGAAGGAAAGGGAAGAGAAATCAGACGAGCATCAGGCAATTTGATCGTTGACAACTGGGAAGAGAAGTAGCTCGACTTCCTCGGGGAGGTGGAGGCGCCGCCGGACGATCCGGTGGAGTTCCTGATCGCCGACCTTAAGCTTCTGCCACCGCCGCCGCGGCCGTAACTTCCTCTTCCTCGGCGCCAGCGGGCACGGTGGGTCGGAGGGGATACTGTGCTGCGGAGACGTCGGCGTTAGGTACCCGTCGTTGTCGGCGGCGGCGCTGCCGCCGTCGTCATGGTCCTGGGGAGCATCATCATCGTCGAGATATCGTCGTCTTCCTCCTCCCGACGCTTCACGTGACTCCTCGGCTCGAGGAGCTTGGTTCTCCCCCTCTCTACCTCCTCCGTCACCTTCTTTTACACTTTGTATCTTCTTGCCCTCCTCCTTCCTCATCTCCTCCTCTCCTCCACGTTTCTCCTCTCCCTGAGAGAGCGATGGATCACGCTCGGAGCCCTCCCCAGGCCCGTAGGGACTTGAATTCGACATTGCCGGAGGAGAAGAGGAGGAGAGAGAGAGAGGGAGAAGGCGGGGGGGGTTTCTCAGGCAACGACATCCGTTTTATTTATGACGGCGGAGGCGATCACGTGAGGGGGGGGTGCGGGAGGAAGACGACAAGGGACGTGGGTGACGTGGGGGGAGGGGACTATTAAGAGGGGGGTAGGAATAACATTGTTCAGGAGGGAGGACGTCATTTATGTGGTGATTACGTACGGCGGCGAGTCGCATGCTACCCGGAGACTCAGTTGTCCTCACCGGCCTAGAAATCGTTCCGACACTGAGTCAAGCCTCTTCTTCCCCATCGTTGTCGTCGTCCTCCTCTTCTTCTTCCCCGTCTTCTTCTTCTTCTTCAGGTACTTCGTTGGCCCTTCTGACCCTTTCGCAATTCCCAGTCCGTATCTCCTCTGTCAACACGTCCCACTCTCTTCGGAAGCTTCACCCCCCCACCCCTCTCTCGCTCTCTCTCTCTCTCTCTCTCTCTCTCTTCCTGACCGGGTGGTGCAGATTCCTGCGGCGACGGGGGAATGAGGAAAAATAATGTACACCATTGTCGAGCTCGTTGGGGGAACGGTCATGGCAGGATGGATCGTCCCTCTCTCTCTCTCCATTGCCCTCATCTATGTCAGTGGGTTCGTGGAGGGGGAATAAACAAGAACGGTGAGGTGAGGTGAGGTGGGGAATAGCGTTAACGAGCCGCCCGTTTTCCTTGTTCCCCGCCGCAGATCCACCGCCATCACGAGGCCTCCGGAGACCAACAGGAACCCCCCGGCCTCCCCTTCCTGCGGGAGACAGATATCACGCGCCGTTTGTGAGGAGACTACTACGACGACGACGAAGAAGACGATTCCGCTGCCAGAAACCAAGAGCCTCCTCCCGACCGCCCCACCCCCGACCGTATTAAATGCCACCTAATATACAGGCACATATTTAGAGAGAGAGAGAGAGAGAGAGAAAGAGTAGGCTGGTTGACCGAGGCGCATGTTATAGACCCAGCCCATTAGTGTATCGGATACTGTTCGGGTTATTGGACGGCCAGCGGGTAGGCAACGGTCTCTGTCGGCATTCGTCGTCGCTTTCAAATTTCAAATCACCGCACTTTCGCTTAGTCAGGGTGAGTGCAGTTGGACGGGGAGCTTGGTGTCGAAGGTCCCCATCTCTCCGTCGTCATCATCCGGTGGACGGTGGCGGCCGTGGACTGAGTTGCGTTGATTCTTCTGGCCATCCCTTTCGCGGCGCCGCTCTCTCTGAGGTCAGTACGGAAGATGTGTAGTTGTTGCAAGGTCTCTATGGTGGAGCAGGTGCCGACCTCCTCCTCTTTCTCTTCCAGTGGGAACGACGGCGTTTGTGGTATTTAGGGAGTTTTTCCGGCGGCGTCAGCGAGGATGTCGACTCTGGTGAGCGCTGGCGGCGGCGGTGGAAACATGGTGGTGCCGCTGTTCGTGGAGCTGAAGAAGCAGGCGTCCTTCTTCTTGAGGGAGAAGATCAGGATCGCCCGGCTGGTCCTCACAGATGTCACCCCCACTCAGCTGTAGCCTCCGACTTCCTCCTCCCGCTGGATCGATCCGGTGATCTTTTAGCCAAGGATTTTTTTGACGTTGCCTGTGATATGATTTCACCAGGTTGGCGGAGGAGGTGACGGAGGGGAATCCCGCGGCGCCGGACACCCGCACGATGGGCAAGATATCCAGAGCAGCCTTCGAGCTCGAGGATTATTGGAGGATCGTCGACATTCTCCACGCGAGGTAAGCCTGAGCCTCCTCTGGCCTGATCTGATCTGATATGTTCTCCTTCCCCCCCAAAACACATACACACCGCACTGTCGCCTGTGTTCCCTGAAATGAAAGATGGATCGGAAGAATGGTCATGCTGGTGCTCTGTGATGGTGATGATCGCGGAGAATTCTGCAGGTTGGGAAGATTCGATAGGGCGCACTGGAGGGAGGCGTACAATTCGCTGATACTGCTGGAGCACCTCTTGACGCACGGGCCGGCCAGCATCGCCGAGGAGTTCCAGTCGGACACAGTCGCCATCACGGAGATCCAGAGCTTCGAGCACGTCGACGAGAGAGGGTGCGTCGCGCTGATCTTCGACTCCATGGTTGGTTGTCCTCGGGATTCTGCCGCTGATTTTCCGGATCTGTTGGGATTCATTCACCGGCAGGTTCAACTGGGGGCTGGCCGTGAGGAACAAATCGGAGAGGGTGCTGAAGCTGCTGGAGAAGGGGCCTCTCCTCCGCGAGGAGAGGGACCGAGCCCGCAAGCTCTCTCGCGGGATCCAAGGTTTCGGGAGATTCGATCGCATATCGTCAGCTCCAATAGATTCCAGCGAGTGGCGGATGCCGCCGGAATCTTGCCGGCGGAGCAACTCCCTGCTCGTCGAACCAGCCGGGAAGATCGACCAGAAGGAGAACGCAAACCCATCGGCCGAAGCGCAGATCGGCAAGAGACCGGAAGCTAAGGCGAAGCCATTCTTCCCCGGGAAGGAGAACGACGTCGGGAAGATCATTCTGAACGGCAGCAAGGAAAGCGCAATCTCCGGCCGAGGCGCTCCCTTGGAAGAATCCCGGCCACTCCTCCGCCACCGCGGCGGCGGCGGCGTGGCGGAGCCTCGGCGAGGCGACCACCCCTTCAGCTTCGTGGAGAACCATCGTGGAACGGAGTCGCTGATCTTCGGCCAAACCTAGCACCTCCCTCCCTCCCTCCCATGTCTCACGGGAACCAAGCCGCTGCTGCGACTACCAGCCAGCTAGATAGCCAGCTACTGTGCGCGTGTGTGCGTGTGGTGTGTGTGCCTGTGTGGAACAGAACGATCATCAAGACGCCTCGTCTCGAATCCTTTCGAACTGATCCTGCTCCATCGCCCACAACCTCCCGATACCACCACCTTCAAAGCATCGATCAGTGTGTGTGTGTGTGTGCCGGCACCTGATCTGGTCCACAAAAGGTCAGTGTAACATGTTATAAGTCCCAAAATGGTTCCTCCATGGATCTGCCCAGCTCGGTGTTCATGGATCTGGCCGTGAGAAGACCTCTCACGGTCGGATCTTCCAGATGCCGAGCCCGTAGCCCACGCGGATGAGCACGAGCTCGAACAGCATGTGCAGGATGCTGGTCAACCGGATCTTCGAGCCCGGGATCTCCGACCAGCTGACGGAGATCTCGATCATCGGGATCTTCAAGTGCTTGCACAAGTACACCAGCTCAACGTCGAAGCACCACCTGGATAGAGATCGGCCAGCAGGAGAGGCCACATATTCATATCACTCGAAAATATGCCATGAGAAGGAGCCCAATCGTCCGCAACCACCCTGCCCGTTACCTCTTCAATCTGACGTTTGTGAAAAGCCTCCGAGCAGCAGTCCTCGTAAACATCTTAAACCCACACTGAGAAACGAGTAACATACACCCAAATAAACCAAGCAACATCAGATATCATGCATGCCCCTGAACATTATATACATAGATAATATATATTTAGAGAGAGAGAGACAGAGAAAGAGAGAGAGAGAGAGAGAGAGAGAGAGAGAGAGAGAGAGAGAGAGAGAGAGACCTGAGTGTCGCGAATGCCGGAACCGGCGGTCAATAGGACGACGAGATGGAAGCCCTTCATGAGAAAATTCCTGTACCACTTCCGCTGAAGGAGGCGATGACATGATGAGATCATTTAATTAAGAAATATCGGAACGTGTGGAAAAAGTCAACTACCACGTACGGTTGCAAGGGCCTGCTTCTCGAGATGAGCTCGAGAGCCAAATGCCGCAACCGAGACATCCGATATCTTCAGGCCTTGGCCGCTCAGCAGAGGTGACTTCAGCTCCTTCTCGGCGAATTCACATATCTGGTGAAATCGTTGACATAGGAGCGAAGTATAAAGTCGAGAGTAAGAAGAGTTGACCAATTGTGATATTGACACGTGGAAGGGAAGGATGGGAGCCCTCGTTCAAGAACGGACCCGAGACTCGAGCTTCTGCAAGTCGGTGATCTGAGTGGCGCCGTCGGCATCGAGCATGAGAAGCAACTCACCCCGTGAATGCAGCATTCCCTGTTTTCCAATGCTTTCGGGAATGAGGAGCATATTAGTAGCTGGCGAGTGTTGAAGATGACGAAATAGAAAATAATCAGGTTTACGAATTAAAAGAAATGAATTTGCAAGAAGGATGATTAAAGGTGGGGTGGGTCGAGAAAATTACGAATTTTGAGAAAAAAATTATAACTTGAAAAATACGCTTGTTAACCATATGATCAGAAAGCTCACTTTTCTGATGGCCTCTCCCTTTCCATGGTTTCCTCCGAGAAGAATGACTCTGACTTTGTCGATCGTATGCTTCCTTACAAAGTCAAAAGCCACTTTTGACGTCCTATCAGTGCTCCCATCATCGACTATTATGACCTTGCCAAGAGAACAAAAATTCGAGAAAAATGACATGTATAGGTAGAAATATGAAAAAAATTAACAAATAAAAAACAAGCTAAAATATTTATAAAATACCTCATAGGAAAAGGAACTGTCCAATTGTGCACGTTCCTGGAGATAACTACAAAAGAGCAAAGTTTTCGAGCAAGTTTGTAAATTTCTCCACGGAAACCCAATTATATATTACAACTGACATTCAAAATAACAAGATTACAATTATTAATGAAAAGAATACAGAAATTCCCCAACGAGCTATGTTTTAGTTCAAGCATGTCATATAGATTGCTCAACTTTTGGGAAAAAAATACTAACAAAAAAAGGATAAAGGGATATGTGATATGCTTCTGCCTAAATATAAGAGGCGTTCGAGCTGGAAAATTCTAACGTTGCTCCTAGAAACCAATAAGACATTCTCATACCATACATTTGCAGAAACTATTTTATTTTGCTAATACAGATAACCATGCCAAAAAACAGAAAGCGATTTCAAGTCTATTTTACTGAAGAGATTTTGCTGATTCATAAACCAGATCAACTAGGATTTATCTAGAATTTCCAATTTGAAGTGATTCGACACAACTACCTACTGTTACATTTCCGCATGGTTAAGACTTGACTTGAATTGACTCATCGGAAATAAGACCACTTCCAAATTATGGCGATTGACAAAGTGCCACTATATTTTTCACATGGAGAGGGAAGTCTCCATTTAATTAAAAAAAAAAAACCTTCCACTTGAAAAGAGAATATATTAATGCAACATTTATAGCATTAAAGAGAAAATGATAAAGTTCAACTGGAACCTTCACGTTGTCTATGCTTTATGGTGAAGCATACAGGTATAATACACAATTTTCGCAACTTACTTTATGGTCTCCACAAGAGCCCCAGAAAGCCTATGCTCCTCATTGAAGGCGGGAACTATCAGGGATATATATCTCTCAGCAGGGTCAAAAATAGAAGGGCATGGAACCTAGCGTGAATTTCAATTCCCAAAAAAATCATTAAACCAAACAAAGTTATCAGTCAAACTTCGCAAAAGTATCATCTAGCACAATCTGAAAAGCATCCAGACAGAACTATCCAACTCAGATAACTAATAATGCATATGTATACACATGAATATTGATGTAAGATACTCGCAACAAATCATTCCGATTTTCTAAAAATCCAGGCATCACTGTGAGCAGATAAGGCATGAAATGTGCATTGAAGAACCCAAAGAAGAAATAGAAGCCAAGATATTTAACAGTTCGGTAAAAATTTAGTTGTCTAAAGAATATTTAGTTAAGCAACCAAGCTGTAGCGGGTCAGTATTAATGATGTTCACAGTCTGATGAATCAACAGAATAACTTTCATCTGATCAGCAGAAATAGAATCGATTTAACGATATGAATTCCAAAAAATGAGAATCTTTCAAGAGTTCTTTCACAAGTATCCAAAAATTCGACAAGCACGAGACCAGAGCTTTTGCATCAATTACCTCTATCTCACTTCAAAAGTCACTTATACTTTTTAAAGCCAATCATCCGTAACACAGAGACCATTTTGGCGCCACATTCAGTGAAAAAAACTGAATCTACAGTCCCTTTTTTCTAGCCACTCACTACTGCATTTACTGCAACCTCGCTTCAGAAGGTATACTTGCTCTTGCTTTGATTCTACTTTGCACGAGTATGACCCATCAGATGGTTACTACAGTTTTCACGTTCTTCCTGTACAGTAATCAGACGACCAACATACAATTGGACGCACGGAAGAAGCAGTTAACACCTCAAACCCACCCATCACGTCTACAACAAATTTGAACCGGCAATAATTCAGGAAGCTGGTTCATTAGGGAAACGTATACACAGTTGGTGTAATCATGATCAGTCTGTAACTCGCAATAAATTCCTTGATCAATAAAAATGTATTGACTTAGTTACTCGGGTCATGTTTTTTTGGATCCATGATTAATAGCAGAAGATAAATGTATAAAAACAAGCACGAAATTAAGTTGTCAAAACTAAAGTAACAGGGCATGGGAAAATGTAATTCAGGGCAAACCAAGGACGAGATCAGACCAAAATAACGGAATCCACTTTTTGCCGATATAATCATTCAATCATTTCATTAAAAGGGTCACGGAGAGGATCTGCCGCAGATCCTTATCGGATCCACGATGCCATCGGAGATCAATCCCAAAAAAATGAAAACGCAAAGCTAATGTGTCGCAATTAAATTTGTGAGACCTTTTTCAACGAGTTGGGGTCCTCGAAGAAAGATGCTACGCCAGACGAATGGTCTCGGCTGAGGCAAACAAAAGAGAAGGTTAGGTCCCTTCCAACGGTACATAAGAGAAACGCACAGCCTACGATAATGCTTCTCGATTCAAAATAACTCACGACTGTCTGCATCCGATCTTCCTGGCAAATTCAAGGAAAAAGGCTGAGATGCTGAGCATCACGAGTAACGCCTGCCGAAACCATGCCAAGGAGACGGCGGTTAATGCATAGACGAGAGAGCGAACGGAGGAAAATCGGGAAGATAGGGTAGAAGGTAGTGCTGACCAAGGATGAGAGCAGAGCGTAGACGGAGACCACGGGAGGGAAGAACCCCCACGACCCGTCCATCGTATGCCTCTTTCGCCGAAGAAGTGAAGTAAATGAAAAATTATTATCTAATACTAATATGGAAAAATTCCGCAGCATCCACTAGGCCCGTCTAGCTCAGTCGGTAGAGCGCAAGGCTCTTAACCTTGTGGTCGTGGGTTCGAGCCCCACGGTGGGCGCTTGGATTTTTCCTCCTATTCCTTTTTTTCCAACCCATAAGTAATTACCGGCGGTGTAAATGGGGGGTTCTTGGTTGTGCGTTTTTAATCGAAATTCGATCAAATATTTCGGCGCCGTTTGGTTCCCGCCTAAACCATCTCCATAACTGCAATCTGTATTACATTGAAATATATTATATATTATACGATATAGTAAATTCGGTTAAATCAAACCAGCATATTAATCGAAAAATGTTGCATCTATTTTTCTTTCGATTTAGATCAGAGGAAAAATAGGAATTTTGATAGACGGAAAGGGATCACTAGCGAAATATTAGTAAATCAGATATATTTAATTAGTGAAAAATAAGTGCAATAGTTTTAGACTAATATTTAAACTACATTTGCAATATCTAACGAAGTAATTAATGGTTATGCTGGATATTAGAGGGCCAAGTTCGGTTAAAAGTAATTTTAGTCATTTTATATTTGTGGTAAAATGTTATTATATTATATATATCCATTTTGTAATTATAACCTTTGAAAATGTTAATCAGGTTTATCAACCATGTGAATATAAGTTGGTATTTTTTCCTTACCTGAAAATTTTTGAGTCAACTCATCTGACGTGTACTGCACGGTCATTACACACCAATGAGTAATCCTTATTTCCTAAGTTATAAAAAAATAGGGTAAATATAATTTATCAAATATTTGGACAACAATAATTATTACAAAACATTTACCATGATAGCAACTTCAGGCCCATCTTATGACTACTCAGCGCCAATAAGCTGCACTTGCAGCAAATATATTTAATATCGAATGATATCATCAACATATGTTTTTAATTTTAATTTGTTCAAATGTATTTATATATTGCAATATTATTATTTTTCGCAATCTACATTCACAATGGAATTTACCATATTCACAATGGTTGCACAAACTCACAAATGGGACGATGAAATGCTATTGGAAGGGAGGAATCGGGCTGTTCCGAGCAAAACCAGAAGACCCAGCTTGATTTGATTATTTCAGCGAGTGTGTGTGTGTGTGTGTGTGTGAGAGAGAGAGAGAGAGAGAGAGAGAGAGATGAACTATTCGCATGCATTGGGTAATAATAGCCAATTAAAAACCTAGAGATGAAGCAGAGATAAATGAAGTAATAATAAAGATTGTGTGGAATCAGACATCTACGCTGACCTCCCTCGGCAACCACGACGTTGCCCACAGCAAAGCTCAAGTGTTGCCAGAATTCATCAAACGCCTTTTCAGATGACACCATGGACAGACTACTGTCAGCACACGCCGTACGGAGCTCCATTGAAGTATGCTTAAAACGAGTCAACATTCTATCCGAAACACTGTAGATGAGGTTGACTTTTTCATCCAAAGATTCCCCTCGCCGTTCCTCTGAAGATGTTGTGGACCTGCCATGAGAGAAGAATCGGACGGTGGAGGGCAACATCAACATCACCTGCTTAGATCTTCCACCACAAAAGTGTTCATCTGGATTAAAGCTCTCACCTGCTTAGAGGAGAGTCCTATTTTTTCCAGGTCATTGAGCTGTGTGGCACGGAGTCGTTCAATTCAGCATACGAGAAGGATTAGGGTTTCTAGAAGCAGCAGTGATAATGTTTCCAAATATGGATATATACTCACAGTTTTCAGAGGTTGGGGTGTCTCCTCCCTAAGCTCGAGAATGTATTCTGCTCTTTTCTGGCCTATTCCCTGGTAGTTGAGATGAAAAGTTATGGCATTTATATACTATACAGGGAGGCAAGACGAATAATTTCAACACATTCTCCCTTCTGTTTACAAAAAAATTACTTACCTTCAGGGCAAGGAGCTCCTCTCTGCATTTTTGAAGAAGAAGGAAGAAGAGAGAGGAAATTAGTGGGGGTTCGGATGAACAAATAAGAAGATATTTGAAATGTCATTCCCATACGATCGTGAAAAATTATTGAGCTTTTTTGCCCCCCACCCGCCCAAAATAATAAATAAATAAATAAATAAACAATCTTCTTTCAACCACGAATTGATCCATCTATTAATTAATTAACGTTGGAAAACAGTATGGGGTCCACATACTTGCTGGCAGTGTTTAAGAACCTCCCTCAGTTATTATTTGAAACACCAAACGTCTCCATGTCTCCTTTGCCAGACATTTTCCTACTTAATATTCATATAGAATCCAACCGAGTAAGAAGAAAAACTGATGAGATCAGTCCACATACTTGCTGGCAGTGTTTAAGAACTCTAGGTACTCCTGAACAAGAGAATCCTGTCATAGGACGAAACATCGTCAAATTCACGACAGAAATTGAAGAACACATTCAGTACCCATTGCATAAAGCAGCCTCCCGCGGATCGTCAACGCCATGGATAACAAAAAATAGAAAGAATCTCGATGCTTGCATACCTTCAGTTTTGAACTGAGTGCAGTGAATCTCTCTAGCGGAGTCCTCCCTTCAAAGGGCGTCTTTGGCGTTCTTGGCTCTAAGAGAAAGATGGGTGACCTGTTGGATTCAACTGGGGACAATGCTTTCCTAGCTGGGCTCAGCAGGTCTCGTATGCCTCCACTGACTGCCGGTGAGATAGCAACCTTGCCCCACTTCACCTCTGCGTTCTCCTTATCGGCTGATGAGTCTGTTCGATATATATATATATATATATATATATTGAGCGATTAACCGGGCACCCAAAAGCACAGCATTACTCACAGTCTAGGGAAGAAGCAATACCAGGCATGGGTGTCGGCAGCTTGAAGCAGTCTATAACCGCTGAATCATCCGTACACAAGCTCTTCGAATCAGCAGGGACTTTCTGAGAAAGATTTTCGAAACTATTAATCTTAATATTTACTGCTTGAGAAAGTTATGGTCTTATCATGAGCAGAACGAACCTCAAATGGTTTCATTTCCTCATTGCGATCAAGAATGTTGCAGCTGTTGAAACTCTCCAGCAAGGAAACACTGGAATGGCCATTACACATTGAAGTTTCTTGCCCTTCAGAGTTTACTTCAAAAGAGGATTTTTCCTGTCGGATAAGACACCAACTACAGTTAGCAATCACTGACACGGCGAAGTTGGAAGCGTGAGTGCGTGCGTGCGCGTGTGTAGAGAGAGAGAGAGAGAGAGAGAGAGAGAGAGAGAGAGAGAGAGAGAGAGAGAGAGAGAGTTTTGCCTGACATGACTCCTTGACGCCGTCACGGCTGTCATATCTACAACTGAACGAAAACTCTTTACTTGCGACTGCTACCTCCTCACACCGGTTTTCCTCCTGATCAGGTCGTCACAGAAACGTTAAACCGGAACGAAGAAGCAGTCGGTGGACATGACCCGTCGATGAACGCTACATTATCGGAGGTCTTTAATTTACCTCGGAAAATGCTACATAATCCGCCTGCGAGGGTCCACCTGCCACGGACGAAACACTCGACAAGGAGCATCTCTGGTTTTGAATTGACAGGTGAGATTAGTCATATGGACAAAATATACAATTCATTTCAATCTAAAACTTGAAACAAAAAGTGAATATTTACAATGCTTCTGCTGCAACTTACTTCCTGGGCAGGCAAAACGGGCACCCCGAAGTCGAACAATTTCCTGAGAATGACGTGAAAATAAGGGAAACAAGAGTTAATCATATGTTCTTGAAGAAGCAGCACTTTGCAAACCAGAAAGCTGAAGAGACCTTACCTCCCCTTGGCAAAGCCATGATCCTTGATCATTACCCTTGAGGTTGGTCGAGCTGAGCCTGGTTTCTTCGCGCTCAATGAAGCGGTTCTTCCCGATATTGGAGAGAAGTGCCCATTCTTCACCTGTACACTCTTTGACTTGCTCTTGGATTCAAGCCATGCGCGCAGCTTCGCTTCCATGTCCACCTTCACCCTTGGGGTCTCCTGCTTGGCGTCTGGACCAACATAGTTGGCAATGTGGCGCGACCGAGCAGCCAAGCTGACCGTATGAACAGCTTCATGGTACGACATGGGGTTCTACATCAAATGAGAATTGCAGTAGAATCAGAAGAGAGAAGCCGAAGAAGGCAGTCCATGGATTCAATGGGGGGAGGGATTCAATTGGCTAGACTCTTACAAGACAAGCAATCATCAGGGCACGGCTCGTCCCCCCCAAGGAGTCCTGCAATATGCGTGTCAGCTTGCTCTCTCTGTAGGGAATCCGCGGCTCATTGTTGTTCAGAGCATATATAACATTCGACAGGGCGAAGAGAGACTGGTTGATCTTTGCACTCTCCAGGAGCCGGATTCCTTCGTTACCGGTTCTCCTATTGTCTTCATTGCCTGATAGAGTCGATTAAGGGAAACTAAATTAGAACGATCGTTGTGTTCGATGATATACGCTGAAGTTCGAATGTCTGAGATGGGTAAAACCTGCTAAATCTATGAGATTTAGCTTCCCTACGGCACCGCCGCTAGAGACAATAATCGAGAGCACCCCATGGCTTCTGCTGGATACATCGTTCAGGCCGGTGTGAGCAATTTTCCTCCGCTGGACTCCAGAAGCGAAGATTTGAGAGAACTCCGGCATCGAGCGCACTGTGACCTGCAAATCTCCAAGATAATGAAAACGTCAGAAGAACTTCGCTACAGCGGGTGGAGATCGGCCATGATGCAACCAGAGGCGTACCCTGGAAAGCCCCTTCATCTGGACCTGTCCATCCTTGTCTTCCAAGACCATCACTTCCTTCGCCTTTGGCTCCAACAGATCGTAGCATCGGTCCAAGTAAACTTCGTAGTAAGCAATCTCGATCGAGCTTCCAGAACTCTCACACGAGGAGAGGATTCTCGACATAGATAACGGGATGAGACCTGGTTGACGATCTGTGCCCTACGTTGTTTTCAAAAAATGGCGAACTCCGTGATCAAAGTAATAGTAGTGGGGGATGAAGGAAGACTTCTTGAGAGTACAAAATAGCTGTCGTCTACCTGCATGGTGTAGGTCTTTCCGCTACCTGTCGCTCCGTAGGCGAAGACCGTTGCATTGGAGCCTTTGAAAACACCGGAAATCAGATTGCTGACCTCTCCATGAAAAATACTGTCCAGTCCATTTTCTTGGCTGAAGAAGGAATCCAACTTGTAGCACTCGTTCCGACTGAAGATTCAAACCGACCGGAGGAGCAAAGAGGGGAGACATCAGATGGCTGCCACAGATCAACGTAAAATCCACAAGAAGTTCTGCGAGTACCTCGTCCACTGGTCCTTGATGTGAACGGTGATTTCTTCTCCGGACCGGGGGTCGGAGTCGGCGTTCAGGACAGAGATGCAGGGGACGGGGCCCTTGTCCTTGGATTCGAGCTCCGAAGGGAGAAAAGGGCGTACCCTCACGACCACCCTGACATGGGAGGTGGAGTTGGAGCGGATTTGCATCGAAGTCGGCAGAGATCTCGGCGTGGGGGTCGGCGTTGCCATCGGCGTAGATCAGGACGAAACCCAAGGGCGTGTGCTCTTGCAAAGAGAAGAACAGGAGAGCAGATCCTCGAGAGAAAGAACAAGAGGGAAAGAGGCGACTGGGAGACGACCGTTAGTCGTCACGCTTGAATTTAAAATGATGACTCCGAATGGAGGCCGTTCGAATTCGAAATGGGGACTGGATCCACTGTTCCCACGGATAATTCACCCCTCGTGGCTATCCAATGGGAATCCGCCCCCTGGCAGGCCCTCAGACCTGCACGCTATTGGGCGCAAGATAACTCGCGGATCACCCAGAAAGGCGGCCCGAAATGAGATTTCGAATAAAACGCAGCGGAAAAATTGTTTTGAGGTGGTCCCCACTAGACGTTATTATTCAAGAGTCAACCATGATATTCATTTATATATGACGTCATCAATTGTTAGGGGGCGGGGTGGGGTGGGCTGGGGGCGGGGACTTAGTCACTTGCTACAAAGATTTCAGAAGCCGGCAGCTGGGGTCGTGAGCTCAGCGCAGATTCCTGCGGTGATGGAAGGGGGAAGCTCCGGGGCGGCGGCGGAGGGGAAACACTCGGACGGGAGGTGGGAGCTCGGCGGCGGCGCATGGGGAAGGACGATGGTCGGCGGTGGTTCGACGGCCGATCCTAGAAATGGGAAGAAGGTGGGATCCTACCGCATTCCCCCCTTCGGTTCCTCGGTCCCTAGAGTACCAGAGAAGGAAGAAGAAGCCAAACACTCTACTCTACCAAATAGAATCCAATCATGTTCGTCGTCAACCTCTGATTATCAGAGTCTTCCAAAGTTTTACACCATGGTTTGTTCATCATGTGATCAAACCCACCAGAAAATGAGGCCACAAAAACCGAATTATTTGACAATAACTCCACGAAAGACCATTCAAAGGATTCTTCTTTGGCATGATCATGAAGCATATACACCCACCGAACAGTAGATATGGATACGACAAGATGAAGAGGTTACCAGACTGCCAAGAACATGGGCATTGGTTTTCAGGTCAGCTCTAACTCTCCTAGTGTTCCCGCTTTCTCTTTTCGGAGTGCTTCTTTGACTTCGCGATGCGAGGGTCATCCTCCTCCTCCGAGTCACTGCCGCTGCTGTTGCGTTTCCTGGACAGCTTACCTCCTCCATCTGTTGCACGGCCATAGCGATGCCCCTTCCTGCGCCAATCAGAATGCTTTTCGCGATCAGGGATGCTTTCTGGCTCACTGTCTGATCCCTCCTCCCGCCCGCTACGCTGCCTACGAGAGCGTTGGTGCCTGTCTGGGGCATCCTCTGATTCATCGTCAGAAGCGTCTCTCTTATGGCGACAACTCCTCTTCTCTTTCTTACTCTTCCTGTGACGGCGGTGGTGGTCATCCTCCTCGCTGCTGTCATCATCTGAACTTCCATGCCTCCTCTTGTGCTTCTTCTCCTTCCTCCTCTCCTCCTCGTCTTCAGGACTCCTGCGCCTCCTCCGATGCTTCCTTTCCCTTCTTCTCCTCGATTCCTCACCCTCGTCGTCGTCAGAACTTCTATGCCTCCTTCTTTCCTTATTCTCCTTGCTCCTCGCCTCCTCGTCCCCATCTAAACCACTGGGCCTCCTCCCATGCCTCTTTTCCTCTCTCCTTACCTCCTCATCTTCGTCATCATCTGAACCTCTGTGCCTGCTGCGTTTCATTTCCTTTCTCCTCATCTCCTCATCTTCGTCATCATCTGAACCTCTGTGCCTCCTCTTCCTTGACCTGCCCTTCCCGTCTTTCTCAGATCCCTCATGCCTATCTGCCCTCTTCTTGTTCTTCCCCATCCTCGCCGCAATAATCTTCTCGATCTCCGGATCCATATCAGAGTCTGAGCTCTCGCTCTCCTCTTCCTCCGATGAACTCCCTTCTTCACATTTGTTCAGCCCATTCGCCTTCTTGATCTTGTCGAACATAGCGGTGGCGCTCTGAAGAGCGACGTCATCCTTCTCCTTGTCCTCCTTGACGCTAAGGAAGTTGCGGCACTGGTAGGTCAGGTGCCCGACGCGCCCACACCTTTTGCAAGCCCCCCGGGTATCGTTAGCGCTGGACCCTGTGATTCGTGCGAGGGCCAGGAGGCCCTGGAAGCTGGCGTAGGCATTCTCCGTTCCCCCTTCGGCTTCCGGCCTGTCCGATGCCTTGACCTTCGAATCTTTCTCAGGGGCGTAGGGATCGTACCCGATCGCACTCTGCCATATCCCGTGAGTCTGCAACGCCGCGCTGCTATGAACGCGGTTGTTCGCCGGCATCCGCACCCTCCCCGCCGTAGCCGGCATCTTCGCCGGTGGAAGTCACAAACTAGATCTAGGGTTTCAGAAAGAGGGATTACGGTTATGGCGCGGGGCAAGCTTCCAAAACCGCGGCCTGTCGATGGCGATAGACGAAGAGCAGACACCGTCGGCCTCTGCCGGAGGAACTCTGGTCGCACCGGTGACGCTTGCTCCTCCACGGAATCCCTCGCCTCCTCGGCCCTCTGGATCCTTCGACTGCCTTTCTTCCCAATCCGAGATGGAATGAGGCCTCAGCGCAGTGGGATAATATGTATATATAGGCGCTGAATGGTTAGTTGGGCCCATTAATTGGCCCCAATTAAATTAATGGGCCATCAGAAGAGTCTGAAAGGCCCATGTAAACAGCTCAGTAGGTAGAGGACGAGAGGAGATCATTTTCCATAATTTCAAGCATTTTATCCAAAAAAAAGGGGAGGCCCACCAGAACAGATGAAGATGAGACGATCGGGCCCATAAAGAGAATCCCGAGGAAAAGGCCCATTAAAGGATATCAGTCATCGTTAGGTGGTGGGCCGAGGTAGGCAACCCATCTGCTCGAGGAACTGGGTGAGACGACCGTACTTGGCGGCCCACTGCTCGGCGAGCTTCTGCTCCTTGGCCTCGGCGTCCTTGCGCAGGCCCGCCTGCTGCTCCCTGTACTCGGCTTCGATCCTCTCCAGCGCCGCCGTCTGTTGGTCCCTCAGCGCTCTGATCTTCCCCTCGATGTCCTCCATCTTCTCCCTCCTCTTGCAGGCCTTCTCCGACTCCAGCTGCAACTCCACCCGCCGCAGCCGCCACGTCGCCTCCTTCTTGTGCGCCGCCAGCGCCCGGTGCCCCTCCTCGAGTTCCCTGCAGCACTCGACGAGCTCGGAGACGACGCCGCCGCCGGGGTTGGCGGCGCCGTTGCTGCTCTCCGCGGGTCTCTCCGGCTGCCGCCAAGGGACAGGCGGCGGAGGGAGTGCGGAGGGGGAGAGAGTCAGGGTCACAGAAGGCGGCGGCGGCGGCGGAGCGATGGAGGTGGGGCTGGAGGAGGAGGAAGGGGAGGAGGAGGAGGAGGAGGTGGCGAGCCAGGGGGGGAGGATAGGGGAAGAGGGCATGAGGAAGGAGGCGGCCTGGCGGTCCTTGACGAGCTTCTCGGCGAAATTCTCGAGGATCTGGTCGTACTTGGCGTGGTCGATGGGGTGGGCGATGGCGGCGGCGGCGGCGCTGTCCTTGAGCTCACGCTGCTGCTTCTCCTTGAAGACTTCCCACCACTTGCCGAGGCGCTTGGCGGTGCGGCCGGGAATCTCCGCGGCGATCTTCTTCCACTTGTTGCCGTGCTTGGCCTGGAGGCGGATGACCAGGCGCTGCTCCTCCTCCGTGAGGGAGCCCTTCTTGATCCCCGGCTTGAGGTAGTTCTTCCACCTCTCCAGGCAGGACTTGGCGTCCCTGCTGAAGGCCGCGTTCATCCGCTGCGCCACGAGGTTCCACTCCCGCGGCCCATACTGCCGCACGTACGCCCGCAGGAGCGCGTCCTCCTCAGGCTTCCACCGCTGCCTTTCCTTCATCTCCGGCAGCGGCAGCAGCAGCAGCAGGCGCCGCCCATTCCGGCCGAGCAGGAGCACTCCTCATAATGTGCCTCACCTCGTCTGCAACAAACAGAGGGAGAGAGGGAGAGCATGAGTGGGAGGAGCAGATCTGTGGGAGGAACAACAATGGATTTCGACGAATTCTATGAACGAACGCCAGTTCCTGGGGAGGATCGACGGTGTAGCAACATTCCCACGACCATTTCAAACGAAAAGTAGAGCTGAGCTGAGAGATGACCAGCAGAAAATTACCCTATATATAAACTTGACGACACAGTGAAGACGGGAAACCAACAGAAAATTACCGACCGCCATCACGCCTCGTACAGGATTAACCAGACAGATGGATAGATAGATAGATGGATAGATGTTCCCCCATTGACATCGCTCTGGTGAGATCGAGCAAAATGCACTGGGAAATTGAGGCGGTACTGAACTTTCCGAGCTAGAGCGATTGATTTACCTACGGGTGTTCTTACCAGAATCAATCCCCCTGATTAGGGGAAAACGCTGAAGTAAGAGAAATAGAACGGAATAATTTTGACTCCCGGGGAGAAGACTGAAAGAAACCATGCGGGAAGAAGGAAATGAGAGATGATTGGAGCAAAGAACGGATGGAAACGCAGCTTTCTGAGGAAAATGTACGAGCGAGAGCACACAACACTATCCACTCTCCCCAATCTCGCCCTCGTTCGCGTTACCAAAACAACGTTGGTGGGGATGGCGAAAACAGAAGAATCCATCTTACATCGTCGTCAGCGCTGCATCCTCGACCTTCCCCTCCTCGTCATTGGTCTCCTCTCCCCAAAACTTCCAAATCGAGAAAGCAATGCCGCAACGGAGAGCGAGAAAAAGAGAGAGAGAGAGCCAGATGAAGGAGTGATGGCGAAGAATGGAGGAGAGGTCCCCTCGCAGTTATTTAAAGTTATAAAATGGGTGAAAGACAAAGAGAGAGAGAGAGAGAGAGAGAGAGAGAGAGAGAGGAAGGCGGAAAAAGGGGGCACGCGGTGAGGGAGAGAGAGCCGACAGGAAAGGGCCGGAGGTTGTGGTGGCGGTGGCGATGGTGAGGGCCAGCCCGCGACGGTAGCGTCAGAGAGAATGTGATGCCGTCAGCAGTAGCAGCAGCAGCCTGGATCTCCCTCCTCCTCCTCCCGTCGCCTCCCCCACCGCCTGTCTGTCTGCCTGCCTGCCTCACTTGCAGCAGAGGGAAAGAAAGGGAAGAAGCGTCCGCAGAGAGGAGCGGGGAGAGCGACTAGCCGACGACAAATACCCCCCGGCGGGCGTCGCAGTGGCGGTGGTCCACCGGCGGCGAATCCCCCCCTCCCTTCTCCCTCGATCGCCATCAGCGGAACAGTTGCCGCACGCGGCTCTGCAGGCCGTTTAATTGTCGTGCCGCACGTAACCTCCTCTCCAGATCCCTGACTAGACCAGACCAGACCAGCCCAGAGGCCCCGGCGGCCAAGCCGCCGCTGCTGGCTCGGACCCGACACGTCATTTCGGTAAATTGGCTCGATGGGACGTGCGGCGATTCCCGCCCCCTTGCCCGCTTCCTAAACGACAAACTGCGGGAGATCGGGACACCGGTAGGTGAGGCTCACCGCCAGAGGTCTCGCTGGCGCCGACTGGAGTCCGCATTTTGCGGCGTGCCTCTGGACGTGGACCATCTCACCGCCGTCCTCTCCCCAGCCACGCGGCCGGCCGCGCGCCCACCGCCCGCAGGTGTCAGCGGCCCGAGACGTCGCTGTCGGTGCTGCGGCGGCGGCAGAGGCCCTGCACGGCCCCCGGCAAGACAGAGAGACGTAGGGAGGGAGAGGGAGCGAGGGAGCGAGGGAGCGAGGGAGAGAGAGTACGACAAAAGCGCGTCAGTGGTACCCGGCGCCTCCGGCCGCCCGGCCGGCGGGATGGATCCCGCCGTCTCCGGCGGTGCTTCCGTAAATATTAGAAATGATTTGACGGGGCGGCGGCGCGGGCGGTGAGGGGAAGCCCCCAAGTGGCAACGGGAATCTTAGCTTCTTCCAGGCGAGAGAGAGAGAGAGAGGGTATATATATATTTTATCATTTTGTCCTATTTAATATCTATATATATTTCGTTATCTTTAAGATTTAATTTACGGAACTTAAGTCCCTCTCTCTCTCTCTCTCTCTGGGCCCAAACTGGAGTGGGTCCAGTCGTCGGCCCATTTAGGCAGGTTTCGGAACGGGCCGGACCTTGAGGGTTAGCTGTTTTTTGTGGACCCCACCGAATATTTGGGAACCGCCGGTCTGGGCGGCTCGGCCCATCGCCACCGTCAATATACCAATGGACGGAAGGCAGTGGCCCCGACGGTTGTCTGTTCAGGGAAATTTTGTCCTCACACGGAGGGGCTCCACTTCTCCGATGCGGCTGCCCGGCCTCGTCTTCACGAGAAAACGAGTTCTCCCACTATGTCGATCTCCGATGTCGTCTAGTCGGTGGAGAAGATGGACGATCGCCACGACATTACTTGGTGGCAGCAACTAGAACGTGTGAGGATCTCTCCTCTTCCTCTTCCTCTCTGAGAATCCATCTCTCACTCCGTCTACGTTGCCTCCTCTCTCTTGATCGGGAACGTCCGGGATCCTTGGAGTTTGGCAGATCGCTTGAACCATTTCTCGTTGCGGTTAGGCATCTATGTCGTTTCCGGATCAGTCGATTGTGGATAAGAAAAAGTTTACATCGCTTTTCTGTATTTCTTGTTTCGTCTATTCACCATTCAGATGCCACATTAAACTGTCAATCATAGACATACGAAGAGTGTATTGGTGAAGTCTGACGGCTCGTTCGCAGCGGCTTTGCAGATCAAACAGTGGACGAGCGTATTGACAGATGTGGATTTTATACATCACCATCGGCGTGAGCTTCATTTGGCCTTCCGTAACTTGCCCTTTTATTATATCATCTCCAACATGATCATCATTTAGCCTAATTGGAGGTCCGTTAAACTTGATGATCGATGTACCGGCATGATCTCGACGTTTAGATCTGTATGATTCGCCATAAATAATCATAGACCTTCTTAACGCCGGCGGAGGATTAGCAACAGAGGAGGCGCAGAGGGGGAAGAGTGCGTGCTTCATCATCCATAATTTCCGCATCAGGCCACAGAACAGTTTCTGACTTGCAGGGCTGCTTCTTCTATTTCTCTTTCGATTTGCATGTTTTTAGTTTTAGTGTATGATAGTTCGTACCATACGTTTGCCAGACGAAAGGGTTTCAGGATCCGCTTTTTTGATTAACGACGAAGTTTCGTAAACATCTCACGCATCGGATGCCCATTTTGATATCTTTTCCTATGGAGTTTTTTTCTCATCATTAATGCCGGTGGGACACTGCTCGGGATTTTCTCCTCACTAGGTTAATATTTCCGAAGTTCTTACTCTGTCGGCGACTGATCTTCATATCCTCTTCCCCCCGCCCCCCCGCTCTCTCTCTCTTTCTCTTGGATAGAAGACATTTTTGCTTTCGTTAATGAGGCTGTCGAGCACAGGCAGCCAGGTTCCATCATACGAGCCGTTGCTGCTGCAGGTTTTCCCCGCGAGTTCCATTGGACTGTCTCATTCAGTGGATACATTTGGATCCGCCGGCTAATCTTCTGCAAGTTGCCGAAGAACAATTGGCACAGAAGATCTGGATATACCATTAAATATTTCCTTTTCTCGGCGGAGTTCTCATTTACCAGAGCATCAACATCCAAGAAATTCGGTTTCTCGCGTGACAGTGATTATTACTCTGTGATTGCCTCTGGCATAACATCGAACGCTTGTGGCGTCACCGTCTATCAGATACTCTGGTCAAATCATTACCGCTAGATGCGGAGCATAACGAATCGTCACCATGGTCGGCGTCACAAAGGTGTCATCTTCATCGCCACCTTTTTAAAGCTATACAGTTTTCTATGAAAAAATCAATGTCAGTCTGGGTTGACAATTATGATCATTTAGTGGCCAAAGCCGATAATTATTGTTTATCGTAAACTTTTCTGGTAATCAATGCTTTTACGTTAATTACTCTCCTAGCAGAGAATTTAGGTGGTCATTGATTAATTCGGTCAATTTCTCGTGCAGAGGGGAAACTCGCTTCGACGGACTCGCCGGGGAATTTATACCTGGTGGAGGTTGGGGGTAACAGGTGGCAGCTCGTGTCTCCCTGTCCTCGAAGTCCACATGCCGGTTCGATTCCAGTGTGAACGCGTCTGCGGAAGTCGCCAGCGTTGGCCCTTATCCAGTCCTACCAAAGAAGACAAAACAGGCCGAACATAGAGCTCCGTCAGACGACGTCATGCCTTTTCCCCGCCCACCTGCTCCGGTAGCCTATTCAATTACTAGCAGTCCCATGCCTCTACGAGCGGTGAGAATCGCAGGCAACAGCCGATCCATGGATAAAAAAATATGAGTAGAAGTTGCTGGGTTGACTTTGAGGAAGTTTTTTGCACTCGCAGGGTTGACGCGGGTATCTATTATTGACTTAATCGTTGTTTGCCGGGTCATGGTAATCATCTGTGCCGAGTATAATCCGATATAAAAATCCGGGTTTTGAAGACTCGCGCAGTCAGCAATGTGTTAGGTTCGACCTTCAGATTTTTTTGAATGCCTACGCGAAGAACTAGAGACGACCGTCAAACCGTTGACGAAGAGGCTTGTTTTTCTTCCTTCAAATCCGATTCCGGGGTAACCGTGAAAATCCAAGATTGGGGCAAAAGCCGCCACATCTCACAGGCCAAACCATGCATTGAAAGCGCCACTTGGGCCCATTCCGAGGTCGGCACGGCCTCCTCCTCTCTCCTCACGTGTAGGTCAAACAATTCAAAAGAAGGAAGAAAACTGACCATCATGAGATCTCTCCTTACCCTCTCTCTCTCTCTCTCTCTTCACGTGTACAATAACAGCAGACAACACCACACATGTGGAAGCGCAGAGGGTTCGGGGAAGGCGAGGAAAGAAACAAAAAGGGGTAAGTCACGGGGTCTCCAAGCTCGCAATCGAGCCGCACCACCAGTTCCGTCCATGGCTCGCCGGCCGCCGGGTGGCGCGCGCAGATTGTCCGCCCGTTCACACGCCGGTCAGTGGTGGGAGGCGGGCCTTGGGGTCGCCCCATCCATCTGCCCTTTGACTTGCTAGACATGGCGGAGAGGAGGTCCACGCGATCCAGGCCGTCAGCGTCGACTGCCGCCAGGCGTTAAATGAGCCAACTTGGACGAGGGTCAAAATCAAATGGGAGGGAACGCCACCTTTTCGATGGTTAGAATCAATTCACCGCCGTCTAGCAAGGCAAGCTCCCGACACGTGGCGCGAGCACACACGCACAGAGATGCATACACACGATATTTCCTTATTTCATCCGTGCAATTTTGAGAAAATAATTATGAAAGCTAGGGATCTGTGCAGAAATAAAATCCTCAAACACAGAGAGGGTTAGAGTGAAATTTTCTGGGGATGACCTGACGTGGAGACATTAGGCGCTCATCGTGCCCTAGCTTTCCGGACACGATTCGGGAACAGAGGCCGTGAGCCGGCCACGTGGGCCAGCCTCAGTTAGTGGCATAAAAGCAATATTCAGAGTTGCAAGGGATGAAATGCATACGAACAATAGTTCGAGGGGCTCGTCTCCCTCCTGGCCTGGTTCGAGGTGGCTCGGAAGAGGGGGGGCCGCGCCGAAAGCGTCGAGGGCGATGGTGGAGAAATCCAGAAATTAAAAAAGGGGGGACGGCGGCAGCGGGAGAGGACGATAAGCTCGGCGCGGGGACAGCGACAGGGCTCTGGGGACCATCGCCAGCCGCCATTAATGCCGGTCTCAACCTCCTCCCGTTTCCACCTCTTTCTCTCCGTCCTCCTCCACCCTTTCCAGATAGATTGCACACAGCTACTACATACAGAGGTGGGGGAGGCGGGGATAGTGTGGCCCGAGGAGCTGAAGAGGGAGGGGGGCTTCGGTGCTTCCAACTTTCTCGCGCATCTCTCTTTTTTGCTGTTCCTTCCCTGGTTCTCGTCGGAGAGGGTGGCGTCTGGGAATCTGCCGGAGGTCGTCAAAGTCGGGGAGCTCGAACGCCCGACACCGGGTTTTGATCGAGCGGGGGCCATCTCGTCCGGTTGGGGCCGTCGGAGAATCATTCCACATCGCGATCTGCGCAGAGTGGACGGTTGTTTTGTCTTTTTGTCGATCCTTGCTGGGAGCAATTCAAAGGGGGGTTAGGACGGCAGCTGCGTTGGTCTCTTGCCGCGTGGGAAGGGGAGCATTAGGTCGCAGATCCGGCGATCTTCCGGCGGATTCCGCCGCCAACTCTGCCTCCCGCTTGTTTGCTTGCTTGCTTGCACTTGGATCTTCAGGTTTGTGGGGGAGGACGACGGGATCGTTGGCTGTCACTGAGTTGCCTTGGGGCTTTGTACCATGGGGAACTGTTTCGTGGCGAGGATCAAGGCGGAGAGCCCTTTCCACAGCGTTTCTCCCTCAGGTGAGCACCAATGGCATCCACTGTGAGCAGAATTATTATTCGATTCCTCCTTCCCCACGCATCGGCGGATTTTGTTTCCCTTCGTTTTTTTCCTTGTCGACCGAGTGATTCAGATCCCGGTCCAGTCTTCTGTGCGATTTCTTCCGAATAATTTGGATTTAGCAGGAGACGTAGCCCCTCCTGCTTCGATCTAAATCGCCAGCTCTTGAGGCATTGCTTCCCCGCTCTTCTTCTTCTTCTTCCTTCGATGATCACATAAGGGGTCATCATCGATTCTCCTTTTTTCTCCCCCCTGCAACGGATTGGATGACACCATGTGTGGATCTCGCAGGTCCGAATTCCCACTGTCCGAGCGTTTCCGGCAGCATGGGTTCCTCCGTCTCGGTTCCCCCGACACCCCGGAGCGAGGGGGAGATCCTCCAGTCTCCCAACCTGAAGAGCTTCACATTCAGCGATCTGAGGAGCGCGACGCGGAACTTCCGCCCTGACAGCGTGCTGGGCGAGGGCGGCTTCGGCTGCGTCTTCAAGGGATGGATAGACGAGAACTCGTTCACCGCCGCCAAGCCCGGGACCGGCATCGTCATCGCGGTGAAGAAGCTCAACCAGGAGGGTTTCCAAGGCCACAAGGAGTGGCTGGTGAGCCTCCTCTCCATTCGCCCAGATTCCATCCCCCATTGGACTCCAAAATTCAGACTCCCCTGGCTGAAGATCGTCCGGGAATTCTCCGATAACAATTTTTTTTCCGCAGATTTAGAGCTTCAGCAATCGCCGTTTGATCCCCTCACCTCCCCCCTCTCTCTCTGTCTTCTGACATGGGATTCCTTCGATTCTCAGGCGGAGATCGACTACCTCGGGCGGTTCTACCACCCTAACCTCGTGAAACTAATCGGATACTGCCTCGAGGATGAGCATCGGCTGCTGGTCTACGAGTTCATGCCGCGGGGGAGCTTGGAGAACCATCTCTTCAGGAGTACGCGCCACCCCTTCCCGCCTTTCACCTTCGTCTTCCACCTGACATGGGATTCTCAGCTGCCCCTCCATTGTCGTCGCTTGCAGGGGGCTCCTACTTCCAGCCGCTGTCATGGAACCTGAGGATGAGAGTCGCCCTCGGCGCTGCCAAGGGGCTGGCCTTCCTCCACGGCGCTCAGACCAAGGTCATCTACCGGGACTTCAAGACCTCTAACGTCCTTCTCGATTCGGTGAGTAGGGAGATGACCCTCCTCTCTCTTCCTCTCCCTCGACCCCTTCGTCGTCTCCGCTCCCTTCTGAGACTTCTTTCTCTTCGCGGAGTTGCAGAACTACAATGCCAAGCTCTCGGACTTTGGTCTGGCCAAGGACGGCCCCACGGGGAACAAGAGCCACGTCTCCACGCGAGTCATGGGCACCTACGGATACGCGGCCCCCGAGTATCTGGCCACCGGTGAGTCCCTCTTCTTCTCCTTCTTCGGATTGTATGGTCGGAGGGTTGACCTGATTCTCGTTGCTGCTGCTGTGGGCGAAGGTCATTTGACGGCGAAGAGCGACGTGTACAGCTTCGGGGTGGTGCTGTTGGAGATGCTGACGGGGCGGCGAGCGGTGGACAAGAACCGGCCCTCCGGCGAGCACAGCCTGGTGGAGTGGGCGAGGCCCTACCTCGCCAACAAACGCAAGGCCCTCCGCATCTTCGACGCCCGCCTGGAAGGCCAGTACTCCGTAGCGGCGGCGCACAGGGCCGCTGCCATGGCACACCGCTGCCTCTCCACAGAGGCCAGGTGCCGCCCCAACATGCAGGAGGTTGTCTCCACTCTGCAAGCCCTCCAAGACGCCGCCGTCAAGGACGTCTCCTCTGCCGCCGCCGCCGCCGCTAGGGCCCCGCGGGCCGTCGCCGGCATGGGCGGCGGCGGCGCCGTCCAGGGGTACAGGTACTCCGGCAGGGCTGTGAATGGGATGGCCGTCGCTTACCCCCGCCCCTCCGCTTCCCCTTTACGCGCCTAGGAAACCCCCCCCCCCCCCCGCTTTTTCGGAGGGAGCTGTAAATTTTTGAGCTCGTAAGTGCCCATCTGCTGTCAAGGGAAGGACGAAGAGGAAGACGACGAGACGACGATTCCACTGGGCACACGAGCCCGCCGTCTTCTGTTCATCGACTGTTGTACAGTTTCATTGAGACGGTGACCACCCCTGTTTGTGCCTGCTTGATTATCCCTTTCTGAGTATATATATATATATATTCCTTTATTTAATTATTTGTATGCCCCCGATGTACAAGTAGGGAAGTTGGGCGGCTGACTCCGTGATGTTGACCTTGATGTGTCAACGACCCTTGTGTAGGAGGGAGGACATAAGAGCTGAGATGGGTTTCCAAGCAGAAGAATTGAGGCCCCAGATCCTGGAGCTGACGCTATCTACCTTCATTATAGGTTGATTCTTACTTAACGGACAGCGAGTTGACATTTTCACTCCATGTGGTGGGGAGGACCCAGGGGGAGGGGGTGAAGCAGCTGGAAGGCGGCTCACTAGCCGCCGCCCAGTTGACGATGACCAGAATGATATATATAGTATGGAATCTACAAGGGACTGCACATTTTGCACATTATATATATGTAAAAAAAAGCTCTACTTCAAGAACCACGAATATTTTATTTTATTTTATTTTTAAAAGCCCGCGAATGCCAGAAACGGTCAACGCGCGGAGGAAAAAAAATCTGCCTTTGGAGAGGACCAGCTCATTACAGTACGACTTGAACGAGGGGCGAAGAAAAAGTCAACTTTAAAAATGTCCCATAGATAACAGCAACAATGGCATTTCATGTTATTAGAACAACCCGAGTTCTACCTAGAGGGCCACAAACATGTGCAGAATTTCTAATCAGAAGTGCGGAAAGATTCTACATTAGAACACACCCATAAAAAAGTGTGCATTTTCTACAGAATGTTTTAGAGAGAGAGAGAGAGAGAGAGAGACGGAGGCGTGCAGATTCTTGACGGAGGCGGGCAGAGCGAGTGACCTAAAAGTGAGCAAGGCTATAGCCAAGAATCCACAACAGCTGCACCAAACAAGAAGAAAGACATTCATCGTCTGGGAGAATATAGATGCTTATCCTACACTTATCTGTTGACCAAAAATTTCACAGAAAAGATCGCACAGGTGGAGGCGGGATTTCCCACGGCCTGATCCTTTCCCTATCTGGATTCAGTTGGCCTGATTGGATCAATCCGAGGCCGGCCAATCAAATACTGGGTCTTTAGCCCAGTATTTACTGACCTTGGACCAGCTGATTCTCGGCCGATTCACTGTGAATCGGTCTAAAATCTGGGAACTTTGCATTGAATTTTGCACAGATTGACCCCACCAATTTCGTGGCATGTATGTGGATCTAAATCAATCAATTCACTTATATATGCATATATAGGGGACTAAAGTCAACCCTTCGCAGAAAATCATGGATTTATACTTTGTAGGGATCATTGGGAAATAGAATATATCAGTAAACAAAAAGGTGATTGAGGAGGAATGGGGGAAAAGTACCAGGAAAAGGGTGAATGATGCAAACAGTCCCTCTTGAAGTAGTGCCCCATGGCCGCCGAATTCTTCTTCATCAACCCTCAGGATGTACGCATAATAGCCATAAATGATACCAGAAGAAAGTGCAAGGAACCTACGCCATGCAAGTATCACTTATGGTTTGTAATAGTTTTTTCACGAGTAAAGCAAGTATCTTCATAAGATAATGCGAAAAAAAATAACAAGAGCGGTATATAAAAGATGAAAACTCCGCTACCACTTTTTGAACTCCAATTGTCGTTTTTTTTTTTTTTAATGAAGCTTTTTCTTGTTCTTGCGAAGCAATAGATCACAAAAAAGTTAGAGATTGGAAAACAAAAACTTTCTTTTTCTATATCACTGAAAAGCAGGAAAAACAGTATATAACACAGAATCCAAGTTCTTAGCCACCCAGAAAAATTTGCAAAGCCCAGAATAAAAGTACGACTTTAACCTTGTTTTAAGCATAATGATAGCAAAGGAGAAGCTTGAGAGATAAAATATCAAGAATGATCAGTAATTTTACTCGTACAAAGTCGAAACTCCTAGAAAAATGAATATAAATTGAAAGTTCTGTACCGCTCAAAGGCATATTATATTTTTTCAACTCATATAATAAAGTGGCATATAGCATAAAATGAAAGCATCATTCATCAACCATGCTTCTCTACAAATCTAACGTTAGTTGAGTGGAACCACATAAATGTAAATCTATATTTTTCTACAGGGAACAAAAGAAAACCTATTCCTCGTCAATCTGTGTGACACCTGTCTGAGACAATCTGATTGCCAAAAGAAAACAATTGAACCCTTAAGGCATGATGTTGGCATTATTTAAACTTTATCTGTTACTAAACTAAACTGTGTCTAAATGACTTTTGGTTTTGTTGCATCTGGTTAATCATTATTACTCACATCATTCTGATGAAAAAAATACTTTCAACGACCCACAAATCAGAATAAACTAGGACCATAGGCCAACAGCTAATCAGCATCACACCATCCGGAATCAGTGGAATGGATTTCCCGCTACAAAGAGTGGCTTCTCAGTCCACCCACCAACTTTTTGGTCAATCATGGCAAACATTTACTAGGGAGAAACTTTTTCGTTCCGGAAGGGAGCTTGATCTTTACCAAGATAGTGGGTAATGTCAAACGCAACAGTTCTTGGCGGGTCGGGTAGAGTCTCCGCGCCTACCAATTTGATGCTTTTTTCAGTAGACCATCGGTTCCTTTGAAATTATGCAAGAAAAAGAGGGACATTGCCCACGTAGAGGTTGGTTTCTTCTGTAAAACCACTGGCAAAGTCCCTAACATTATTTTTTATCTTGTGCAATGTCCATACCATTAGAAAGACAACGGTGATGGGACTGTGGTGGATGAACTCAATGGCAGTCGAACCTAGAGGCAATTGTTTCTATTTCCTTAGAACCCAATGCAATGTACAAGGTATCCACTACTTGAACAACACACAAACTCTCAATCGAAATTCAGAACTTAGTTCCTAAACCCATTCAGAACCTATCTCGTTCACCTATGATCCTGTTACAATTAAAATGAAAAACGATGAAAAATAATTGAAAGATGAATTGGACCGTAGAGGGGAACATGAAGAAAGAGAAAATTGCCATCAATTCGGAAGAATCCGGGAGAAAGGGAGAAATATATTTAATCATTGATCGCTAGTCATATGGCGGCAGAAGTGTACGAATTGTTCATCAATCCTTTAAACCAAATGACCCTAGCAGAGGAACACTTGATGTGTTTTTTTTGACTGGAAGATGTTTGGAAAACAACATTAACATGTTCCAGTAAATCCCAGATGTACGTCGAAGGCCTAATGTATAACTTGAATTGCAAAACAAGATCCGTGGACACCAGTATATTGATTAGAATAAAAACTAGGAAAAGAAGAAAGCTTCAAAAGGAGTTAATCATGCGAAAGGCTTCAAGATGAGGCAACAAAAATAAAAGAAAAACACGATCCAAAGACTTTGTCATCTCCATGATAGTGATTGGCCAGGGTCATGTTTGATACACTGATTTTGTCCCAGATCATAGCAAATGATTTATTCTATTTGGCAACTGATATGCAGTTTAACCTGAACACAAGGTTTAATTTTGAAACTTTTGCTACGAGAAAAAACTCGTCCTTTCCAACTTCACAGGCTCTCTGATTCTCATCATAGTAAAATATCTTTCGAGGAAAATGTCAAGAGAACTTTCCCATCATTTTCTTCAGGAATAACTGTGTCACACAAAGTTCTAACAATCATATTATTCTTCATTTTTGAAAAAAAATTATCAGCCAATAAAATAGCTGATCCCTGTTGATGATAATATGGATAATATGGAATTGAAAATCTTAAAAGCAAGATAAAGTCGTACGAAATTTTGGCCTATTAGGAAAACAAACTTTGTTCACTGATGAGGCTTTAATTTCATAAGAAATACGCCATGATGTGAACATTGATCATAAGTTTCTGACTAGATACAAGAGTCCGGCTGAATACAATGTCACTAGTTAAAAACCTGTAACCAAGTTTCTCTAAAAATTTATCTTGAGCGATATAAGTTGAGTTGTAATGGCTACATCCAATGAAAAGCCTTTGGATAATGAAAAACGGAAGGATTTCCTTGCTCTGCTCTATGCCATAAGACATGGGACGAAATTACCAGATCCAGAGGAGTTTCCATTTGTACCAGTGACTTCACATAAAAAATAATCCGTGTCTGCAATCCCCCATCATTTTACTCTCTTAGAGGGACATCAAAACTCGAGGAATATTCCTTTCTATCTTTATTCCCCACTTCTACCATCAGAAAATGGCTTAGTTACCAGTCACAAGCTTATCCTCCGCACGTGTCTTCAATGGCGCCCCACTGTAGGTGGGTGTGTGTAACAAAAAAGCGCTCCCAACTGATTTCAATCCACTAGTGTTGACTCCTATTTCCTTGTACTGGAAAAATTCAATTCAGGATCTCAATTTCTATTCACTAATCCAAAAAGTAGGGAAAAATTTTATCCGCTGTGTAAAAAGAACTTGAAGAAGACATCAATCATATCAAGTCTCTACATTGGAATTAACATGCTGCATGTATTCAATAGACTGTAAGGAAATGTGTCCCCGCAGGACGCGGGGGCGGCCCTTGTGGATCGGCGATCGAAATTTACGCACGAAGAAAAATGTCGAGGACGATGGGAAGAAAAGGCTTGCTCTCAAATCAACGTTCATAACTTACACTACTATCCATATGGCGCCCACCAATGGGATGGCACCCCACAGCAATCCACACACGAGACCCAAAACCTGCCGGATCCAGTGCAGAGCGTCCCCCAATTGATCCTGAACAAAACACTCACACAGGGGATAAAAACGCCATTCGCACAAGAGAGAACCAAAAAGTAGAATGCCCCACAGAAAGAGATCGCTCCGTTCGATGGCGGACATTCATACCTTGTCCCAGGAAGCCTCCGGATCCAGCAAGTTCGCAAACTTGAAAGGAAGGACGTGGCCGTTTGGCTGCTGGGGACTCGACTTGACCGATTTGATTGCCATAGCTGCACGAGACAGACGGTGAGGCCCCTGAGAGGAATCACTCTTCCCCACCCCTCTCCGAGACGATTCCCCACAGCTACCACTTCTCTTCCATCCGGCAGTGGAAATCAATCGACTCCCCGAACAGGTACCACACTTATCCTTCAAGGTCGACGACAGATGAGGTCCTCTTCGGCGATCAGCCTCTCTTCAGCCGATCGGATCTCCGGCGAGCGGTCGTGGTGCTCTTGCGTCAGAGTGGGAGGAGGAGACGACCTTCTTATATGGGCCGAGATGGTGACTACCGAGGGCCGTCCGTAATGGGCCCACTAGGACCTCAGAGCCAAGACCGTGCGTTATTTGGCCCGGCCCAAATTCACTCAGCCCCTTTTAAGGCGGGCTGTTCTCTTCATCCTAGTCTGTCTGAGCCTTGTGAAGCATGGCCGGGGCACATACCCACGCTTCAGGTGAGAGTCAACTTCATCGCTTTATTTAATTACTTAATTAATATAATTAAAATAAATGAAGATATTAATAGTCTGGTAAGCGAGAGATATGCCCAAACTAAGGCAAAGCCCTCTCAGTATATGGATCAAGATATACATAAATTACGGAAAAAATGTGTGGAATATACGAGGGGAAAAAGTCAACACGTCCTGAAATCTAGGGTTGGGGATCAGTTGGGGTCTCCTCGTCAAACCATCGAGGAGGGTCAAAGCCAGATCCGCCTGCAGTTTAAAAGAGAGCCCGATTAGAACACAGGTACCGAGGTCAAAGCTAGGAGCAGTCGATGAAGGTCAGAGTTGACTTCCTTCGATGAATTATCAATCTTAGCAATAAATAAAAAAAAAAATGATGCCATCGGTGAAGATTATAAGTTACAGGCTAGAAACTAATAATGGGAGACCTCGTGGTGTCTGAGGGAGGCTGCTGTATCCCCTCATCATCCTTTGAAAAGCTTGGCAAGGTCAGACATCAAGTCAACCCCCCCACCTCTCCAATCCGGGGAGAGAGAGATAGGGAGAGGCAGATGACACTAAGCACAAGGACTGCAAGATTCTTGATGCGTGATGACTAATGACGGAAGGAGACAACTTAATTCCAAAAAGGGGGAAAAAATAATCCCAAAAAAAAAAACGCTGGTGGATTTGAGTTTTGCCCATTTAGCAGAAAAATCCGAATAATTTAGAACTGTCAGTGATTCCTGTTAAAAAAGAAGGGACTTCCAGGATCTCAGGAGATGGGGATAACAGTTCAGCCTGCTCATTCTCCTGGGTGGTCTGTGTTACTGCAGGGTGGGAGGAAGGAGGAGCGGGGAAGGGTAGAACTTGTGGCGTCTTGCATGGCTTCCAGCCGCAGTCCATGTTCAGGTTCGAACTCCCAATCATGAGAAGAAAACTCATCTGTCGTCGGTGATTTGTGGGCAGAAATATCATGGGAAACGGCGGGGAAAAACAAGGGCAATCTGTTCTGGCAGACGAGATGAATCTCGAATCAGAGTTTACCGAGAGGATTGCAGCGGCAGAGACGCCAAGCCGTCAGAATGGTGCCCTTGGCCACACCATACTTCTTGTACGCCTGCATCGAGTATTCGCTGCATGTTGGGACGTATCGACAGCTCGAAGGCAGCAGAGGCGAGATCTCCCCTTCACGCCCGAACCCGGTCAAGATCAGCACGCCGGTAAGTTCCTTACGGAGGGGAGAAAGCAGCGACGAGGAAGAGAGATAGTCGATCTCACTCTTGTAAAATTTCAGCATGGAGAGTGCCACTTTGACGCCCAAATCATTCACCTCCTCCTCTACAAAACGGCGAAAAGAAATATGAGAAAATTCCATAAGTAGAGGGCTCGCTGGAAGGAATGGGCAGGAGGAGGAGCCGGTAACCTTCTTGAATCGCCCCCCCCCTGTCCTCGGAATCGTCTTCTGAACATGCTCGCCGGTGCTTCTGCGCTCACAGAGTACGGGAAGAATTGAAAGTGACGAAAAGCAGTAACATCGGAGACGAGTAGTATGCTCGTCCATGGACGAGCGAATTCCGCACATCTAGGGTACCATTTTTCCGCGGGGATGAACCAGACTTGTCTGGGGCCATCTGATGGGGGTTCCGAACGTATCGGCGAGGACCCCCTGGTTCCTTCTCATTGAAGGCCTCGACGGGCCGCACCGGAGGAGCGAAGGGGAGGAATTACGAGGACCCTGCAAGGCGGGGCTGCTCATGGTGACGATACAAGCCATGTCCTCGAGCTGAAGAAGGCGGCACAGAAGGGAACTCCCGGACTGCCTGTGCACGAGAGAGATGGAGAGAGAGAGAGGATACCATCGATGAGGGTTATATCGTCATTTCCAATGAGGTAAAGCGTTAGCCCAGGATGATGGATCTAAACCTGACCGTCAAAAGACCGACTCCTAGGAGCACAGAGGTCACCCATCTTCCCCTGGGCAGGAATGACTTTCAACTGGGCCTCTGGCCGAGGAAAGGTCACCCATTATTCATCTTCATGGCAGTTACCGACTTTGGTAATTATTTAAAAAAAAAAAAAACAATTTTCAGCAGTTCCGACATAAATTCATGAATTCCTCAACAACATAAACTAATATTCAGCGAGAAAAATAGACCCGGCAAGATCCCAAGTAATTATTTAAAAAACAATCAATTTTCAGCATTTTCGAGATAAATTCATGAATTCCTACCCAATATAAACTAATATTCAGCGAGAAACTAGACCCAAACAGATCCCAAGCTGGATCCGGTGGAGGCTTTCATTAGTTCCAACCTTAAACCTCAAAGCTTGGCTTTCATGCCTTATGGTCTTACAAAAATCTTGTTCTCTCTCACATCTTCATTTTAGAATAATATATTGTATGCTTCTACAATGTAATATTAGTAATATTTCCAAACACTGAAGAATGTAATATCATCTACCCAAGTGGGGGTCAAGGTTTTTTGTGAGTTTGAACCATCGTCATATGCAAATGAGAGAGCTAAAGATTGGTGGGTATGAAGTCTCAATGGACTCATAAGCAACACCCTTGTATCTACCGGTTAGCAACATAGGTGGCTAAACCATGAATGTGGAGGTCAACAGGAGCTTTGTCAAGTCAAGCACAATTGGAAGGTCCATGACAAAAGGAAAATGCAAATAATCCTCTTGAATAGCTATATCTCGATCATTTGTAAATATATATTTTCAGTCCCAAGGTTATTCAAGAGATTAAGATATGTTCCACTCATAAAGCTAGACAAGACAAACTTAATGTCCTTCCTAGCACTTTAATGGCATAATGGTTGAAATATGTCGATATTATCACCATTTTATCATGCATGGTGAAACGTTTTATTTGACATTAGGTCATTACCTTAGCATCATCGCATCCATAATCCCTATGATTTTGTTATATATATTTTTTTCATGAGATTCTTTTGATATTAGAATGGATGTGGTTACACATTCATGTGTCTCCTCAACACTATGATTAATAGCTACTTCATCTATATTTTGCACATCTTCATGAGAATGTGGACCTGCAGGAGCATCTTCACCACATGAGAGATACCCATTTGAATGAGTCATTGGTATTTGCTTTCTCACCATTTTAGCAATGCATGTTGAGGTTTGCGACCCGAGGTAGGGTAATATGCACTGAGATTTGGAATTTTGAGTAAGTTTTGAAGTTGGCAAAAATTCATGATGACAAAAATGTCATTCCACATTGTTCTAATGGGCAAGTTACATCTAGGTTAATGTTTTAAAATGAGAATTTGTGTTGTGAAATTGTGTGATACTGATATTCCAATACAAGTTTACATTGAAAGATAGATAAATGTCCTGTAGTGTATCAATGCTTATGGTTTGATATATGAAGTTTTATCTTACATAATAATGGAATATTTCAAGCTCGACATTTCAGTGCATGAAGATCATGTAATGGAAGACAAGTATCAAAACTTCATCAAATATTAATTATTAAATTTATAGTTTTAATGAGACAAGTATTTGTACAGCTAATGTCTCGAGCGACCAATGTCACTGATCATATAATCAATGTGGCATTTATGATTTACCTAATACTAAAATCCAGCCTATCAAGCATAACTAAGTACAAAAATAGATCTTGAATAATTTGTTCATGCCTAAGATAAGACCTGACCGAAAATTTGATAATTGGAAGTTTGCAAAGTTTTCAATGCAGTAGAAGACCATAGAAATGTATATATGGTATGGATCTGGACTAAAATGCTGGCTCATCTAGCCATGATGATAATAACTATGTTGGTACATGAAATACTATTGTCATAGAAAATATTTCAATTGTTTTTAATTGTTCCATGTAATTTGATGTGAGTTGATTTTCATTTTTTCTTTTCATGCTCCAACGTGAATCCAAAAAGTCCAAGTCAACTAAACCCTAGTAGCATCACTCGTGCTTCTCATACCCACCTATCTTTTTCTTCTTGTTTTTCCTTCTCTCTCTCTCTCTCTCTCTAACAACCCCCCTTCCTCAAGGTTATTCACTGAAGCAAGAGAGAGTGAGATTTATACATAAGGTTAAGTAGCATATAACAAATCAAATTAAATAGGATTCACTCATTATTGTTTCCCAACGACATTGTCTCGTCAAGTGATTGGAGTCACTCAAATGTTGACTTGTACGTGAATCTAATGACTGGAAATAATTTAATGTCATATAAGTGTGAAAGTCAAAGACCCTGAATAAGGTTTGAGTTAATAGCGTGATCCTTTCACACCCTCATCAACCTTTTCTCCCTCTTCTTCTGCGCCACCCGCATCACTAATCCTCCAGCGGAAGGCGCCGATCGGTTGTTCAATGGATAAGACACGTCGTAGTTAGATATTATTTACAAGTCAACCAATGAATGATCTAAGAATCTCTCCTACTTCGCAATGCTCCCCCCCCCCCTCTCCCAACGCTCCTCTTTCTCATCGGATGTGCGTTCTTCCGAGGGACCAAGCCGTCGTGCCGCGCACAGGAGCCTGAAAGGGAACCAAACGAAGAAAGATACGCTCACGAAGGTCAACGGCCATTGAGATATTTTGCAAGAGAAGTCAATGCTTTGGACTTGTGACTCACCGGGGCTTTCATCGAAGGAAAGATGTTCCAAAATCTGAGTGTTTCGTCCCCCGCTCCGGTCACAATAGTCTGCAACAAAAGGCATTTGGGTTCTATCAATCTGAGGGTAGAGAGGGAGAGGGAGTGAGAGAAAGACGATGGGGTTACCTGTCCATCGGGTGAGACAGCAAGATAGAGGACTCGTAGAGTGTGCCCAGTGAGAGTCGCTACCTGTGGACAAAGAACCGAGGCAGCTGCTGAGTAGGAACCCTAAATGCGTTCATCATTGTGGAAGGCAAGTAATGGGAGAAGAGCTGAGTTATGGCTGCTACCTTCCCCATTGAGGGGTATTTCCACACCATGATCTGGTTCTGAGAGTACCCATGAGTGCTAACCAACTCGTTCACAGTCTTGCACCATGCCAGATTGCAGACCTGCGGCGTTGAGGGAGTTGGAGGAAGAAGATGGACGATTAGGGTACGTGTGATAAATCTCTGTGGGTGAAACCAGTGGTAATAGAGACACGCGGAGGAGAACCTGGCTCCCGGTGTCCACCGAATTCAGCAGGCTGCCGTTCTTGGTGTTCCAGAACCGGATGCACCGGTCAGCGGTTCCGCCGCCGGACGCCAGGAGCCCGTGCTGGTGCGGTGACCAGGTTATGGCTTTGACGGCGGCCGTGTGCTCCGACAGCCTGTGGATCGGCTGCTGTGAGTGCTGATTCCAAATCAAGAGCTGGTTCACCAACAAGGAGCAAAAAATCATAATTATCTCAGTTTGACGGCCCTTGAAGGGAGAACAAGGATCGATCAACGCAGAAAGAGAGAAAAAAAACAGTCAATCATCGTCGTCCACTGATCATTTCGAAGCGAGATGAAGGGTTCCCACCTGGTTGTCGTTCCCGCCTGAAGCGAGCTCCCTGTCGTCATGCGACCATTTCAACCCGCAAACCTAAACGACAGAGGAACACGACGGGAAGGGAAAGAAAGATGATGAGAAAGGCCTCGTTCTTGGGGAAGATCTAATCGCCTCAAACGCCATCGATTACCGGGGTTTTATTCACAGATGATACCTCCGATCGATGGCCGACGAATTTGCTGACGTAGTCGCTCGAGACGCGGAGATCATGCTGGAGGATGTTCTTGTCTCTGCTTCCGGAAGACAGGATGCAGGAGTTCCACGCCAGGACTCCGGCCCTCGTCTGATGCCCACCCATCGTCCTGATCCTCTTACACCGGGCGCTGTCCCATATCTGCCACAGTCGAAGATCACAGGGCCTTCCAGCTCAAAATCAATGGAGAATAATGGAATCAGACCCATTAAATTGCCAGCCTCACTCGGGCCGGGGCAGGATCAAAAATGCCACCAGAGATGATTAAACAACAAGATAAACGGGTGATGAAGGTAAAAAGAATAATCGCATATTTTGGATCACTGCTGCAATTCGACGGTAATTGACGCGTTCCCACCCATGTTTAATCGAAGATTATAATTTCTATGCGCATACCTGAACCTCCCCCAGGCTGGTTCCGATGGCCAGGTAAGAGCCTTCGCGAGTCCACTGGATGCCGCAGACGCTGTCGCGGGGGCCCAGATCGCAGAGCTTCGTCACCTGTTGCCGTGAGAAGAGCATGATAAACGCGCAGAGCTCAAACTGAACCAGGAACGTCTCATTCTCAGAGTTTCAGAAATGCTCGAATGATGGGCAAGACGGAGAGATCAAAGATTCTCAATGATTTTCCCCGTTGACGCTGAATCCACCATTAGAAGGATGGATCAAGGATTCAACCAATCGTCCTGTTGTCGCCCCTCTTGCTGCTGAACCAGATGTAGATCAAAGACTACGTACACAGATTGATGGGTGATGTACCTTGCTGGTGGATGCAGACCAGAGATAGACGCATGTGCTTAACCCAACGGCCAGGGTGTTCTGTGAGGACCAATCGACGAGGTTCAGGTAGAAGTCATCCTGCAGGGAGGGGGCATCGAGAACCTGCAAACGGCCGATCGGTGGTTAGTAGGCTTCTTCCTCCTCGGTCGGGCTCGGGAAGATTAATTATGACTGGGAAATTAGGGATCTGGATTGGTAACCTTGTGAGGCGTCTTCGGAATCTTTCTGGGCACCTTCGGAGGGGTCGACACCTCTCCAAGAACTCCACTTTCGTTGCTCGAGGCCACCCCGGGAAACGGGGAGCTGGGGGCCGAGTGATCCGTCTTGAATCTGAACAGATTCTTATTAGGGCTCATTGGGGACGCTTGCCCAGATGGGGAGCAGGTCATGGCGTCCGTCCCGAAGAGCTCGGCCCTCAGCAGTCTCGAGTAGACCTCGTTCCCCCCCTCCTTCACCGGCGACGGCATCTCCACCAGCGCGAAGTTCTGGAGCCTCGAGGACGATCGGCAGGGTATGAATCTGTCGCTGTAGGTCGTCTTCGATGGCGACGACGTCTTCACCGGAGAGTACGCCGGCGGCGGCGTGTCGAGGCGGAGAGTCATCTCCATGCCTACCGGCAGATTCAAGCGCGTCTTCTTCGAATCCATCCTCTGCGGACCGCTATCTCTATCTCTCTCTCTCTCTCTGTGTACCCGGAGACGTTGACCAGATGATCTGCCCAAGGAAGAAGAAAAGGAGGGAGGAAGAGGGTCGGAGAGGCTGAAGTTGGGTTCGTCTTCTGTAGGCTCCGAAGAGGAAGCTCCGCCGGCAACGGTCACCCAGCCCAGAGCTTGCAGAGTCCAGAGAGAGAGAGAGAGGGAGGGAGGTGGTTAGTTGGGTGGGGGTACTGCTTATGTAAACGTGTGCCCACGGGGTAGCCGTTGGAACATGTTTGAATGGTTGCCCTACAAAACTAGTTTTACCCCCCTTAATTTATATTTATATATTTTTAAACCCCAATAGTTATATTATGCGTTAAATGCCCATTTTCATTTCCCCATTTCCTAGTCTTTCTAGATACCTGCAATCAGAATGATTATTTTTGTACCCTCATAGGGGAAACGATATTATTAATAATTTTAATTATACCCCTATTTAGAGTGTACAACCGATCGTAGCCCATGAGTGCCCCTCCATGGGCCGAGCCCATATTCCCGTATGGGCTCTTAAAATGGCAACAATCGTGGCCCATAAAGTATCAGCTCAGCACAACCATTCCTGCTACGAGACGCTAATGGGCCTGATGATTAGATCCCTCTCTCTCGTTCCGACGGGAGGAGAGGGAGGGAGGGAGGGAGGAGAAAGGGAGGAGAAAGGGAGAGAGGGAAACGGAATGGGAGGAGAGGTCCACCGCATGATCAACTCCCGACAGGGGAAGAACAAGCTGGCTTGGCTGATGGTGATTGATCACCCTTCGTGAAGTCATATTTAATGGCATAACAGGAGGCCTGTTGACGGGCAACTTGTCCCCAGATGCCCTAAATTATTCCCACGATGGCAGGAATGGGGAGACAAGAAGCGTCCGCCGCCGCTGCCGCCTCCTCCTCCTCCTCCTCCTCCTCCTCCTCCTCCGCCTCCGCCGCCGCCGCCGTCCACGACCGTCCTCACATTTCCTCGACAATCGGGAGGTAGAGGACGACGATGAAGGCCACGGCCATGGCCGGGTTGAAACAGTCGGCTGATATTCGAAGAGGAGCACCGGAGATCGCGAGGAGAGAGAGGGAGCCTGGATGGATGGAGGGAGACGGGATTTATGGATATTTACGCGCGATTAACTAAGTGAAAAAAAGAGCAATATCTAAGTTGAGAGCAAATGATTCTTGAATTGATTATTTTATGAACGAAATATGGAGACCACCCCATACTGGGTATTCATCATTGGGCTGCTTGAATCTGAGGAAGACCCGCTCCCATACTCCTACAGAAACGACCGTCGTCCACGGGGGCGCCCCTATATATTCCAGCCCGAGAGAGAGAGAGAGAGAGGACCTGGGGATGCTCGGGAGAGGAGGGGAAGGGAGGAGGAATGGAGGCTATGGGAGATGAGAACTGGAAGCTCTCAAAAGGTAGCGGGAGCGAGTACGGAAATTGCAGCGGCGGCAGCCGGCGAAGCGGCGGCGGCGGTGGCTTCTTCGGCGGCGGGTGCGGGGCTCTGCGGAAAGGAGGCTCTTTTAGCCGGCGGTGCGCTTCCCTGGTGAAGGAGCAGCGAGCCCGGTTCTACATCATGCGGCGGTGCGTCATCATGCTCATCTGCTGGCGGGAGTACCGCGACTGCTGACGACGATTGCCGCCGGCGCTGGCCGTCGCCTTTCTCTTCCTCAAAAAGACGGGGAGAGAGAGAAGAGCGGAGCGTCTGCGGCCGGGCGAGAGGCGGCTGATCTCTATATATATTTCCGGGCCATGACTGCCTTTCTCTCTCTTGTTTTCTCTCTGATTATGAGAGGTTTTGCTTCCTCCATGGAGAGGGGACGGATCTTGCAGAGGCCGCCGTGGAATCTCCCCGGTGTGCTTCCCGGTGTCATAGGGTAGCTGTTAATCAACGGATTTCCTACTCAGATTTCGGCGATCCGATCGATTTCTTCTGTCTGCGCCTTGTCTCTGTCATCTTCTTCCTTCGCTTCTGCCTCTGGGAGTTTCAGGCGACGGCCTCGTTGATTCCCCGGTGCGTACTCTGAGGCTCCTGGAGCTCTGAGGAAGACCGGCAAGATACAGTGCAGCAGTTCAGTTCAGTGAGACAGAGAGAGAGATAGAGAGAGATAGAGAAAGAAGGGACGGAGGCCATCGCCGTCCTCATTCCAGTTCCACTTCTCTCGTCTCCCAGGGAGCTTGCCTCTCCCATCGGCAGCACTCCCCACGACAATCTCTCTCTCTCCATGTTTCTCTCTCTAAGTTTCTCTCCCGCTTCCCGAACTGCTGTTGGTAATAATGAGGAGGGGAATCTGAAGGGCGAGGGGGGTCCGCCCCGCCGTGGCGCCATTACGAGAACGGAGACTCTTTCCGCCGGGAAGAGCCAGACGGCCGGTCCCTCTCCGATACCGAACCCGGCGCATCCTCCCTTATAAAATTCCGACCTTTAATGCCGTCTCCACCATAAAAAATGAACAGCGCTCGTCGAAATCCTCTCTCCTCCCCCCGCCTCCTCCCTCTGCGAGCCGGACAACGCCCACTGCCCTCCGAGCTGGTCTCCAAAGGGCCGCCGCAGGGAGGGGAAAGAAAGAGAGAGAAAGAGTGGAACAAAGATTGAGAATCTGAGACAGAGAGAGGAAGAGAAGAGAGATCTTGGAAGAAGGGAAGAGAACCGGAGATAGGGGGAGAGATTGGAAGAAAGAGGGGGGGTCAATGGATATGTAGAGAGAGAGAGAGAGGGCCAGCAAACGCTCACCAAATCTTTCTCTCTCTACAGTCATAGATCTCTTATCTTTCTCTCTCTACAGTCAGTCCTCTCTCCTCCGTTGTCATCTTTTTGATGCGCACGCACACGCAGACCTCGCTGTCGGCCCGCTTGCCCGGCGAGACTCCCAAGATCTCCTCGTCCACGGTGGCCGAACAGACAGAAGAGTCACGGGCCTTATGAGCCCGCGTTCCGGCCCGGTATCAGCCCGGCCCGTTGATGGTGGGCCCCGAGGGACGAGAACTAAGCGATCGCCACAGCTCCCCCTGGCATCCGTCGATGACGTACACGTGGATTAAGTGATCTTTTTTGCGGATTTGTCGGGTAGCATTGCGGGTAGTTTCGGTTTCCATGAGACCGTCGACGCGCTTCCTGAATCACGAGAAGCGCGCTCTCAGCCGGTCCAATGAGCCACTAGCTCATCCAAACGGACGGCCCCGAGCGGCCCGATTGGGGGGTGTTTTGGGCGGACAGAATATCTCTATCTCGCCACGTGCGACTCCCGAATTCCTGGTCGTGGGGCAGCTCGTCGGTTGGACCACTTTCTTCCCCCACCTCCTCTTTCACATGGCGAAACGGACAGCCGCCAGTGGTCGCCGTATGCACACGTGCACGTGTTCCTGGACTAAGAGGCAGGAGTTGGACGGAATGTATGGAAGGATGAAGACGGGGGGGCTGTACGTGGGCTGATTAATGGGTTTTCATAGATCTTCAAGGTAATTTACATGCAGGGGAAAATGACAATTTGTATCAACATTACACGACACAGACGATTAGCTGATAAGCAATTACATGCAGCTTATTCTCTCTCTCCTTCCCTTCTTTCTCTGTTGGAATCGCGGGCATTCAGGTTAATGGAGACTGAGGGGTCCCCCGGTCGAGGCCTCGCCGGTGCAAGAGCCCCATCCCCAGCCCCCGCCACCCGCCGCCGGGAGCGGAGGCCAGGGAGAAGGGCTTCACGGTGCCGTCGTTGCCGGCGAGCACACCGTACTTGTCCTTCCTGGTGAAGGTGGTGCACTCGTAGCCCAGCGCCGCCGCGAGGATCTTCTGGACGTGGTTGGCGACCTCGTGGGGGCTCTTCCCGGCGGCGCACGTCGCCTCCGGGGGGAGCTGCTCGAGGAACGTCACCTCGTAGATGGGCCGCGGGTTCATGAAGAAGAAGATGGGATCGAGCGCCTTCCACCCCCTGGCAGTGCTCGCGTGGAAGAGCCCCACCTTGCAGTTCATGGCCACGGGGACGATCCGGTCGGTCAACTCGGCGAAGAGTGCGGAGAATCGCAACAGGAAGGGCTCCCTGCAAGTCGTCCCCTCCGGGCAGACCACGAGGTCGCCCCTCGCCAGCTCGGCCTTGATTCGGTCTGCGTCCACCTTCCGGTCCCGGGACAGCCTCACGGTGGGAATCGGCGAGAGGATCTCCGAGAGGCGGGAGATGGAGTAGGTGACGGCGGGCACGTTGCAACCGAGGACCGTGGAGAGAACGACGGGGTCGAGGAGGCTGCGGTGGGTGCACACGAAGAGGACGCCGCTGGTGGTTTCGGTGGCCGCCGCCGGCGGGCGGCCCCGCACGACGAGGTCGCCGCCGAAGGCGCGGGCGAGGTGCGGGTGGAAGCGGAGGGGGACGACGATGCCGACGAGCATGCGGACGAGGGCGGCGATGATGCCGAGGGGGATCCAGAGGACGATCAGCAGCGCCGTGAGCGGCGTCGGCCGGGGGACAAGGCGGCCGTCGTGGAAGATGACCGGCTTGGGCCGGGGGGACTTCTCTTTGCTAGGGTTGAATTCGGGGACGAACGGGGCGTGGCGCTGCTCCTGCATGGCATCACAATCCTCAACTCCCGTCAGAAGACGACTCTCTCTCTCTCTCTCTCTCTCTCTCTCTCTCTCTATATATATATATATATATGTATATATATGTCGTAGAAGACGACGACTCGGATTTCTTTCACCGCCACGGTTGAGTTGAAATTTTTAGGGCAGACGTGGCCGATCATATCTCCCCGAATGTCCAGCAGTCCTCGCAAACATTATTCTAGAGATATCTTAATGTTTGCATATATATATATATACATATATATAGATAGACACATACATACAGAGAGAGAGAGAGAAAGAGAGAGAGAGATGCTTATCACCTCGCATAGATGAAGAAAGGACGCAGTTCCCGTTCCGCCGAGCCCAACGGTGGGCCCCTCGCCGTCGTTAAAGAGGGCTCTAACCTGGTCCGCGACGGAGAGTGATTTCCTCTTGAGCAAGCCGAAGGTGAACCCGAAATGGCTGACCTCCAACTCGGCGCCGACCACCGCCTCCGCCCCGAGGTGCTCCCTGGCGAACCACTCCACCATCACCCGTGGCATCGCCGTCACCACCACCCGTCTCTCCGCCAACCCGAACACCTGCCACGCCGCCGCGTCGAGCTCGTCCAGGAAGAACTTGGGCAGCACCGCACGGGCCACCGCCTCCACCTCCGCCACCGGGACGCCGGCGATGGCGGCAACAGCCATCACGCGGAGGGCCAGCTCGCCGCGGCCGGCGGCACGGAGGAGGCGGAGGAGGGGCCAGAGGAGGAGGAGCAGTGTAAACCGGATCAAGCCAGAGGCCTCGAAGGCCACGAGCATGAAGTATGGAAATAGGTCACCGTCCCTGAGGAGAGCACCTTCCAGCTCCGCCACCACGGACACAGCCTCCATCTCGCCGGAGCTCCTCCTCTCCGTCGTTCTTCCCCCCGCGGCGGAGGCGCTCCTATCCTTTGTGGAGCTCCTGAGGCGGTTTAAACTGTCGCAACCACCGTCCGGAGGGCACGCACGCCATGTCCGAAGTGGGGGGAATTTGTTTACTGACCTTCACCAACCCCTCCTCTCTCTCTCTCTCTCCCCGTCTCCTTTTTAAACCTCTCTCTTCGGCCTTCTAACAGTGTATACGAAGACTCTGCTCAAGGAACCGCCGGAATTGGTTCTACCCACCATTGACTCTGCGCATCCAAGAAGCACCTTCCCAGCTCTCTCTCTCTCTCTCTCTGTATCCTCTTCCAAAGGCCCCCACGATCAGTCCCCATCTAGACTAGAAGAACTCGATGGGAAGGGTGCTATGCTAACTCGATCAGTCCCCATCGGCGGTCTACCTCTGCCGATGGCCTTTGAATGGGGCCCAAGCAGATTGTACCGTCAACATTTTTTATCCCTAATCCACGTAACCTCTTCGCTAATTACTCCACGTCGGAAATTAGCGTCTTTATTTTTCAAAATTTCCAAGTTCATCTCCTTTTATTTTTTATTTTCTACATGAATGTTACTCCCGGGTGCGGCCAATCAGGGGGACCCACCTCCCGGCGGGGGGAGGAAGACAATTCTAGGGTTTCGAGCTCCCTTCTTCCTCGCGGTTTTCTTAGGGCTCATGTTCTTGGAATAAGCCATCAGCTCGGAAACGATTTCAGAAACAAGATGGAGAATGCATCAGAATTACATTCTGGAAGTTGGGCATCGATCATGGGCGGGGGAAAATGATAGCAACATCTCTGCCAGAACCTATCGTCATCAAACCACCCCTTTGATCTACAGAAAGATCAATAATCCGCTCCAGATGCAGACGAGCATGAGGGTTTTGTTTGGCTCCGAAAAGAAAATAAATAGCATGAATATGATTACCTTCTCCGTTTGCCGGATGAGCAGATGATATTGCATGAGAGTTTCCTCGGATGATTCTGTTCTTCTGATCCCCGAAGATCCACACAGTTTCTTTTCTATTAAAAATAAATAAATTTCAGAAATGGGATGGATCAGACAACAGGGTTCCAGATTATCTGGGCAAGAACACAGAGTCAGAACGAGTAGAGATCCATCCGCCATGAACGCGACAAGAAAATATAAGATAATTAATGCGGGAGACAGATCATCTAGTGTTTGAGACAGAACATTTTTACAGGTGATAAATCATAAGAGATACAGTTTCGGCACAGAGCATATACTGTTTGAGATCCCTTTGAACCATTCAGAAATCTCAATATTCCCATTTATAAACTTCACGAAAGCCCCAATCTTGCCATCAATCGAATGCTCCGTCGACAATTCAATAGCTCAGAGACAAGATTCGAGCAGGATTAAAGTGGCTAAGTGCTCCTTCCTGCGAGATAAAAAAAACTTGACCAGTGCAAGAATGATAGATCCGAATCTCTTTCATGTAAGCACGGGCATTAACACCTTTACAACGACATTCTAGCTGCACAGAGCGAGTGCAGCTAGAAATCATAATTTAATGGCGTCAAACCCAGCTAGAAATCCCGGTGACCAGCACCAGAATTCGTGAAGATCATTCTCCAATCATGAATTTAATGGCGTCAAACCCAGAAATCATAAGGTGCCGGTTCAATTTTCCCCGGACAAGTTATTGATGTGAAAGTGAGAATTTCCCTACTCATCATCGGTCATCGGTCATCGGTCATCGGTCATCAGTCATCATCTTCTCCTTCGACCTTCTGCCCAAAGCCTCTTGGGCCGGTCCTGGCCTTCGTCTTGACCCTCTTTCCACTCTTCTTCTTCTTTTCAGTCTCCTCTTTTTCGAACTTCTCCCTCTCTCTCTTCTGCAGGAAGTCGGCCACGGCAATGTACACGACCTGTTCCAGGAAACGAAGTTAGAATCAATGCCCGAGAGCAAGATGGATGATCTCCGCAGGGTTTATCCTCCTTAACAGCAGATCTCAGAACAATGGAACCAAAAGGAATTGTAAATCACACACACACACACACACACACACAGAGGAACCTTCAAGTAACTTCGCCGCTTTGTAAAAAATATGGGGACTAGGGTTCCCAATCCTCGAGTTTATGCGGGCGGGGCAAGGGAAGAAGCGTATCCCGCCGAAATTAGTGGCTCAAATTAATGAAGAGAAAACAAATCCTCAATCCGCGACAGGACCTGCTCAGGAAAACGAAAACGCATAGAGAGAAAATGACGGGATTATAGCAGCGAAATACCCCCACGGTGAGAATGGAGAGTCCGACGAAGGCGATGAACAGAAGAACAGAGATGACGGTGGTAGTGGCATCGTCGGTTGCGGCGACGACAGCCCTCTGAGATCCCTCCACCAAGGCTTCCGACGGCACGGTCTCGCCGGAGGCAGCAGCCACCGGCCCGTGGCGCACTCTTCCCAGTGAGATTCCGACTGCCGGAGACCGAAGCCGTGACGAGCTCTTCGGCGGGGAGAAGAGGGAGAAGGAAGAAGCAGCCGAAGAGACGAAAACCAGAGGATGTCGGCAGGCTCTGGAGGGAGAAGAAAGCGAGACCGCAGATGCCGCCGCCACCGCTGCCGCCATCTCTCTTCCTTCTCCGAGAGCTCGCCGGCCGGGAAGGCGAATCTCTACGGGCGCTTCTACTGGATGGGAAAGAGGATAGAGGAAGAACGGTCATGCATTCTCGGCCGTCCGATCGATGGACTTTGATCAGGATTATTTACAGACTTCACAGAGGACCCTACAAATAAACCTTTTTTATTTTTTAACGTGGATAAGTCCGGAGGGCTGAACTTATTGGGCCAATATTTAAGCCCAATTGGCCAAGAATGGGGGCCCATCACTCTTATGTATGGGTCCGAAGCTTTATCAATTAACCAATTTGGAAGATGACGTGGGCAGCAAGTACTGGCGTGGCGCCTTAGTCGGCAGATCTTATCCGTTGGCGTGGCTGTTTCTCCGACTCTCAGTAGCCGCGCTCACCGATTCTGTGGGCCAACGTGTTGTTATTCGAACCCACTTGGCCCACTTGCAGGTTTGCTAAAAAGCTCCCAATCCAGGCGCCCCCTCGGGGTACGTCGGATCGACGGTCTGGATTTCACGATTCTGCGGCTTGCTGAAATTCACGGCCAGGATCCTTTGGTACTGTAGAGCTGGCCCGGAAATCCCGACAAATTCCGCGGAACCCGTCGTCTACGATTCAAGTTGCGAGGGTAAAGGGGACCACTAGGCGTGCAGGCGCTGCCAGCGAGGCGAGAAGGGAGGGGAAGCAACGGGATCCGGTTTTCCGGCAGATCACCGATTGGTGCTCGCCAAACGGCGGAAAGCGGGAGCGGATCAAAAGTGTCGGGCTGAGTCGTCCACGTGGATCGCGTCGGGGACGCCACGACACAAGGTATCTACCCTTTTTGCCAGAAAAAGGAGAAATCCGCCCCAAAATATCCTCCTCCAGAGGAAGATCGTTCGAAGGAAATATCTCGGACCGCATCAAAAAGCCACTGCTCGCCGCTCCCCCACTCCCCCTTCTCCCCGTACCAGACGACGACGACCGGCTTCCTCCAGGCTTGTCTTCCCCGATCTTCCGGCGGTCGTGCCGGAAACCCTAATCCGCCGCTGAGGGCATCGGATGGGGTAGTGATCTACGAAGGTTGCCGCGTTTGGGAGACGGCCTGAGGTTGTCGATTGGATCCTCCTCGGTCCGGCAGCTTGGGAGAGGTATGGGAGAGCACGGCGGCGGCGGCGGCGGCGGCGGCGGCGGCGACGGGGTCTCTTTGGCCGGGGGCGACGGCAGAGGGAGGGTCATGGAATGGCTGGTTGGCCTGCCGAGTGACGAGGAGCTCACGCCGCTCTCGCAGTCTCTGATTCCCCCTGAACTCGCCTCCGCCTTCAGCATCACGCCGGAGCCGCCGCGGACGATCTTGGACGTCCACCGCGCCTCGCAGGACTCCGTTGCCTTGCTGCGCCGGCAGATCTCCTCCTCGTCGTCTTCGTCGCCCCTCAAGGGTTTCCCCTCTTTTGCGGCGGCCGCGGAGGCGGAGGATCCCACGGTCATCGAAGGGGATGAATCTGCGGCGAAAGACGGCAGCGGGGAGTCATCTCGCAAGACGAGGCATCTGGAAGCCGTGGAAGAGGCCGATTCCGCGTTCAGAACTGAGAATTCCAACGACGAGAGCTCTGCACGGACTCATAAGCGGCCGCGGCTCGTCTGGACGCCACAGCTCCACAAGAGATTCGTCGACGTGGTCGCGCATCTGGGAATAAGGAACGCCGTGCCCAAGACGATCATGCAGCTGATGAATGTCGAGGGGCTGACGAGGGAGAACGTCGCCAGCCATCTGCAGAAGTACAGATTGTACCTGAAGAGGATGCAGGGAGTCTCGATCGAAGGCCCGTCGTCGTCCGATCTCCTGTTCGCTTCGTCGCCTGTGCCACCGAGCCTGCAAGAGGCTTCAGTTCCGGTGCCGATACCATACGCTCCTCCTCCTGCCTTGATCCCGATGCCAGTCATCGGCATGGCTCACCACGGCCATGGAGCTCCCATGGCCATGGTGCCTCTGAACGGTCAACAGAGCGGGGGAGCGTACCGCGGCTATGAGGCTCATCACCCCTATGCTATGTTCGGAGAACGACCAAAGGATTGGCCTAGGGGTAACAACTTCGCATCGATGGTTCCCTATCCCCATGTTTCTCCCCGTAGCAAATAATAAAATAACTAGTTTTCCCGACTCTAATCATTTCTATGGACGTCTCTCCTCTGCTGGTTGCCGACCCCCCTCCTTTTTTTTTCATTTAAATTGGTATTTTCATGATCTTCCTCGATCGGCTTTCTAAGATCCATTGAGCAACTGTCCTACTGATCAAAACCATTTTCATGGCCTAATCGTCTTCTACTGCTTCCTCCCAACAGCTTGGTCTCACAGTGGGAACTGATGGCACGTTCCGTCAGATCATAATTTTTCTCGACGCTAATCTTTCCTTGTTCATGGTTAATACCCAGATTCTAATCGGTTATTTAAGAGTTAATATTAGAAAGCAGAAACCAGAGAAAAAAGGCGATTCTCTCATGAACAGCCCGGAAAGGATCTGTTTTGCAGGTCAGCTGATGATTTAAGCAGGCCCTCGATCGAGCAGGGTAACAGATGAGGATTGATCGAGTTCATCATCTGTTCTTCCGGATGAATTATGGCTGCGCATTGAAGATATACGACCATATTTATCATCTGTCTCGTCGGATGAATTACATCTGTGCATCAAAAGAATATGACGATCAGATTCGATCTGTTCTTTCAGGGCCGAGGTGAGATTCTCAAACCCACCGATCTGGATCAAGGAACAGCCGTGAGGGTGGTACCCCAAGAAGGTGAGATTCTTTGAGACTGACCAGGCTTCACACCCAGCACATTCCTTCTTCTGTCTCGGTCTGTCTCTGTCTAACTCTCTTTAAAAGCTCGTGTCCTGCGGCTGGATCCTACTGTCTGAAACGATTTCTGGAGAACCTAAATGGGCGAATCCGCCAGAGCTCCTACCAGAAATCACCGCATGAACAGGAGCCCTGCTTGAAGCAATGGAAACGATAGTTGTCCTTGAGAATGACCTCTCTCCCGGTGATCGCCGAAATCTCTTTCATGGCGGCATGGCAGTCCCCGCAGACCCGGAGGTTCTTGAACACCCGGATCGGCTTCCATGGCCGCGTGCTGATGAGCCCCAAGGAGACGGCTAGCCTCTCACTGTGATACATCCCCCGGTCTTCCTCCGCCGTACTGCCCCCTCCCCGGCGACGGATCTCTCCGGCCAACTCGCGCAACTTCTCGTATATCTCAGACGTCATCTCGCTCCTCTTGTCGTTGCAGAAAAACATGTGGACCCTGCTGTCGACCTCTATCCAGCTGTAGCCCGGTTCCTTCTTCAGCGCCTTCTCGGACATCGCCCGCCTCTGGTTCGCCGCCTCGTCCCGCCGGCCGTCGGCGGCGTACATGTTCGCCAGAGTTACGTACACTGTCGGGTCCTCGGGGTTCATCTCCAGCATCCTTCCGGCGACCTGCTCCGCCGTCGTGAGATCCCCGTAGGATCGGGCCGCCGCCAGAAGAGGCCGCCATATGGAGGAAGGAGTAGGAGAAGTAGCCTTTGTCGGCAGACGGGCGATGAAATCCTCCGCCTGCCGGAGCAGCCCGCGTCGGCTCAGGAGGTCCACCATGCAGGCGAAGTGCGGCTCCTCTGGTTCGATCCCCTGGTTCCCTTTGGCCATGGAGTCGAAGATCCGCCGGCCCTGCTGGACGAGCCCTGAATGGCTGCAAGCGGAGAGGACGGCGAGAAGGGTGGGCCCTGTAGGTTTGACCACCCCTTCCTCTCTCATCCGATCGTACAGGAGGATCGCCTTCTCTCCGAACCCGCCCTGAGCGTACCCTCCGAGCATGGAATTCCAGACCACCGTATCCTTCTCCTCCATAGCCGCGAAGACCTTCTCAGCTTCTGCCAGACAGCCACACCTCGAGTACATCTCTATCAGCGAGCTCCCGACGTGTGGGTTGCTGGCCCCATGGCCGCCGCCGCGGCCGGACTTCACTATCTGGGCGTGGATCTGCTCACCGGCGGCGAGCGACGGCAACGAGGAGCAAGCCTTCAGTACGGTGGAGAAGGTGAAGTGGTCCAAGGACAAGGCCCTCTGCCACATTCTGCCGAACGCCTCAAGGGCCTCCTCGCTCCTCCCGTGACGTACGTAACCCGACAGCAGAGCGTTCCAGGAGGGCACTGCGGAGTCGTCCTCGAGTTTCTTCTCTGCGTCGGCCATCTCTGCACATCCTGAGTACATGCCCACCACGGCCGAGCTCACGAAGGCGTTTGAGGAGAAGCCGCCCTTGATGGCGAGGGCGTGGATGCCCTTCCCCCAGCGGAGCCGCCTCAAGCTGCCGCAGCAAGCCAGAGAGGTCACCCACGCACGGCCTTCCGCCTCCACCTCGGACAGCCTCATGCGTGAGACCTGGTCCAGAGCTCGCTCGAAGCTCCCGTTCCTGTAGAAAGCACCGGCCATGGCGTTCCAGGAGACCAAGTTCCTGTGCGGCATTTCATCGAACAGCACCTCGGCCTCTATGATCATGTCGCACTTGCCGTACATGGTCACGAGAGAATTACCCACGGCCGTGTCCTGCAGGAAGTCGGATTTCACGGCGACCGCGTGGAGCTGCTTCCCCTGCTCCGCTGCCTGGAGATCCCCGCAGGCCCCGATGGCGATGGAGATGGTGTGCCCGGTGGGAGGCGGTTCTCCGGTGGCCGCCAGCCGGAGAAACAGGTCCAGAGCTCGAGCGGGGAATCCATTGGCAGCGTACCCAGAGGTGAAGCTGTTCCAGGCGACGGCGTCCCGATCATCCAGTCGATCGAAGACCACGCCGGCGCTCTCCAGGTCGCCGCACTTGGCGTACATATCGAGAAGGCTGGCGGCGATGAACCGATCGCTGCTCCGGCCGGATTTCACGACGATCCCGTGGAGGATCCTGCCGGAGAGCCAGCATTCCGACCGAGCAATCCGACCGAGAGCGCGGACGAAGGAGACGCGGTCCTGCGGGACGCCGGAGGGATCGAAACCCTGCCGGGGATCGCCGGCGAGCCCCGGTCCGCTCGTGGCTCCTGAATTGAACGCGGCGGTGGCTGTAGAGAAGCTCCTTCTCGGAAGAAGGCGGCGCCGCCGGTGGATGTCCAGGGTACTACTACTAGGGATGAGCTCCGCGAGAAGAAGCCCCATCGTCCGTCTGTCTTGGACCGCTTTGATCGGGCAGGTGTTCATGTTACTTTTAGATTAAATGTTCGCAGTTTGGGAAAAATAAAAAAATCGAAGAAAACTCGAATTTTATCCATCCGTTGATCTTGTTCTTCGGTTTTCAATTATCGGGAGGTGAAAGGTGAAGGAAGGAATTGAGGAAGAACCAGAAGAGAATTCATCTACGTTTCAAAGAAGAAGAAAAAAAAGGGTAGGAACAGAGGACACTGCAATCTCTCTCTAAAACCGCGCTACTACACGCCACACGACACCCTGGATCTTCTGCAACCTACCGAGGCGCGTCTCTCCCGCCGCCGCCGTCTTCGTCATCTCCTCGGAGGGCAGAAGGTGATGAGATAGCGGGAGGCCCTGCAGGTCCGGAGGCTGGAGGAGTCGTCGAAGGCGAAGCTGTACGCCCGGGGGCATAAGGACTTGAACAGGGTGGAGAAGAGCGTCGGCCGGCAGCTCTTCGGTGAGGCGAACTCGCCGGTGCAGCAGTACTTGTCCGTCTTCAACGCCTGGCAGGCGCTCCGGCAGCCCACCACCCTCCCCCCCTTCCTCACCTCGAACCTCGACGGGCAGCAGACGTTCAGATCCACCTCGCAGGCCGCCGATCCGCAGCCCACGCCTCCTCCAACCGGCACCATCGCCACCGGAAGGTTGAATCCGTCGACCAGGCTCACGTCGTAGTAGTGGAGGGCCGATTTGTCCGTGCCGAACGTCATCTCCACCACCGTGGCCGGTGGGACGCCGCCGGCGCCGCCGCATTTGAGGAGCCCAGCGCAGTCGCCGGTCTCGCAGGAACCCTTCCCTTTGTCGTCGAAGCAGCAGCCCTGGCGGCCCCATATCCTCCCCGACCACCCCCCCGGCACGGGGAACACCGCCTCCTCGCCGGTGGCCAGCCGGAATCCGCCGCCTTCCGGGCTGTGGTGGCCGGCCCCCCCGAGAATCGCAGGCCACACGCTCTCATTGCAGTTGTTGACAAGTATCAGTTCGATCCCCCCTGCAACCACAAACGCACAGGAAGATCATTCAAGCTATGATCTCTCCTCCCACATTTTCCAGAAACTATGGAGCGGCTTCGAGGAAACCTACGACCGAGGGAGACGGAGGCGCAGACACAGACACAGAGTAGGAAGAGCTTAGGGGAAGAAGCCATCGCCAATCTCCGACGTTCTGATCCGTCGTCTCCAGGGAGGAGTCTGAGGAGGGAAGACGGGACCGGCTTCTTCTGCGGTGCCTTCCATAACCGCCTTCTCGACGGTTATCAAAGTACCCCCGTCCATCCCTCGCTGCTTTTCCCCCTTTCTCCTTTCTCTCTCTCTCTCTCTCTCTTTTTCAAACCCCATCCTCGTGACCTCCATATTCCTTTCTTCCCTCGGTGGTTTTACAGTAGAGAGAGAGAGAGAGAGAGGTCCAAAATGCCCCTCGGTACTGGGGGTACGTGGCCGTATGCTGTTCATATTTTTCTGGGCCCTCAGATCATAAAGATCTGATAGAAAGAGCCTCTGAGTGCGGGGGGAGGGAGGATGGGGCGGCATCTTCAGCCGTGATATGACGGGGATCTCTCTGAATTCCCCTCCTCTCCCGCTCTCTGCTCCCCCTCCTCTGCCCAGTCGCCGCCACCACAGCCGATTCTACTTGCTCCGCCACCGCCACCATCGACCAGATGCCTGCAAATGTGAGCGGCAACCATCCCCTTCACTTCTCGCTTCTCCATGTGTGCCGCTGCGAGCCTTGAGAGGCTTCGGCGTGGGGGGGGCGAAGAAGAGGAGAAGGCGTGGCCATGGCCTCCGCGCGAGCCGGAGGGAATCGCCTTATGAGGTTCTCGGGGTGCCGTCGTCGGCGACCCCGCAGGAGATCAAGAGGGCTTACCGGAAGCTCGCCCTAAAATTCCATCCGGACGTCAACAAAGAGGTGATCCCACTGTGCCTTACCCGACTGAATTGCCCCATAGCAGCTCTGCTATTCTTCCTCTTTGGTCACTCTGGATTGATTTTTCGAGGAATACTATGGATCTGAGTCCGAATTCAGAGCATGTATCCTTGCTCACTCATGTGAAAATCTGCTCGCTCGGAAGTCTTTAGGTCCTGTGATGTGTTAAGCATGTTGACCTAAATTTAGGATTCCTCCGAAGGGAATAGTCCAATGAAACCGAAGGGGGATTCATCCTCAGGAGCTGTTATAGTCACCTTCGATCTGACAGCATCTAGTTCGAATCTTGCCTTAGAGTTTGGATGTCTCTGGGGTGATATTGGGGAGATAGGCTCCACTGGCTGATTAGAAAACTATACTTGAGTTGTAGTGACTTCTCTGCTTCCTCTAAGATCCGCGTCCCCATCCTTGCTTCTGAATAGGCTAATGCTCAGGAGAAGTTCATGAGGATCAAGCATGCGTACAACTCCTTGATCAACTCAGATTCCCAGTTCAGAACTAATTTCGGAGGGAGCAAATCAGACTATGCTGGTTCGACGTTCGGGAAGAACTGGAACCGGAAGCCTGAAGAAGCAGAAGAATTCTATGGCTTTGGTATGATGACTTCTGATTTCTGATTTCTGATTTAGTTGTCATTTATTCTTCCTCTATTTGGCGTTCTTATTTCGACCTCCATCGGTTTGACCTCGGACTACCGTAGTACGATCACTTTGTTAATATTTTCTCTTTCTCAATCGCGATCGCAGAATATTGACCACGGATGTGGCTGAGATAAACTTAAAATCTGAGACAGAAATGAACTCGCAATCCACGATGAACTTTCCATTAAATATGAAAAAAAAAAAAGCTGCTCAGATTATTGCTGGATTAATATCGAGCTGAAGATCTGATCCACCCGTCTACCATGCAGGTGATTTTTTGAGAGATGCTCAAATAACAATAGGTAGATTTGTCATTCCGGTATGATCGAGGCAAAAATATCAGAGCCTAGGACATGAATCGCGCAGTTGAAGAAGACGATTTTCTCTACGAAACACTGCATCTGATACTGATGTTGATCTTCTGCCGGATATTATGCAGGGGATTTCTTTCGAGATCTTCAGACAGAGTATGAGAATTGGGAGGCTTCTGCGAGATCGCAAGAGAAGCCGAAGAGCCTTTGGGAGGAACTGGCGGTGAGCCCTGTTCTACCCACCCTAAGATTCTGAAGATCAACTGGAAGGCTCCTCGCAGCTGTCACTCGCTTTTTTTTTTTTTTTCATTTCACATGCTTTACTTCGGCCCTTCGATCGCAGGACATTGGCGAAGAGTTTGTGGAGTTCTTGGAGAAGGAGCTCAGCATCAGCGATTTGGACCCGGCTGCAGAGGATGGCGGGATGGAGGGTTCTTCTTTCAGAGACCAATCTCAGAGGCCTGGAGCTCAGAAGCCTGGAGAAGATGCTCAGAGCAGCATCGAAGAGAACATCGACGAGATCGAAGCTGCCCTGTCTCGACTGAAGAAGGAGCTGGGTTTGTAGAAAGCAGAAGAAGAGAAGGGAGATTGCTGCTCATCTTGGTGCTCACGAAATGTGGGAGAGGATCTTTTGAGATGATTATTCAGAGGGAATTCATTCAGTACTCCATAGAAGCTCCTTCTTCTGTGCTCACATTATTTTTGTGGACACTCAGATGGTATTATACAGTTTACCATTGGAAGAAAATTATTTGCGCGCGTGTACTCTTTTCTGTGCTGGCCCTCTCTAATCTCTCTCTCTCTCTCTCTCTCTCTCTCTCTCTCTCTCTCTCCGTGTTCAGGCCAACGAAGAGGGCGAGGATTCCCAGTTCAGAATTCCCAGTTTTGATGAATTTTCCTTGACAGACGATCGCTAGCAGTACGGATCGATTTGCTTTGGAATACCAATTAGAGATCAAGCAAATTGGAAAAAAAATAGACAGAGAGAGAGAGAGAGAGAGGCTGCGGTGAGGTTCTTCCATGGCTGGCCATCGAGACATGACGTTCTGGAAGTGGAGGTCGAGACTGGAACCCGCAAATGTCATTCAGAGTGGGAGATTCAAGCCTTTCCCAACCTCCACCCCGATCAAAGTCAGGATCCCTCTGTGCAAGATCTGTGAGAAACGCCGCCGGAACTCGGAAGCATCAGAAACCCGGAGGAGAAGCTAATGGCGCCCGCCGAGGAGAAGGAAGAGTGTGGAGGAGAGGAACCCACCAGCTCCGCGATGAAGGTCCCGATGAGGCCGATCATGCAAGCCCTGGAGTTCCAGATCTCCGCCGTCGTGGTGAAGCCCCAAAAGGCCACCGTCAGCTTCGGCTCAACCTTTGGCATCTCCACCTGAGAATCCATTTCAGAATCTTCCTCCTCCTCTCCATCCCCATGACGGGGGTGGAGAAGACGACAGTTTGCATCTGCAATTAGGGTTCGGGAGAACTTACTCCGGCAGGGAGCTTGGCCGCCCGGACGGTGAGGGACCTTGCCTTCCGGCGATGGCCCAATTGGCCGGAGCTGCGGCTGATATCACGGCTCACGGACGGGCCACGGAGCAGCGAGGAGGAAGTGACTGCTGCTACGGTTGCCATTTCGCCCCTTCTCTTCCACTTCCCTCTATCTCTCTCCTCCACTGTACAACTCCCTTCGCTCTTCCTCTCTCCCTCCCCGCAGCCTTATCCAGTGATTGTGGTGTTTGCGGAGACGCGGGCTGGCGACGGCCGGCGCCGTCCGACTCTGGACGCTGGCGATGAGCGAGAGGAGAGATTTCTGGGCCACGAATGGATGGGATTTGCCGGATCCGTTCGTTCTCGGAGTGGCGGCCGTGCTTCCACGGCAGCCCAATTCCTTTTCTCGCCCCCAACTTAAAAAAACAACGGTGAATAACTACGCGGAGAGAGTAGAGACAGCGGCTCCGCTCCTTCGTGGTCAACTCCAGCCACAGTGAGAGAGAGAGAGAGAGAGAGAGAGAGAGAGAGAGTGCAGATTAAATTGGAATCGACTGTGGGAAGATAGAAGGTCAACGCATATGTTTGATCTTCGTCTGTCAGCGAGGAACGACGGTAACATCCCCACGGGAGAAGTTCTTCTGTGAGGAGCAGAAGGCGATGAGAGCCCGGTAATTGTAGAAGGAGCGTCTCCCCTTTTGGGAGGAACCCGACGGGGCGTCGGAGACTCAGCATTTTGGGAGGTCAGGCGGCGGAGGGAGGAGCTTCTGGCCGGGGAGAGGTCCGTCCTTCACCGTCCACGCCATCCTCAGTCCCCAGCTGGTGTGAACCTCCAGGTGACAGTGCATGAACCAGACGCCTGCGAGGAAGAAAGGCAAGCTGTCTCATGATCTGTGGCTTCCCTCTGCGTTGTTATCGCGTTTGTTGAAGATACACAGAAGTAGCGGTGGCGCTCACCGGGGTTGTCGGCGAGGAAGCGGACGGCGAGCCAGCCGCCGGCGGGGACGCTGACGGTGTTCCTCTCCACCGGGTCAACGAGGTTGTAGTCGGCGGGGTCCTTGTTGGGGTCGAAGTTCCCGAAGCCCTGCCCCACCACGAAGAAGTTGAATCCATGGAGGTGGAGCGGGTGGCTCTCCGCGCTGAGGATGCTGGTGTCCTGCATGACCAGCTCTACGCTGGTGTTGAAGGGGAGCTCCACCACCTTGGTGGCGGCGCTCACGAGCGTGTTCTTCGGCGGCGGGCCGGTGTAGTTGAAGGGGACGAGGGGACGGCTGGGGAAGTCGCCATCGTAGACCCCTTTCAACCTGCCGTTGCCGGTGAAGTGGGCCTGCAGCAGCGCCGTGGCCGGCAGGATGAAGGATATGTTGTTGACGGCGGCGGCGAACTTGGCGCCGTTGGGCCCCTGGCAGGTCCGGTTGGCGGGGCACGGCGCCGTGCCGAGGCCGACCGTGAAGAAGAAGTGCCTGTCCACTGTCAGCGGCACCTTGTTCGACTGGAACTCGGAGCTTCTGAGGCTGCGGAAGCGGGAGTTGAATGCGGTAACGAAGGAGGTGTCGTTGAACGAGGGCAGGGACGGCTTGAAGAGCCGGAGTTTCTTGATGGGGATGACGGGGGAAGAAGAGGAGCCCGGCGGCGGCGGCGGCGGCAAGTATTGGAGCAGGCCGGCGGTGACGGAGCCGTCGAAGGTGCCGGCGCCGGTGACGTAGGGGCCGGCAGCGATGAGGAAGGTGGCATTGGGGAAGGCGGGTCTCGTGTGGAGGAGGACGTTGGTGGTCTGCCCCGGGGTGATCATTAGGGTTTCGGTGACGAAGGGCTTCACGTAGACCGCGTCGGCTTCCACCACGGTGAGGTTGTGGCCGGCGACAGCGAAGAAGAGGTCCTCATTGAGCGCAGCGTTGACCAGGCGGAGCAGGTACGTCCTCCCGGGCCTCACCTTCATCCTGAAGACGTCTGCAACCACGGCCGAGTCACAGAGGGGAGGGGCGTCTGTGAGCGTTTTTCTGGGAACGATTCCCCGACTCGGTTCCCTGGTGGTCGGACAAAAGGCCCACCTTTAGCGGAGCAGTTGTATAGTGGGCCAGGGAGCCCATTAATGGTGTACGCGTCGGACACATTTGGGCCACCCCCCGTCCGCAAGGCCTGGCTGATGATGGATTCCGGGTCAGCATTCCACCACTCTCCTGCACCGATCCAGCCCATAAATCCAAGTCACAACGGCCCAATAATGTGGTTGCTACTTTAACTTTCTGAGAAAGGCCCAATACCGAGGATGAGGGGGACTTCTCTGTGGGGCTTGGGGAAGGGGTAGGGGGTGCCGAGCTTGGGGAGGATGACGATGGCGCCGTAGATGGTTGCCCTGAGCCAGGAGGCGTGGGCGTGCCACCACAGCGTTCCCCTCTGACCGGCCACGGTGAAGTTGTACACGTAGCTCTGCCCCGGCCGGATCGGGCACTGAGTGATGTACGCCGGCCCATCGGCCCAGCCGTTCCTCAGCTGTCTTAACCCGTGCCTGCCAACCCATCCCCGGCGCGCCGCCGATGTGAGAGAGAGAGAGAGAGAGAGAGAGAGAGGAGGGGGGGTTTGTACCAGTGCAAGGTCAAGTTGTAGGGGGAATGGTTGATGACCTTGACGAGGAGGCGGTCGCCCTCCCTTGCGACGATGGGAGGGCCGGGGAACTGGCCGTTGACGGTGACGATGCTCTTCCGGTGGCACAGCCGGGTCACGTTGGTCAGGTTAACCTGCGGAGGGTCAGCTTAGACGGTAAGAAGACGATGACTCGTTCCTTCCAGAGAGTGCACTAACAATGGGGGCCTAAAGGGGGTCTACGTTGAAAATGTAGCGCCTGGTTATGCTGGTGCGCTGAGGATGGGCGAGTCCTCGAGTTGGGAGAGACGCGACCAGTGCGAGGATGAGGGCACCGACGAGGAGCCACGAGGGAAGAAGAAGAGAGGCACCCATCTCACCTCTCTCTCTCTCTGCCTTTTCTTTGGAACAGGGGAAGATGGATGGGCCAGGCGAGATGGCAGGGATGAGGAGAGCTCGAGGTCCGCCGTATTTATACAGTCGAGCGGGGAGTAGTCGGGTAAGTTGGTGAAGCCCTCGTCGTGTTCACTCCCCATGACGAGGCCTCCCGTCTTAGCTTGCAAGTCCGTGAATATTTTTGGACGGCGAAGGCCTTGCTCTGGTTAGACCTACCAGGCGTCGGTGGATGGGAAGAGGTCTCCCGCCTTAACAAACCGGGCGGAGCCGGAAAATGGGAGGAAGGAGGAGAGGCGGAACCATGAAGAAGACTTCCACGCCACAGCTCTGACTCGTTTCCGCCCGTTCGCTAACCACCGTCAACGATGGAAGAGACTCAGACTAGCCGCCGGACTTGTCGCAGTAGTAGTAGGTCCGTCAGGTGGGCTGGCATGTCTCCTCCTCCGTTCCTTGCCTGCGTTTCGAAGGAACGCTAGCGAGAGAGAGAGAGAGAGAGAGAGAGAGAGAGAGAGAGGGAAGAGCCCCACCCAACACGAATCGCTCGTTCGAGCTAAACTACTGACTCAGTGGGTATTTTTCGCAGCTGACGACAGCTGATCCAGAGCGGCAGACTGGAACCATACCTACACAACGGAGGACACCCTCCCTAGATGCGGTGTCGCGGGTCTGAATGGAACCATACCTACTTTTAGACACTGTACCACACAACATGTCAACATTGTGCCGCCAAGCGTTCATCAGTCTTCAATGTTAAAGACGGACATCTCCCTAATTCTTAGTGCTATAACTTGTTTAGACCATGTATTCTTGGTTTTTAATTACGTACCTGTAATACTTGGGGTTGACCTACAGTTGTGAGCTTAAAAAGGGTTGACTAAATGCTAATCTGGTTGAACTCCTAAAGCCATGATGGATCTAGGAGTGTTTCTAGGATACCCCTCAGATTAGTTGGGAGTGTTTAGCATTTATCATAGTTTAATTAATAATTAAAGGGTATGCCAATTCTCTTTTAAATTAGGTAAAGACTAATCACCTCTACAAATGATCAACTCGCATCCTGTTAACATAGGGATTACGGGTAATTAATAAAGTTCGATAGGCCCAAATGAGAAGCACTGAGCCCAATTTACCGGGGCCGTTTTCTTTTTCATTCTGAGGCCCAAGCACACAAAAAGCGGCCCAGTAATTCTTGTGTTGTAGTACCCGGGACCCTCCAGCAGCGTAGCAGCAAACCAGAGAGAGAGAGAGAGAGAGAGAGAGAGAGAGAGAGAGAGAGATGAAAAATATCCCCAATAAAGGCAAAGGATCCTAAAGGATATCTTTTCTTCTGTACACCAACTCCATGAATTTTCTTTTAAAAGCTATAAACCCCGACGGAATCAAACAACAGTTCAGGAGGGAGCAGTTCCAGCCGCAGGCCTGCTCGCTTGAAGATGTAGCCACCGAGAGAGCCGGACCAAGCGCCAGAATCAGAACTCGAATTCCCCGGATGCCTGAAAAACCAACGCCAGGAATGTCACCCGGTAGCCAGAAATGGTCAAGAGGTGCGAAGAAGGTCTCAGATGGAGAGAAAAGCAAGGTGGAAGAGCACCAAGATCCGACTGAAACCCAGGGAGCATCATCCAGCCATGAATCCAAACAACAGTTCTAGGCCTCTAGAGAATCGACAGCCATGAAATGCCCAGGGCAGACGATGAACCAACCAAATTGAAAGGCAAAAGTATGTGGCAATGCGAACCATAAAATGGTAAAAAATGGAGACAAAAAATAAGATATGGGTTAAAGAAAATTGCCCCCCCCAAATAATAATAATAATAATAATAATAATAATAATAATTATTATTATTATAATCTCAGTAAATTATTGTGGCCCGGGATGATATCCTCATCTGGTTCTCAAAAGGCTTGAAGCGCAACATATGATGCAGTAAGTTTCTGATCTGCCAACAGGGATCACAGGGAATCAAGAGCACTCGCGAGGTTCACCTTGTTAAAGAGAACGTCTTTACTGTTTATATGCATGATTCCGTCCTTGAGCGTACACTTCCACTTGTTTTTCGCCCGCGTCACCTAGAAAACAATGAAGGCAGGAGGTCAAACGGAAGTCTTAGGTTAAGTCAACTGAACGAGGAACAAAGGATGAAACCAGATCACCTTATCAAACTGTGCCAGGACCAGATGCTCTGTGTTCAGTTCTTCCTCCTCTTGCTCAGGATCGTCCAGATCATCATCCTCATTCAGAGGAGGTTCGTCACCGTCCATTCCATCCAGCTGTGGAAGCTCAGAAGAAAGACCAGGACGTTGAAAAGATAATGCTCCGGATGTTGCCGTTTTTGAGCCATCCCTAGTTACTGGATGTCCCATCTCACTTCCCTGAAGCAAAAGAAACGAGTGGCCGTGGATTCGTGGCATCTCATTGTAAAAAACATGCTGATGGTGTTGACGATTTGTTTCCAAATTAAAGGAGAATTTCAAAACTGCAACAGTGCAAATAACAATGGCAGTAGGATATATACTTCTCAGAAAAAAAATGTTTTCAAAATAAATGGGATTTTGTGGGGAATACCCGGCAAGCATGACAGGAAATGATAAAAATGGCCGAAAAGTGTGATCCCTAAGTGGGAAATATAAAATAAAATAAAAACAAGAGAACCTGCAGAGATTTTTTAGGACTTTGGCCCCCCAAAAACCAACAAATCTATAAACTTAAAGAAATTATTCAAACTTATATGAAAGATTAACTACCCAGACATTCTTATTTTCTTTTATTTCTTCCCGGATATATGACAGAAAGAAAGTCCTGAAAACATATAAGAAATACGTAATAAAAATTCTATAGTAATAGGAAAATAAATCTGTTTGTTTCAAAAAACCTTCATAATTTAAAATGCATACTTTTATTAGGATAACCTATACATTTCATCCTTCACCCAATTTTTGCAGCACCTACTTTACCTCCCCATTTCATATGCATTGCTAATTCTTTCCGCCAATGAAAGTACAAAACCTCAATTTCAATCAGGAAAACTGCGCAAAGAGCATCTGTCTCCACAGTCTATGACCAAACTACTACTAAGGGCAATAAACAATAAATCAGTATAGCAGAGTCAAATAAAAAAGTTTTCACAGTTTCCTACCATCGCAGCATTATGAGACATCCTGATACTCTTCCAAGGTAGACTAAAAAACAGATGAATCCCCAGGTGAAGCTCTCCTCCTAACCTATTTCATTGACCAACCATTCTAGTGCCAGGAGTGATTATGGTTTTCAAGGTCATTTTAACAAGCATTCTAATAATACCAGGATCACTGTACATGGCTAAATAAAAGACGATGTCCACTAAAATAAGTCAAGCACATGAGTAAATAAAAAGTTCCGGGTTAACATTCTGTCAAGAAAGAGTGGATTATTTTTTACAACTGAGTCCGTTTGAATTGATTCATATTGTGCTTTTTAGATTCGCACAATCCAAAATTGAGTCCGTTTGAGCTAATTCATATTGTAACTAATTCAGAAAAACTGTGTCATTAACATTGCCTCTCTGTCATCAAATATATTCAAATATCAAAGCCTTTTAGCTCATACCCTTGTAATGCAGATTTAAAGTTTGAAGTACGATGCGAAAATTGTAGTTCTTACTACATTAGGTGAGAAGAACGATACTCTACCATTATTAGATTCCGTAATGACCATCTGCGTGCAGATATGACTACCGATTCAATTTTAAAAACACAAAAGTGGGAGTACCTCTGGAAAAAGTATTTCAATTCCAACATCACAAGTTCCATCTTGCTGGGGAATATATCTTCCTCCTGGGGGGAATCTCGACGCATTATCATCTCGTTTGCGTTTGCCAGAACTTGTCGTCAGAAAATCCTGAACATTTTGAACCGAATATTAAGACAATCATAAGTTGAACCCAACTGTAATGAAAAGAACCATTTTGGTCTTGACCAACAAGTAGATACTGCCAGTAGCAAACCAAAAGTTATCTATAAAATTATTTTAATGCATAAATTTTCATGAAAACAAAAGTTTCCTTTTGAAAGTAAAATTCAGGGACCATCATTGATGACAGAAACAATTGTAGGGCAGAAAAATTAGGACAGGAAATTGAGAATTAGAAAATGGAACCCTAAATGAAAATCTGGACATCTTCAGGAAAAGTACTGACAAACAGACACAGGGTCGAAGTTAAATAGAAATGAAGAATTGCTAAAACATAGAACCAAAAATCTAATCCAAAAACATGTGTAGATTTTTGACAGAGGTTGCTTCTCTCATTCAAGTTATCTCGTTTGTGCCCAAAAAAAGGGGAACGTCGGTTTTCAGGCAACCTGCGAGCGACCCTGACAGTGCACAGGGAATAATCGGGTTCTGTTATCATTAACAAAAAAAGGTCTCTACTTTGTACTGCTCGTTTCTGTCATCAAAGAATCATTAGTCACCATCACTAAGGGTTTCTTGGCGATTAGACACCATGGACAAACAAATGCAGGGCACTCAACAAACTTTTCCGATGGACCATAGTAAATATTGAATAAATGAAATTAAATATGCCAATAAGGAATATCTATCGAGGAATATGTCTACTCATATAAAAAACCTTTCCTTTTGAAAACGTGCATATATTCATGTTAGCAAAATTCAATGACGAGGAATATACAACTTGTTAAAGTGGAAGTATTATGTAGGACACTTTGTTCAACAAATCTAAGGTAATCTAAAATACAAGGTAGACCCCAAGAACTCACAAGAACAGAGTCCATGATCTAAAACCATATCCAATCAATGAAAATACAGCCCATTCCAGCATGTCAAAAGATTTCTTAAATTTAGGGATTTGAAACTTGACGAACCCCTCTCCAAGTGCAAAGGACCTACAAGGTTCGTCATAATCCTCTCCCAGTTTGACCCTCCAACTTTTCCATACTTGAATCTCCCCTATCTTTTCCCCGGTTGCCAGACCAGAATATCAAAACTTGCACATATAAGGAAGGTCCTCGAGTAGTACAACTGGGATCCATCCTGGATATCAGCTATGACAATGCAATCTTCAGGTGGCAGACATGAACTTGTGAAGATCAGGAAATAGAATCAACCTATTCCATTTTTCTCACTCTTTTACCCAGGCAGCCCAAAAGGAAAGGCGAAACAACAATGAGGGGAAAACCTCATCCATGAGATTCAAAAAAAACATGTGTAACCCAGCTAGATTGAAGATAAATGGTGAAAGCAGACAGATTTTTCCAGTATCTTGCAACTAGTCATCCAAGGACATCCAATTCCATGAAAGATAGCTCAATGCGTTCCGAAAATCAAAGTCGTTTCCTTTGTGATAAGGTAAAAAAATAGGCATATGGCCAACCATGATTGGTCAAATAAGGGAATGCCATCATAAAGTAAAAAGCAAGACGATACTGGCAAAGTTGGAATCAAATGTGTGAACTTCAAAACTATGGCATCTGAATTTCATTTCAACAGTGCAGTGTTTTAATACATGGAAGTATTTATGAAAAATGTGGCGTCAAAATACAGAAAAGTGTATAGGTAGACTGCAGGGCTTAAATGCAAGCAAGTGAATATTCTTCTCCCCGTTTACCTAAAAGATCAAAAAACTACTTTGGATCCATCTTCCATGAGAAAACTCTAATTTCGTGAAGGGAAAGCAAAATATAAATACATGGCCATGAAATTAAGGTACCTGTGTACTACGCTGATTAGAAGCTCCCCTGTTGACATCATCCCTTCCTTCATCATAAGCTGATGAATAAAAGTCAAGGACAAAGAAAGAGATACAACAGAGTTTATCAACATCATCTTTAAAGCAATAGTGTTAATGCACCAGCTTTACTGTGCTTACCAACATTCACATCAACTCCCAGTTGTCTCGGGTTCATCCAAGGTGAAGGTGACTGCCGAAGAGAAACAGAATATACGAATTCAATGATAGCTTGACAATGGACAGGATAGAAGTACGAAATGACACTGATAAATGACCCTTGATACAAGCAATTTATAAGATACCATGTATGGGCTAGGCCTCCCAACTTTCATCTCGATTTCATTAGTGTCATCGGTAGATGCAAAGTCACCTGGGGTGGGAGTTTGGTACATCAGATTCTCTGATGTTAGTGGCAAAGGAGTTGGGATAGGAGTCTGCATAGGCGTCTGCGGACAGAATTGGACAGCAAAAGGTTACTAATAAAACAAAAAGAATAAATCATTCGAGGATAGACCTAAAAGAAGGGGTGACGGAAGTAAGGTCGACTGATAGGATTACAGGTGGAAATAGCATCTCAGCCGTCGGAGTCTCATACTCCTCCAGTGATCCTTCGTAGGGGACATTCAGATCGTGGACAGGGGTGACGACAGCAGCATTCTTCGGAGCGGGAGGCCTTTCTGTGTTACCGCTTATTGCCCCACAATGCACCATTTTCATCTCCCAAAGCTGAAATTCTCAAAATAAAGTAAAACACAAAAATAAGAAAAAATTATAATTTTTTTTAGGAAAATAAGTTCCAACAAGTTCCGTGCCAGAAATTCTTCACAGAAAAGGCCACGAACAAAAGAATTAGGTCGAGAGATAAACCTAGAAATCTACGACGATGAAAGTTCTCAGAACGAGGGTTACCCCTTGAAGCTCGTTGAGGATGTTGTCCCCGACGCCGAAACTGAGGAATTCCTCGCGGACCTTGCTGATCACATCATCAACCACTTGGAGGTATACATTGGTCACGCTTGTCGCCATCCTCCCCACTCCCCCCGCTAGATCAGACCTTGTTTCTCACACCTGAGGGTTTCCCTACGAACGGCGAAGGCTTTACCCGCCCTGCGTCTGATCACGACTGCCAAGGTCACAGAACAGCAGGACGAGATGGACGAGCGCAGTGGTAGCGCGCAGAGGGGCTCAGAGAGAGAGAGAGAAGGGGGCAACGGAAAAGGAGTTGGACGGACGAGAGGGGAATTAATAAGAGGAGAACATAAATAGGTTTGCATCCGCATGGGTCCACGTGTCAGGACGCTCTTCGCCTTACCCGCTTCCTTCTATCCGTCGACTTCGTCTTCTACGGGCCCGATGTGCCACGTTCTCCTCCACGTATGCGCACAGGTGGACGGCTCGTACACACGTGTGCATAGGAACATCTTACTTGGTTTGGATCCTCCTCCCCCCTCCTTCTGGCCCACTGGGCCCTAAATCTAGTAGTGCTCCGGCCCATTTTATGCTCCAATACGGACAGGCGAGAAACGTGTGGCCTGGGAAATTCCGGCAGCGGATAAACGAACACACCTGTCATCCATCCATAGGGCGCCACGCTTCTTCTCAATCCAGATTGGCGGCTTCGAGGACGGTGGGGGCAACGGCTGCCGCGACCACCGTCTCCTTCAACCTCCGTCCGGAAGGGGTGGTGGAGTGTGGGTGTTCCGCTTACCCTCTCATGGCGCCGGCGCTCTCCTCCAGTTCCTTCCGGCTGGCCGCCGCGCAGCCGCATGCCAAGTCCCACTTCAGATCCTCCGCCCGCTCGGCCACCGCTGCCACCGTGTTCGCGAAGCTCGGTGGCGGGAATGGCCCACCGGCGTTCCCCTCTTTCCGAATTGGGGGGAGGGGGCGGCCGCAGGGAGAGGAAGACGAAGGGGCGGAGGCGGAGGGAGCGCCGAAGAAGAATCCGTTCTTCCTGGACATCGACTTCAGCAAGCTGGGGGAGGACGCCAGGTCGCTCGTGCCGGCGGCGGGGAATGGCAGCAGCTCGAGCCCCTCTACGGCGCTGATATTCAGCAACCGGCGGCGCAAGGACCCCCTCACCGTCTTCGTCGCCGGCGCCTCCGGGCAGGCCGGAGTCCGCATCACGCGGACTTTGCTGCGACGGGGCTTCTCCGTCCGCGCCGGAGTTCCCGACCTAGCGGCGGCACAGGAGCTCGCTCGGATCGCCGCGCAGTACAAAGTGAGTGCCTCCCCTGCCGGGCCCCGCTCGCGCTACCCGGTAATTTACAGTATCTACGAGTGGTGAATATGGCCCACTGGGCGCGTTTCTTTATTTGTCAAGATCATCACGCCGGAGGAGTCGAAGCGGCTGAACGCCGTGGAGTCGGGGTTTGGGGACGCCGAGTCGATTGCGCGCGCCATCGGGAACGCCACGAAGGTGGTGGTCACCGTCGGCCGCGGGGAGGACGGGCCGTCGGCGGCGGTCACCACCGACGATGCCTTCCGGGTAGTGCAGGCGGCGCAGCTAGCGGGAGTGGGGCACGTCGTGGTCATCTACGACGCCGCCGCGGGGTCGCCGGAGCCGTCCACCAACAACGTGCTCGATGGGATCACCTCCTTCTTCAGCAACATTTTCTCCCCGGCGAAGCCGTCGCTGACCGTGGGACAGTTCCTGGAGAAGGTCGCGAAGGAGACGGAGGTCAGCTACACGCTCGTCAAGGCGAGCTTGGCCGACGACATCGCGGCGGAGCAGGTCGAGCCCCGCGGTCTGGTGGTGGCTGGGGAAGGGACCGGAGCCGCTGCCGGGGCGGGCACCGCCGGCGACTACAAAGTACGGAACGAAAGTAATGAGGGGGAATTCATTCCGGGAGGTCTTCCGTGTTAGCCTTCCATAGTGAGGAGGAATTCATTCCTCCCGTTTCCAGGCTTTTCTGACTTGGGTCTGTCTTCCTCCTCGACAGGTCCCCAAGTCGCAGATCGCGTCTCTCGTCGCTGACGTAATGAGCAACGTCTCCGTTGCGGAGAACAAGGTCAACGCTTTACGTCCTCCACGTGGCTTGTGAATAGAAGCTGCAGCTTGACTCCGTCCGGAAGCTCGTTGGAAATTGATCCCTCCTCGCTCTGGCTGTTCTCAGGTGGTGGAGGTCTCTGCGAGGTCGACGGCTCCCTCGAGGCCCATCAACGAGCTTTTCAGGTGAGTCCCCCCCGTCCTGCAGAAAATGGGGTCTCTTCGTTCCCCAGTGCCGTAGAGAATCACGATGAGAGCTTCGCGTTTGGCAGCGCCATCCCGGAGGACGGGAGGCGGAAGGCGTACAAGGAAGCAGTGGCGAAGGCGAAGGCAGAGGAGGAGGCGCTGATAGCCTCGGAGAAAGCTCGCGAGGCGGCAGATATGGCGAAGAAGCTCGAGGAGGAGATGAAGAAACTGTCGGAGCAGGAAGCCCAGGCGGCGAACCTGGCGGACGAGGCCCGGAAGAAGGCACTGGAGGCGGGGGCGTCCATGGAGAGCATCCTTGCCAAGGCGAAGGGTATCAGTGGGGACTTCTCCTGGGATAAACTGGGCTCACAGTTCGCGACGGCCATTGCCCAGAGATCCGAGGAGATCCCCAAGACCCAGGTCGCCACCGTGCGGGGCCAGGCCAAGGCCCGGGCCTTGCCGCCGCTGAAGGCCGTCGTCAGGAGCCCTCCGCCGAAGCCCACCCCGAAGCCGGCGCCACCAAGAGCCAGACCCAGCCCGACGACGCAGAAGCCAGAGGTCAAGAAGGTCTTCGGTGGCCTCTTCCGACAGGAAACCATCTACGTAGACGACGACTGAGCGGTGAGTCAACGCGCCGCCGCCGGAACCACCTCTTCCCCCCCCTCGGGGTCTTCTTCTGCTTCCATTGACGAGACTGTGTGTTCCTCGGCAACAATTCACGATCTCAGACTCTCTTATGATAAGCAATTAAGCATATTATGCGTAAAGATATTTGGAATTATTATATCATTCACAAAGGATGACGATCGGCACGTGTGAGAGCGGCGGAACATCAACGACCATGGGAGCCCAGTCGATCCTCGTTCCACACCACACAACGATGACGACGACTCGTGGGTGACCAATGCGGCTGAAAAGTCAAAGCCTGAAACCTCAAGCGGCGGACATGGATGATCCTCTCCCCGATAATGGACAGTGACCCGCACTGGGCCCCGGACTCGGGGCAGGCTGCTTCGCCACAGGTGTCACGATCGTCCATTGCGAAAGAAAATGACAACGCTCGTCGTGGAGTCTGAGGAAAATGAGGGGAAGAGAAAGATAAAGCTGCCTCTGCAACCCCTGCGGGGAGAAGCGACGAGCGGGTCCGACCCAGCTACGCAAAGGGTCGTAACTTGGAAGGAAGCTCCTCGTTCCTTCGCGGACAGTCAGGGTGAGACAAACGAACCGCCATTTTTCGGTCAACGACTGTGTCCAGTGACCTGCATGTGGATCCCACCGAGTACGCCTAGGGGCCATCGCGTTGACATTTCAACGACGAATCGTTGACTTTTCCGCTGAAACGAGCCGTATTCTTCGTGGCGTCGTGGCTCGCCCTTGGATCATCACCAGGCCCAGAATGAACGAACGCCACACTCCCAGTTGTCGGGGGGCCCATTAGATGTATGTACATCGGGGGCTGGCCTGGCCCACAAATGTACATTTCCCATTTTTTTAAAAATCAGCGTATAAATTTTATTTTCCAGAAACGAGTTTCGGACACGCTGGAGGAGTGTCGCGTGATTCGTCCACGCGGACGGCCCCGTTGGATACTTACAAGCGCACGTGTCATGTCCGGCTCCATCCGAGAAGATGATGCCAACTCAGCTAGCTCTTATCGCATTCTCCATCTACGCAGACTGTCGGAGTCTTATACCGCGCGGGCTCCGGCCAACGGCACAATGGCCACCGTCAAAGTTGCTCCCTTCAGCTCCAGTTTCTCCCGGAGGGCGGAGTCTCCGCCATACTCCGCCGCCGCCCGGCTTCAGCGCATTGTCGTGGCCCTCGGAACCGGGTACCCCAATCCACCCTCCTCCCCTCTTCCCCCAGTCTCTTCTCTGTGCAATAATTATATCTTGTTCTTCCGACGCCTCTATTATAGTTGGCTTAAAAGAGGACGCTGGGCTTGAATTCATTATGCACCTCCGTCTATCCCAGGCGACAGGGCTGCCAGAAGATTGCGAAAGCTCCCGGCGTCCCCTATCCTCCCCCTCCCCCTCTTCTGCTGGGAGAAAACTTCACGAAAGTGGGCGCCATCGCTGTGCTCTCAGCGTCTCTCCTCTTTGTCGATCCGTCATTGGCATTTAGGGTACGTTTGCCCCATTTTTTCTGCGCTTCTTTTTCTAATCCAACTTTGTGGTTTTACCAATTGGATCAAGCACCGGGTAACATCTGATGTGTTTGTGCGTCTGAAGGGAGGAGGCCCCTACGGGCAAGAGGTGACTAGGGGACAGGACCTGACGGGTAAGGATTTCAGTGGGAAGAACCTAACGAAGCAAGATTTTAAGACGGTAATTACACGAGTGCGAAATAAATAAAAATAAGTGTTCCTGGCATAATTTTTTTGTTTTTAGTTAATTCTTTTCCTCCAATATCCGAATTTCTTTGCAGTCCATCCTGCGGCAGGCCACCTTCAAGGGCGCAACGTTGATCGGGGCGAGTTTCTTCGATGCAGACTTGACTGGTTGATTTCTTATCCCTATATGTTAATCGTATCTGGTCCTTCAAATACCTCTTTGCTTGTCGACCCGTCTCTGGTTCCTGAATTCGATCCCATAGTTTCTCCTCATGCCGCACATAGCGGACATCCCCCGAGCGATCCAACTGGCTCCTTTCTCATAGTTGAGAGAGCCAGTGCGGTTGAAGACTCCCAGGTTCATTCTTCACTACATTATCTGGCCTGTCCATGGAAGGGTGTTTCTTCAGTGCTACTTATCTCTTGAATTTCGTGTGGCGAGCTCTCTGCAGAATTCTCACTGAATTTATATATATATATACTTATACACACATACATATACTCCCTCTGTGTTGGTCCATGGGCAACCACCCATTTTGTGAATGCTTAATTTTCGGATGATGAATTGAGGAAAAAACTACCGTTAGCTTTGAGAATTGCCTTGTCTTATTCACGATAGCCAAGAATATGGATGAATAATTACATTCTGTGGCTCTTTAATACACACATACTCGTCGATTTTTGAAAAATTGAACAGTGTGTGACTTTTATAAGCTTTTTTCAAATTACAGGTGCTGATCTCTCAGATTCTGATCTCAGAGGCGCTGATTTTTCCCTTGCAAATGTGACAAAGGTACTTCAGTATCATAGTGGTATACCTATGACTAACTTTTTAAAAAAGAAATAAATGCCTATTTTGGTTGATTTTCGATACACAGCCATCGGATTCTTGATAAAATGCTGAAGCTTACCTGACAGAACTACCATCAGGCAAATGTTAATCTTCAGTTCAAGCACATCTATGCTTCAACCCATACTTATGACACTTTCTAGTCACTGAAATGCAGTTTTGCATCAATAGTGAACACCTTAAGAGGTTGTAAATTCTTTACCTTTCCAATTAGAGAAAAACGCATTCTGGGAAGTGGGCGAAATGATTCAACACCGATTCGTCGTACAGAGCTGAAAAATCGCATTAAACTGTTCTTTTCTACAAAGCTGTTTCGTTAAGACGATGCTCAGGGCACTTCCTTTTGCTAGCTTTCGCATTGATTCCGTAGATTAAGGTCACCCTGATGGCGAAACATTATCATTTTAATTTTAGTTTATGAGGAAGATTGTGTTTGAATTATAGGTAGGAACTTACCACTTCACTCATCTCCCTGTAGCTGAAGCTCTGGTTTGGTACTTGTGTAATATGTTCTATCGGGACTATATGGCGAGCTGTTGGACTTAGAGACAAAAATATATAGGCCTCTTTCATGAAATGATATACTTTCATTCCTGAATGGTCGTTTTCTTCAGATGCGAGGAATTCTTGCCAAGCATCTGGGATGGGGGTACGACAATTTCTTAGAACAATCTCACATCAATTTCATTTTTCTATGATTATGGTAAAACGACGTTTTAAGATATTTCGTAAATTAATATCATCTACATACCTTGGAATCGTGGATGTAGCTAAAAAAGGTTTACTAGTGTGAAGAATGATATGAAAGCAAGGAGAAGGAATGAAGGTTTGATTGGAGGCCACATCCATGTGCTTTAATGCTAGAATGATCTCGATATGGATACGAATCACTTAGATAATTCAACTTAGTTTAATGCCCACTTCTATGGTGCACTTTTTGAGTTCTGATAATATTTTTTAGATATCATTTGGTACGATCCCTCAAGCGCTCAAACAAGCCAACCACCTGGAAGGAGCTTGCTATCACACGAAAGCTTATCCATCTCTTGACATTCTTTTTAAATATGCTTCCATTTTCTAGATGGATCATCAGCCTAGAGTCCTCAGAAGTTCTAAAGCCTAAATCTGTTGGAATCATATTATCTTTGGTGAAATTAATAATGGATGGTAACCAGGGTATCAAATTATGGTGATATAATACAATTAAATAAAAATATTTCCCACAATCCAACGAAAATCAGTGGCAATTTTCTGCTATTCTCTCTTGTTCCTGGGTAATAAATAACAGTCTACTCTTAGATAAAGTGTCCACATTTATTACTGGACTTCAAACGTTTTAATGCAATATTTCCCCTCACCTCTGTAGGCAAATCTGAGTAATGCGAATCTCGAGGGTGCACTTACCACGGGTAATACATCGTTCAGGGGATCAAACATTACAGGAGCAGGTAAGAGCATCCATGGTAAAAGGGTCTTACTGACGGACACTTATAAAATCTTCACACCCTGTCTCTAAATTTTCATCAAGAATTACCGTTTCTTTAAATCAGCATCTGCTGTTGTCTGTCTAGAGTTGATTCAAAATCTCTATTTTTAGAAATTTAAAATTATCTATTTTTAAAGATATATCTGCTTTCATTCGTGTTTTTTTGCCCTCGCTGCAAATCTGCTCCGGAGTTATGTTTCAATATTGATAAGGACCTTTTTTTTCGTAATTTACATAGTCAACTGAGTTGTTGCTCTGTGCATGAAATCATGGAATCAACATACTTTCAAGCTTTAATGCTCTAGACTTGAATCCAGTGCATCAAAATCTCTCCAGGTTGAAAAAAACTACGTGACTGCCTGTCATAGATTAAGACGCAACCTCTAACTCGCAATCCAGGCTCGTGCCCAGGACCTGGGCCAACCTGATTTTTTCTATACTTGAACTTCAGAATTTAGCAAAAGAAATTTGGCCTGGTCCAGTCTCCATACAAGCCAGACATGGGGATTCAGTATGTAGCTCCAAACCCCGAAACCCATTTGATTTTTGCAAATGGCAATCCTAGGTTTGCCCACATGGCAACCCATCCTCTCTCTCTCTCTCTCTCTCTCGATAAGCATGCCTGCTGCTGCTGGATTTTACAGTGAAGCCTTGCCCGGCCACAGTCTCAGCTTCATGCGGAGAATTGACGTTACTTCTTTTTAATCAGATTTCACCGACGTGCCTCTGAGAGAAGACCAACGGGAATACCTGTGCAAGATGGCCGATGGGTGAGTCTCTCCTAGCATATGTAGATGTATTTATATGCTGGCTACTTATATACGTACACATAATATCCCCCAAGGTCCATTTTCATGAAATGCGCTTTGTCAGGGTGAACACTATCACTGGGAATGCAACGAAGGACACACTGCTCTGCAGATAAGGTCTACCGAGAGAGAGAGAGAGAGAGAGAGAGAGAGAGATGCTGACTGCATCACGTGAAGCCGCCGTGGTTTGGTTACACAAATACATGAGAGGGTTGATGTTTCTATATACTCTCTTTCATGTCTGCTTGAGATAAGATTCTCGGTAATTTACGTGTTAATGTTGTCGGAATGATGGGATTCCTTGTCGAATTGTCACGTGGGACACGCTCGTCTCAATGGAGGATACCGAGGGAGCACGGCCGTGCCTCCGCCTTGCTGTGGTAGTCCCTACGCGTGCGTGCTTGCCAGAGAAGCAAGGAGGCGGGGAGAGATTTGGGCAAGCATGCATGGCTTCGCATCCGATGCGACTGACTCGCTTGCGGTGCGACTGGCTTCGTATCCACTCAGATGGCCCACGCGTATGTTTTCGTGTACGTGCCATCTGAGTGAGTGAGTGAGTGAGTGTGTGTGTCTGTGTGTGTGTGTGTGAGATAGAGAGAGAGCCTTGCTATTGAAAGCGTTAAGATAAAGCACTACAGTTTTATGTCAGAACATGACAGCGGAAATAAGCGATGGTTTAATCGAGGCATCAACAGCACATTCATATTCCGAGCCTGTTAAAAAACTGAAAACCCCACGGAGCATGTCTGATATGAATTAGTCTCTGCAGCGGCAGCATCCCCAAAGCTCTTACTGTCCTACCCAACGTTAAAACTAAAGCCAACTTCCCCAAGAATAACCCCTTCATTCCCCCCGGCACAATTCTATAAACGAGCTCTCTGTCCCTCTCTCTCTCTCTCTCTCTCTCTTACTCACTCACTCACTCATTCACTCTTGCTCTCCCTCCGTTCCCCCAAAACCCATGTGGTCCCTTTTGTCCCCTCTCATGTCACTACCCGCCTCCCCGAAGCTCTCTCTCTCTCCTCCTCTACAGCTGTATATCAACGTCTCTGGGCAAGAACAGGCCTCAAAACAAAGAGCCCAGAGCAAAAACCTCGACACAGGACAACCGTCCATGGTTGATGCGCCATTAAAGAACCCTCTTCACGCAGGCGTGGACCATGTGGAGCTCCCCAGAAGAACCTATGCATGTCTCAGGACCGCTCTACCACTCGCTTCTCTGATGCACAAAGTTTACACCGATGTAGCAACCGTCTTTCGCCTCTGAAAGGGAAAGCCAACCGATACCACAGGGAGCTTCTGCCTCTTAAATTCTCCTGACAACCCTTACAGTCAATGACGCTGGCTCATCAGAATCTCCTACTCGGACATATCGACCGCTTCATCCGCAGAAGAAGGGATCATCTCCGTTCCACCCTCTCGTCCGACATGTGTTGGAGCTCTGAAACTTTCCCGTGAAAGTCAGAATTTAGGGTTAGGGCTTTGGCTTATGAATGACTTTGTCCACAGGAGAATGTACTGTCCCCACGTCTCCTATTCTGTTTCGTCTCAAGCCCTGAAATGTCTCTGCGGAAGGTGTGGAGTTCGGTAATTTTAGGGTTAGGGCTTTGACGTATGGGTGGCCTTATTCCAAGAATAAGAGGGATCTCCATGTCTCCTGTCGGTCATGGGGATACGAGCTCTGAGACTCCTTCATGAAGTCTGCGGATTGTGGCCAGTTTTAGGGCTAGGGTTTTGGCCTTCAGCTCTCCCTTTTGTTGTGTTCCGAAGGGGATAACTATAATAGGTTGAATGCTATAATTGGGTGGCTCCTTGGGATTTGAATTGGAATGGGAAAAAAAGGACGGTGCTGGCAGATGGACAGTGCAATGACATCACGGAAAGGGGGAATATATGTATTGATGTTCCCAGGAGCTTACCCTCTACACTAAGATACCATGTGGTTTGGTTCTACTGCAGGATGCTGTCAGTCAGTCAGCTCGGCAAGAACCATTCAGTTGGTTTCCACCTTGAATCCTAAACCGTCTTTCTCTTCCCCCCTCTCTCTCTCTCTCGCTTCATCTACCAACATATTAGTCTCTCTCACTCCTCGTAGTCTATGCATCTCTTAATCTCTCTCCCTTCATTTATCTCTCCATTAATCTCTCTCTCTTCATCTACTTCAATTATCTAGTAATCTCCCTCACTCTTCATCTATCCATACATTTCTCTCTCTCTCTCTCTCTCTCTCTCTCTCTCTCTCTCTCTCTCACACACACACACACACACACACACACACACACACACGCACTTTATCTACTTCACCTATCTATTAATCTGTACCTCCCCCTCTTCATCCATCCACCCATTTATCTCTCTCTGCATCCCACTTCATCTATCCTTTAGTCTTTCTCTCCCTATCTCCCCATCTATCATTCGCTTTGTCTGTCTGTCTACGTCTTTCTCTCTCAGTTCCTCTCTTCATCAGTCTATTACTCTCTCCCTCTCTAACTCACGCATTCTCTTCACCTATCCATTAAATCTTGGTCTCAATCTCTCTCACTCACTCTCTTCATCTATCTATTTGTCTCTCCCTCTCTAACTCACTCATTCTATTCATCTATCCATCAAATCTTACTCTCACTCTCTTCATCTATCTATTAGTCTCTCACGTTCTAACTCACTCATTCTCTTCATCTATCCATCAAATCTTACTCTCACTCTCTTCATCTATCTATTAGTCTCTCAGTCTCTAACTCACTCATTCTCTTCATCTATCAATCAAATCTCTCTCTCTCTCTCTCCCGACCTACCTCTCTCCCTTGCTCCAGCTGGCTTAGTTGCCGTTCGAGCAGTGATTTCAGAACTTTCAGAGACGAGGTGCTTGATGCATTCCTTTCGTTGCGAGGGACCCAGAGTCTGACGAGCAGTGAAGCGGCCTCATTCATTGCGCTTTCTGGTAGGGGACTTACCATCCCCGCCCCCTGCCATCCTCGACTTCTGAATCCACACCGTCGCATGTTCTTTTCTAACTCTATCCATTACCTGCAGGCCACACCCTATCAGGAAGGGAAGTAAATTGTTCTGTCAGATGACCTTTGTGCCTTCAAACCACTCTCCGAGATGAAGAAATAAACTCTTCAAAGAGGACGTTAGATCTGTCTGAACCGAAGAATGGGTCAAACAGATCAACCTACACTTGGATTGCACGCAAGCTAAGAGCTGTTTAAGCATCATACTGAAGCATAGATAGATAGATAGGTTGGTAGCCAGATGGCAAGCGAGCGAGCGAGCGAGCGAGAGAGAGAGAGAGAGAGCCATTAGACATGAAGGTCTCCGCACTGTTTTCTCCAAATCCATTTTAATATGCCAATAACCAATGACAATACGTTTGAAGATATTCAGATTAGGAAGCTTGAGATGAGGGTTTGGGGTATCTCTGCGATCCATCGTGGAATATGGGGGGGAACACTACGGAAACTCAATGATCAGACAACGGTTTGCAATCACGAACAGATGGGATATCTCACGTAGACATTGTGAGTGGTGCATGCTTTCATTATTTGAAAATGGCAAGAAGAAGGAATCTATATAGAGATGAATAAGACTGTTCCCACATATCATAAGAAATGGAAAAAGAACAAAAAATGAAGGGAAATACTGACGAACAGAAAGACAACCAATATGTTCACTGGAGCCACGAGGCTTCCGAATCTACTTAACCTTTGGGCGATCTCCAAGCCTTAGCTCGAGATCTAACTCCACAGGGATAGGGCCGAGCCCGAGCACCTCAGATTGAGGGCTCCCGTCGCCAGCTAAAGATCCCGTGAGAAAAGGGATTTCTTCATCAAATCTCCTCCTCTTTCTACTGACGGTCCCCTCTCTCCTCTCCTCATCGTCATCCCCATCGCCGCCACATCCTTTCTCTCTGAGATTGAAATCTCCCTTCCCCAGCTTTATTTCGGATGCACCCGCAATCCTGAGGGAAAAGTGGTCCGGATACGATGGAGGTATGGAGAAAAAGGATCCCATCTGGTTTTCCTTGAGCAAGGAAAATGAAGAGCGGTGGGAAGGAGAGACGAAGGTGTGTTCGATGTAATTCCTCTGCGTAGAAGCCGCTGAAACCCTAAGAGGAGGCAGAGGAAATGTAACTGCGTCTGGGCTGGGGCTGCCATCAGGCTGCGGCTGATCAGCGAGAGGAGCACATGGATTCGGACGGTTGTGATGCTGCTGCTGGGGTTGGAGATGATGGCTGCCCTCGCTTTGGGAGTTGGGAGAGAGCTTTAGCCTTGCGCGATCCCTGCGGTGGACGTTCATGTGGCCGCCTAGGGCTTGTGCCGATCGGAATTCCCTTCTGCAGAAGCTGCAAGAGTAAGATCTCGGAGGCCACACGCAGCCGCCGAAGCGACCGGCTGAGTCTTCTGCAAAGGCTCGCTCCTCCCACGAGTAGTTGTAGGGGCTGGCGGCGGGGTCGAGGAGGCCCCGGACATGAGGGCTCCCGCTGAGTTTTCTTCTCGTCCACATCAAGTATCTGCTTTGCTCCATTGTTCTCTGCATAGACGTGGAGATCAGATGAGAACGGAAGGCATTGGTAGGGGGAAGAAGTAGATTTTGAAGGTTTCTCTTCGGCGCTGGAGGTTTCGGTGGTTGTGGGATTGAAGGATGCAGATGGTGGGGAGGGTCTCTTTCCAAGATAAAGACATTATTACATAAAACGAAGAGATTGAGATAGAGATAGGGAGATATTACATGGGGGGGCGAGAGAGAGAGAGAAAGAGAGAGAGAGAGAGAGAGAGAGAGAGAGAGAGAGAGAGAGAGAGAGAGAGAGAGAGAGAGAGAGAGAGAGAGAGAGAGGTAGATGGTCGAAGCATAGATAAATTAGCTTCGCTGGAATGAGACGACAACGGTAGCACCCACCTATCAGAGCTAATTGTAGGAGACTTTTCTCCCCGGTACCCTCTCTCTCTCTCTCTCTCTCTCTCTCTCTCTCTCTCTCTCCACAATATGGATACATATATATCTATTTCTGAGCTAGCTCTCAGGGGCTGGGAGTTCTTGGCAAAAACAAGGGGCCAAGTCGTTCCCAGAGAAGTCGAAATCAGTCAACCGTGAACTCCTTCAGTGCTACCTCTACAAACCCGAAATAAGGAGAACTGGGTTATGTTACCTCGTAGAAGCTCCAACACAATCAAGCCGGATTTATGAATTATCTAGTTTCTCATGTGGAGTATTGGTCTAGAGAGTACACGGACGGGATGAGATCTTGTGTTCTACAACTATACTATATTAAAGAAGCGTACATCCATGGGATGAGAAACCACCTACCCAATTTTCCAATAGATACTCGACGATATGTGACCGACTAAGTACATGGGTTAGATGGTATTCTGGAGAGAGAGAGAGAGGCTCACTAGGAGGGAAGCACGTCCCCCAAACCAGGGTCTTTTCCTATGATTTCAACTGACCGAGGCTCAAGCATGTCGACAATCTTCGCCAACCAACTTGGGTACGTAGATGTCTTGGTGTTCCTCGTTCGGATCTTGGATTCCTGAGAGCACATGCGGGTATTATATTATGAGGCTATATAAATCATATATAACTCCACTCCATCAGCTGGGAGGTCTGAATCACTTGAATTACGTGCAAGTAAGATAGGAGTAGAGCCAAAGGAAGACAGGTTAGGCAGTAGATACTCTTCCAGAACAATCTTAAATAACTAAAAACGGGAGGTTATTCGCGGTTTTTCGTCTGAGGCCCGTTGAGAACTCTCAACTCGCTTAATCACGTGCATGCATGCATCCCAGGAGTTCCGTGAGCAAAATAAATTTATTATAATTTTAGAGGGGAAAAGATCCCGTTGGGTTTTCTCGTAGGGTTTGGGAAAGCATAGGACTAGGGGAAAAAATGTGTCTTTTATTTGGTATTGATAATTCCTGCGTTGATCCTGAGAGAAAGTACGGGGTGTCAATGAACTGGACCAGGCCAGAACATCTTTAATTCGGAAAAAAAAACTCAGAATAGGTTCCAAACTTGACCCTTAAGACAGTCGGGGCTGTCTCGTCAGCGCGACTCAACTGATGATAGGGACAGTGCATCGGTCTGTTGCCCCTCTGGATTTTCCTCGAAGGCCCGAAGAAGGTTCAACACCAGGACGAGCTGAGCTGAGGAACGATACCGTAGGCGTAGAAGAAGACCAGCATCCCGTCTACGGTTATCGTGAGAGAACGCCGAGGACAGCGGGTTGAAGACTTGGACTGGATCGATCTTCTTATTAAACTTGGTCGAAAGGAGGAAGAGACGGTGACGAAGACAAGATTGAACAGAGAGGGCATGATTCTTGGGATTAGTTAATGGGGGCTGCACCAGATAATTCGATCATTGTTTACGTCTGTGGTTTAATAGATGCTCCAGTTGCCCGTTAACGTCCAATCATGTCGTTTTATTCTAGAGACGAGATTTATTAAAAATATTTGCGTAGCTTGCGGCACTCGTCCTTCTTTTGTAGTTCGTCTCACAGAGGCAACTTTATTGATTAGAGAGAGAGAGAGAGAGAGAGAGAGAGAGAGGGAGAGAGAGAGAGAGAGAGGGAGAGAGAGAGAGAGAGAGAGAGGGAGGGAGAGGGAGGGAGGGAGGGAGAGAGAGAGAGAGATTATGATGATGATGTCTTCCAACCTATGCACAAGCTGTCAAATCTGAAGGATAGACAAGGGGGGGTAACTTCATCTAGGACTTAATTTCATTTAAAATACTGGTGACGTTGTCCCCTCCAATGGACTCTTCTCTGAGTGTCTTCATTCTCAACTGTTAGTGCCCCGGATAAAGTAAGAACCTCTCTCTCTCTCTCTAGAAATCTAGTCCTAGAGGTCACCTTCAAGAAAAGGCGTGTCGCGAGACATGCAATTTAAAATTGCACTGATGACGCAGAGGGCAGTGACAAGGAGCACGCTGGCCAATACATGGCACTGGTTCACTCGCGTAGCAAGATCGGCATCTTTTTTTTCGTCTTGCACCAAAAAACCAAGTGGTACTCGTATGTATTTTCTTCTACTGAAACCAGGTATGTAACGTACTTGTCCTTTCCAGACGTGCCAGTCCGATCTCTCCAGTCGCCTTTCCTTGAGGGCACGAGCGTAGATTCTCTCTCTCTCTCTCTCTCTCTCTATTTACATCTGGCCTCCACCCCCTTTAAGAAATTCCTTGGCGAGCATTACCAGCGTTCGATGACGTCACCACTTTCCGAGTGGGTTAGGCTATCTAATAGCGGCTATTTGATGCACTGTGATAGTCCGAGGCCTCTGCTTGCACGTACAAATTATTTCCAGGGTTGAGACTTCAAAATCAAATTCTCTTCCTATTTAAGGTGGGCCCAAGGTTTAATATGCTTAGTGCAGAAGTCCTGAGCCTGTTTTCTCTTGTCACGAAGCTACCCTGCGATCACTCGTGCAGAAGTACTGATTACACCCTGCTTGACCAGCAGATTTTGCTCCTTCGGCCCTGTCATCAAAGTCTCTCTCTCTCTCTCTCGCCCCCTTCCTTACCTTCCCTCTCAACATGTGAATAGTGAGGAGAGGTAATCTGGACTTCTCCGCTCCGGGACTATTTATTTTCTGGTATTTTCCCGACCCAGGGTCATGCCCGATCACCTCACTCCAACCTGTCACGATTACTCTTATCACAAGAGAGTAGAGAAGCAGCCCTTTGCTCTCTCTCTCCCTCTCCCTCCCTCTTTATGTATATCTCTTTCAGTATAAATCATTCCGCAGTATAGGCTGTGAAGTTTCCATCTCTATCTGCATGATGATGCGAATGACGATTAATCAGGAATCATTGAAAAAGCTGTGTTATTTCATGCCTGAGAATGCAACCTTCTAACGCCGATAGGTCTCGCCTGCGCCTCTCCCTTCCTCCGACGCATTCGAGCAGCACCGACAGAATCTATTGCAAGACATTTGACCCGATCATCGACAGGTTCTAATCCAAGTTGAGTGGAGGAGACCCTCGTACTTTAATCTTATATTTACTATCACATAATCAATGTGCGACTACTTACGCAGACTGATTCTTAAATTGCAGAATATAAATTATATGGTCAAAACCAATGGACAATGGTATTTTGATGCTCGGTAGTTTCACTATAACTTGGTCAATGTTATATTAATATAGCATGTTCATCATCGAGATAAGCCGCTCTCCCAGCTTTTATACTCGGGTCGTCGTAGTTTGACCAACAGGAGGTAACGAAGATGACGACGAGCAGAATATGAAGATTATGAGCATGGGAACAAACGTTAATATTAGCGGTTTGAGTCACCGAAGGCCTGATGTGAACAGAGAGGACCATAGTAGAAAAGCTCACCGTTCCATGTTCAAGTGCCGGCCAGACGTTCGGTGAGATGAAGTTTTACGCCAATGGAGTCTATATTATCGACGGCGAACGAGAATAAAGAACTTATTCGCTTCCATGGAAACCCTATCCGTGGTGAGGATTTGATTGTCGGAAATTGCCAATGCGGTGCATCTTCTACGGCATTATATATTACCAAGCAGGTTAATGAGCTGGCAATACCAGACCAAACAAGGGACGAAGATGGATAGTCCGATCGACCTGGATTCTTCTCAGAACCCGAGACTTGGTTTCATCTTGTTGTCGACGGTTTTTCTTGAAGTTATGCCGCCACCCGCTCCCGCCCTCACCGCGTCGCTCCCAGGCTTCTTCTACGTCGCTGGCGGTGAGAACTCAGTGAGGATTCTCCAACTTGGGGTCTCGTCTTCGGGCGAAGAGGGCCCAGGCACCTAGTCCGGTGTCGTTAGCTATGGCTCTTGGCCTTCCAAGGGGCAGCCAGCGAGAGAGTGATGAATGGACAGGGGTCCCCCCTCCGCGCAGGAACAAAATTGAGATTATTCAATGAGTGGGAATCTTTTGCTGTTATCTTGGCCGAGTTGGAACGCTGCATTATCCGACGTGCTAGTAGTTCATGACTATTTATGCATAGGCTTCGCCTATGATCGGAGTAAGGGATACGTGCGACGACCTGAACAAGTTTCTCAGAGAGAGAGAGAGAGAGATAGAGAGAGAGAGGTTCTTACCCATTCTGGAACCACTATTTCATAGAGGGTTACTCATTCAACCCTATTCCAGGCAATCATGCATGTCGACTTCTCCAAGAGATTACCAGACAAAGGAATGAATTTCCCCATTGGCCTTTGCGTTCTTGGTCATAGGATTGAATCTTCTTGTCCTGAGAAACATTATCTATATTGTCCACGATATCTGCCCAATAAGTCTGCTCGTAGAAGCCTGAGCCCCCAGACTGCAGCTGGCCGGACCCCTATAAATAGGGCGTTAATCACACAGAATCGAGAGGGTTCGACCTGGACTCGAATCGACCCGAGCCCCGCAACGAAGCGTGACCCCCCAGACTCCAGCTGGCTGGACCCCTATGAAGAGTAGCCCCGACTCCAATTCTATATGACCTAGAGATTAAGAGCCCCGACTCTTCACGATGGAGGGTCTGAGAGCATAGCCTTTAATGAATATTTTGACCATATAGAACACGATGTTCAAATTAATGAAGCGCTACTATTACATCATGCTACGTGTTAAAAAAAAAACCCAGATTAGGGTTATATCAGACCCCCCATAACCGAGCAGATAACCACGAAGAAGAAGGGGTAACGTAGCTCTAGCCGCCGCATTAAGCTTATCTGCACTAAAACCGCCTGTCTCAAAATGCATCCGTCTACGGCCCAATTTAACACGACCCTTGTCCGAAGCTCATTTTCTTATCACGTGGGCCCCTAATGATTCCCACGTAGCAAACCATCTTTCTTCCTCCCATTCACCCTCCCTCTCTCTCAAGAGTCTCTTCTCCGGCCCTTCGCACTGCCCTCAATCCTTCTCTGGTTCGGCTGTCGGGTCAACGTCCCCCGACGTCGTCGCCTAAACAACTGGGGGAGACGGGCGGCGAGGAGATGGCGGAGGCGATGCGGTGCGAGAAGACAGACGGAGGTGCTCTCTGAGGGGAATTACGGTGCTGGCGATCACGTTAACCCCACTCCGTGGTTGGTTTACTTCCATTCAAGCGTATGCTCTCTGGTTCTTCTCTCTGCGCATGATCTAGGGTTTTGATGGCACGCCTTAAACCCTTGCTCCGGTATCTTCTTTCGCAGGCACACCGTCGTGGAGGAGCTCCCCGGTTTCGATAGGGCAATGTCCCTTTAAAAAGGCCACATCGTAAATACTTCTATAAGAAACATGGGCACTTCAAGAAAGATTGTCCAAAACGAAATGAATGAATCTAAATAAAGGGAATATGAGATACATCTAAGGGATCCAAAGACTAGATCATATAATAATTTGGAGAACAAACATTTAATTCAGACAAGATAGGATCGAAAGAAGATAAGAGGTCAACATCTATCTAACTATGTTTTCCCACTTGATCAAGGGATGCTCTCATGGAAGAGTGTTGGCCCCAAGAGAGCGATGCTTAGGAACAGAGGTGGGGTGAATCTATTCCTACGAATTTCTATGATAATTAGAAATATCTACAATCATTATTGTTCTTGTTATTTTGAGAATGAGCGCCACTACATTAGGAACAGAGAGCCCCTAACAAGTTAGTATAAGAGCTCAATTGTGGTTTACTATGTATTTCTTGTTGAAAAGAGCACGTCAACATTTAGGTGTTCGATGAAAAGATGCAAGATTTTAGTATCTGGTAACTAACAATGCATTAGATGTTGGTTCAACAAATATCGAGGAAGATAGTTAAAGGCAAAAAGACTTACCATCTCAGTGTAAAGATGAAGATAAAGAAGCGTACATGGAATGTGATTTTATTGTGATTCATCTATATTTAGTAGATAATGTGTTATAAGTGGAACTCTAGCTCAAGTTTGAATCTAGGTTTATATGGGCTGCACAGTTGCTTGCAGATGAGGAATTCATCCAACATGTGTTGGTTGGGTACCACTGACGAAGATCAAAGGAGTGGGAACCATCATCCACATCACTAATGCATTGGGAAAAACCTAATTAAAAAGTAATTTCTTTTATTAGTAAGCATTTTTTTGTATACAAGATCATTTTGATTCCAGACGTTTACCTTTCCATCACTTCATGAGGGATAGGTATTGAGGGGTATCTATCATCACTCTATGAGGAGAGGCCGTGAGGACCAATATAATATCCTTCCACATATATTGTCGCTGTCCAACATACACTGTCCTTCAACCATGATATGTTACCATTGACCATCAGCATATTGTCATCAACCATCCATTAGCTATCTACCACCACCATTGGTCATTATTGTCATTTGTCACCATCATTCAATGACTACCACCATCACCTATCATTTCTTGCTATCATCTGCTTCCCACCGCACCAAATATAATAAACCAAATATCCTAAAAGCATCCAGCAAAATCACCTAAGCATATAATAGAACAAAAAACTCAAAATTCTCCACACCCCAGATCCCCACCATAAGTGAGTCTTAGAATCTTAATGTTAGACAACATGACAATTAAGAAGATAAAAGGAAAATAATAGTAACTAATGAGTTGTCTCAAGATAGCACTTTTTGAGATATATGCTTGAAATGTCATTGACGTGGACATGGTACTTGTCAATGGTCCACACATACTTTTCATGTATGAAAATATGAAGTAAAATAATTACGACTTTGATGTGTATTTCTCTATTAAATAGGTACACACAAGAAAGATGTCAAGTTAATCTTTGAATCACCTTTGTTTCTAAATTATATAAGTTATTGATCTATTACATTATTTCTAAAATTATTGTTGAGTGCTATGTAGATAGGCTCAGTTATTAACATATCTGGTGGATAGCATTGTGAGAAAAACTTTCAATTAGTCAATCAGATGTAAGTGGAGCATCTTAATTCGAATTAGCTTTTTTAATCATGTCAATTAGATGTGTTTTAATTTTTGTGGATGACTACTTAATCTTCTCTTAGTTAAATTTATTAGACTCATTGAATCAATGCGAAAGTCATTCTCTAATGTCATGAGTTATTCATAAACATGAAAAATTCTAAGAGATGAATTTAATAGAGATAATGGAGTTATGACAGTCAAACTTCAAATAATTCATAGAAAATCTGAAACCATTCATATAAAATATGGTGGATATTGTTTCAATTATTATTAATCAAATAATATTTTTTTGATAAGATATTTTTGGAATAAAATTATTGAATATTTTTTTTAGAAGTCTTCCACCTAAATTTGATTATGTTATTGTTGCCATAGAAGAGTGTAACGAGTTGTCTATTTATACTCAAAATAAATTGACAAGATATTTAGTGGCACATAAAAAAAGAATGAATCGATTTATAAAAAAATAAAATGGACAAACATTTCAAGTTAAAATTAAAATTTCAGAAATTTTTTTTTTAATGAAGTCACTATAAACCAGCACATGATAATAGAAATAGAGGTCATGGAAGAAGAAATGATAGATCTAATTATGGACAACATAAACATGATGGTGAAAACAACCATATTAACAAACCCAATTATAAAAGGATACCATGTCATTTTTTTAAGAAATATGAAATACCCCAATTTCCACTTAATGTCGAATTATAGTATTTTATTTTGGTGAGTATAGTTAAAGGAGATTATTAAGGTACCTTGTGACAATTGTCCTTCATTTGTAGTTTGTCTTGCAAAATCAGCTTTGGTAGTAAGAGAGAGAGAGAGAGATTAAGAGCGAGAGGTTGAAACTTAGTGTATCTTCATTATCAGAATCATGATTAAGCAAGGAATTGAGGTATATATAACCTTTACATTAAGATAGAAAGAGAGAGAGGTGGAGCATGGTACGCCTTCCCCTTCCTCACTGAAGAAGGCCCTCATCACCGGCCCACTTACGGCGCATGGAAACATAACCAGCCAATACTGGGCCGGTCCCATACCAAGCCATCGTCGTTCCCAAACATTCGGATAAGCCAGGAGCCAGGGACAAAGATAACCAACCCCTCAGACCCTCCCCTCCGGCGGCGGCGTGGCGGAAGCTCACCGAGAGTAACGACCGGCGAGGAAGAAGGACGGAAGGAAGGCGATGGCCGAGGAAGGAGACGGCAGTAGCGGCCGCGCCGGTGGAGGGAAGGGAGACGGATGGAGGTGGTCTCTGAGGGGAATGACGGCGCTGGTCACCGGAGGCACAAGAGGAATCGGGTTAGCGCCCCCACATCCCTCCGTAGTTTTCTCTACTTCCATTCATGCGTGTACTCTGTCTGGTTCTTCTCTATGCTCCTGATCTTGGGTTTTGATGGCGGCGCCGCAGTGACCCCTTGCTCCGATATCTTCTCTCGCAGGCACGCCGTCGTGGAGGAGCTGGCGGGGTTTGGAGCGGCCGTGTACACATGCTCCCGGAAGGAGACCGAACTCGCGGATTGCCTCCAAAAGTGGGAGAAGATGGGGTTCTCTGTCACCGGATCCGTATGCGACGTCTCCCTCCGGGATGAACGGGAGAAGCTGGTGGAGAAGGCTGCTGCTGCATTTGGTGGGAAACTCAACATCCTCGTAAGTCTCTCAGTTCCCAGATCTACTCCGCCTTCTGTGGATTTTTATCTTCCTTCTACGAGAGTTGGCCGATCGGATCGGATCATCAGAGGAAAACAGTAATAATCTGAGCAGCAGTTGGATGGGGAGACTCCATGAAAGTCGAGATAGGACTCTCCCTTGGGCTCCCCTCCTCCCGTGTTCTTCCTTCCCACCTCGGACTGTTTTCTTTCTTGCTTCTGTGGTGATTACCTATTTCCTCTTCGATAAGAGTTTCATCTTCTGTGGTCGATCGAAACATCGCATTGGGTCCATCTTCTGCCGTGACTCCTCATATTATCCGACCTCCCTTGATTGGCCCAACCACATCAGGAGTTTACCCCGGAAGCTGAACTCGAGCTCGCTCAGATCGAACCGAACAGGATGAGGGGTATTCAAATGGGATCGATCAGAGTCGAATTTCCTCTTTATGATCGTCAGGTAGGATCCAACGGATTGAACAACAAAACACTCCGGCAGATCCGAAAAAGATCGTCACTGCCTTTCATCTCGGGGGAGTCGCTTCAAAATGGCGAGATGGGCACGTGGTAGCCAGGGGGACCGTACTAATTCGGTGATCCTGGAAGCAACTTACCCACAGTCAAACAGATGATACCGTTCAGCTCAGGATTCTGGGTCAACTTTTGCCCGATGTTCACGCAGTAAGCACAAGGAAAGGAGAGGAGGGAGGAGGCGATGTACCCTACCAGTCATTCATCGTACTCTCCCAGATCAGATCTTCGAGGAGAAGAGAGCTGTTTCCATCCAATTCTGTGATGAAGACTCGGAAAAACAGCCGAGACGAGTACCCAGATGGTGACTCCACAGAAATGTATTCCAGATCCTTCGTTGCGGGGAACGAAGTGCTTCTCACGGCTTTGGCTTATTGATTCGGAAGCTCGGAAGAGCTCGGGCTGGGTCATACTCACCCGTTTATATCACCTTTTACGACTTTTCAAGCCTCTTGACATGCCCCCCGATTTCACGGAGCTTCTAGTCGTTATCATAACCTTTACCTGATGAATTTCTTGGGGTTGACCTTTTCCCCAGGTCAACAACGCCGGGACGAACACAAGGAAGCCCACCGTGGATTACTCGGCGGAGGAGTACTCGCACATCATGAGCACCAACCTGGACTCTGCCTTTCATCTGTGCCAACTCTCCCATCCCCTTCTCAAGGCCTCCGGCGAGGGAAGCGTCGTGTTCATATCCTCCGTCGCCGGGTTGGTGGCCATCGCCAGTGGATCCATCTATGCCGCGACCAAAGGTAGCGATCGCATCATCTCTTCCAAGCATTTACTCTATTCGATTTATTCCATTTATTCATATGTGCCGTTTTCGGGGCATTTATTTCCAGGGGCCTTGAATCAGCTGACTAGGAGTTTGGCCTGCGAATGGGCCAAGGACAGTATCCGTGTCAACTGCGTCGCCCCCTGGTACATCAACACCTCCCTCGTCAAGCAAGTAAGGCTCTTTCTTTATTTTTATTTTATTTTATTTTATTTATTTTATGAGTGTAATTTGAGGGGCGGCGGGGGTCAACGCGGTGGGCGACTTTTGTCTGTCTGTCTTTCCATGCAGGTGCTCGAAGACGGGGAATTCACCCAACGGGTGATCGGCCGAACGCCGCTCCGCCGCGTCGGAGAGCCCACCGAGGTCTCCTCTCTGGTCGCCTTCCTTTGCCTGCCGGCGGCGTCGTACATCACCGGCCAGACCGTCGCCGTTGACGGAGGGATGACGGTCAACGGCTTCTTCCCGACTCATGGTTAAACGTGGAGGGGGAGAGAGAGAGAGGGAGCAGCCTTCCTTGGCTCCAGACCTGGGAGAGAATAAAAAGGCCTAGCGGGCCATTGGGGACATCACTCGTAGATGGTGGCGCCTGGTGGTGACACGTGGTGACTTGCCTTCCGTCTGATTCCGGTGCTAAAAAAATGCCCAATGTTTCCTCGACACGGGCCCAGATACGACTCCCACCGCGACAAGGAATAACTTCTGCTCTTATCTCGTGGCAGCCGCGGGCCCGTCAGAAGATTTGGAGGGACCGCGGCACGATCTCTGCGGTGGCGGGTCTCGAGGGGGGCTGCCACGTGGCACGAGGAGAAGGCAGACCCCCTCCCCTGCCGGTAAATTACACCCTCCTCCCACAAAACAGGTTCTATTTACGGGTGTACCCGCGACGGGGCTATGTTCGTAAAAATGGTTCTATTATTGGCACATCATAAATGTGCGGAAACGTTTTGGCGCGATAAAATGAGAATTTCGGAGCTCATTAATTATTAAAGAGCGAGCTGGGGAAGCTGGGGCAGGGGGAGGCGAAGAGGTCCACGGCACCTGCATAATTGAAAACCGCCGTAACACGCGTCGATCGGCGGGGTGACTCGACAACACGCCAGCGGGGGGGGGGCACGTTTCATGCGGTCGGGCCCACAACCGCTGGGGGCCTCGCCGCCGCGTTTAAAATGGACGTCGCGGCCAAGCTCGCCACGTTGCGAGGCGAGAGGAGGCCACCGCACAGCAGAACTGGAATTATTAAATGAGATTATTTTTTGAAAGGAACTCAGAGCTGTTGACGCGAGCGGCTCGGACCGCTGGAGGTCCACGGCGTGCCTGAATCGTGTACGGCCACGATAGGCCCACGCGTTCGGATCGCCCATCGCCGCCCACGCGTCCGAAGATGAAACGGTGTGCTAACGTGGACGGTCGAGATGGCTCCCCTCTCACTGGTCTTCCAATGTGGGCTCCCCAGAGCTCGGTCCGAGGATGGCTCCTGTTGAACCATGAATCCTCCTCCCTCTCTCGCTCTGTCTCTCTCTCTAAAAGGGTGGAGAACGGTGGCCGACCTCCCTCGTTTAACGGACCGGCGGAGGAGGGAGAAAGCAGCGATCGGGGAGGAGGTGGATTTCCGGCGACGGGGCGTGCTTGGGAATTAAAAGACGAGGAGGAGAGGGGGGGGGGCCTCGAGATGGCGGAGATCTGCTGCGGCGTGGTGAGGGGGCGGGAGGCGTCGGCCGGCGCCTGCGAGCCGAGCTCCCGCGCGGCGAGGAGGCGCAGGATGGAGATCCGGCGGTTCAGGTTCGTGTCAGGTGTCGCGGCGCCGCCGGCGGGCCTTGGCCGGAAGAGACAGAGGATCGAGCGCTGCAGCTCGGCGGCCATCTCCGCCGCGTCGGGATTGCCCCTGGATCTGGAGCCCGCTCTGGCGGCGAACCCCTCGGAGGCGGAGGATTTTAAATCGAAGTCGGATTCGAGTGATTCCCCGATCTCGGTTGCGTCGCCGCCGTCGTCGTCGTCGTCGTCTTCATCGTCGTCGCCGTCGCGGGCGGGGGAATCGCCCGCCTCATGCCGCTGCCCGAAATATGGCATGATCTCCGTCTGCGGCCGGAGGCGGGACATGGAGGACGCCATTTCCATCCGGCCGGGGTTCGCCGAGGAATCGGTGGGATTACATTTCTTCGGTGTCTTCGACGGCCATGGCTGCTCTCACGTAAGAATCTCACCCTCAGTCCAGACCTATGCCTTAGGCTGTCCTCCCCAATCACCTCATATCTTCTTCCCGCTTTCTTTTGGCAGGTGGCCGTGTCCTGTAAGGATCGGATGCATGAGCTGGTGGCGGAAGAGCTCAGACGCGGCGGCGGCGTCTCCTCCTGCCTGACGGAACCGGAGTGGAAGGCGATGATGGAGAGGAGCTTCGCTCGCATGGACGCGGACGTGAGCAGCGGCTGGAGCGTCGGCACCCTCCGGAGCGCCAACTGCCGCTGCGAGATGCAGATCCCCAAGTGCGACCACGTCGGCTCCACGGCGGTGGTGACGGTGGTCACGCCGGACCGTATCGTCGTCTCCAACTGCGGCGACTCTCGCGCTGTCCTCTGCCGGAAAGGCGTCCCCGTCCCCCTCTCCGCCGACCACAAGGTAATAATAGTCGTTCAGATCGCCTCTCCCCGTCTGCAAGTTTAGATCCTTCCAATCGTGCCGATGGCTCCGCGCTTCCTTCCGACAGCCGGATCGGCCCGACGAGCTGGAGAGAATAGAGGCGGCGGGAGGCCGCGTGATCTACTGGGATGGAGCGAGGGTTCTCGGCGTCCTCGCCATGTCCAGGGCCATCGGTGAGCCTCCTCTTTCCCTGTGCCCCTTCCCCTGGCTGATTCCGCGGTGGCCCCAACGAGGTCGCTGACCTTCTTCTTCCCCTGTGCCTCCTGCTTTCTCTCTCTCAGGGGACAATTACCTGAAGCCCTACGTGATATCGGAGCCAGAGGTGACGGTGACCGAGAGGACGGAGGAGGACGAGTGCCTCATCCTGGCCAGCGACGGGCTCTGGGACGTGGTGACCAACGAGATGGCCTGCGAGGTCGTCCGGATGTGCCTCCGAGGCAGCTCCTCCCCGGCGAAAAAGGAGAGGGCAGTCTCCCCGCCGCCGGCGGAGGCGGTAGCTGGGGGCTCCGCCGTGGAGTCCGACAAGGCCTGCAACGACGCAGCGCTCCTTCTGACGAAGCTCGCGCTGGCGAGGCAGAGCGCGGACAACGTCAGCGTGGTGGTCGTCGACCTCCGCAGGAAGAGCTCGTAGCGGCAGCGGGCGGCGTTCGCCCCGCTGCCGGTGATCCTTGAGAAATCGTTTGTATTCTTTACTGCGCCGGCCTGGAGTCTGACCGGTCAGCGCGGGAGCTACTTGCCAGACGAGACGCGAGAGAGAGAGAGAGAGAGAGGATCCTCGGGTCGGTATTCACCGGCGTCGTTCCACCCTACCTTCGGAGGCCAAGGTCAACATCATCACCAGGAGCCTAAAAGCTGATAGTTTTGTCTCTGGGATTTTGTATCACCACGAGTTCAAAAGTCAGCACCAGTGGTCTAGTGGTAGAATAGTACCCTGCCACGGTACAGACCCGGGTTCGATTCCCGGCTGGTGCAGTTCCAACAAAGTCAAATCTTTCTTTTGACCCCTTGATCTCGCGGCAACTTTTAGATTTGTCCGCAGGAAGAAGACGAAGGGGACTTCGAAGAACAAGAGTTTTTTTAGTATATGATCACATAAATAGACCCAATCCACCGACCTCCTGATCAGGAGTCAACACCACGCAGATGCACACACGCGAGAGCAGAGTTGAGAGAGAGGAGGCTGCAGACGTCGGGCCTCAGCTCTGCTTCGCATCGCCCTCGAGGGCCTTCACCTTCCAGTAGCCCTTGTCTGTTCCGTACAACCTGGAGAAAAGAAACCGTCCATCAGGAGTTTATTTTATTGTCTATGATGATATTTTTAAAATATAGATCGATACATATATAAATATACAGATGTATTACTTCGCCAACTATCCCAGGAAACTGATGAGCTGCCATAAGAAAAGACGGAGCTAGGCGAGCATGGGTCAACGCGGAGATGGCGGTGAAAGGCACGTGAAACAGAGGGCCGCCGGCCTTTCTCAAGGGTCAACGCACCGAAAGGTGGGGAAGATCGAGAGGGGATGCCCTTGGCTTACCAGTCCATGTAGGTGAAGGTCGAAGAATAATTCCCGGACTTGGTGTAGAGCACCCGATGATGGTAGTCGTGGAAGTGAGAGCTGCGTTGACAGAGGAAGCAGCAGCGAAGCTGAGCCCCCCGCCACCAAGAAGCATTCGCCAGAAAGGGAGAAGTCAACCGGAAGAAGAGAGAGAAACTTACCCCCCGTACAGAGGTATATAGTGCGAGAGGCTCCAAGGGAACTGGTAGCCGCAGTGGGCCTCGACGGTCTCGAGGACCCTCAGAACCATCCACAGCCACAGCGTGAAGAGGTGAGGGCCGGTGAGAGCGGGCCCCAGGATGGTGGCAAAGCCCAGAAACAGTATCTCAGCGGGGTGGGCGTACTCGGAGGTCAATCCAAACGGCGTAGCGTACCTGCCATAGAATACACACGCAGCCCGCACAGTTGACCAAAGCGGGGGAGGGGCGGCGGAGAAAGGAGGAGTGCATCGGGCGGGGGGTGGTACGGGCGGAGCGAGATTTACTCGTGATGAACGCTGTGGACGTGCTTGTACAGCCACTTGGTGTGCAGGACGCGATGGCCCCAGTAGAACAGAAAGTCCTCGAGGATGAAGTAGAAGAGGATCTGGGTGAGGACGACGTCCCTGCAAAAATGAGTCAACGCTCGATAGAAAGCATCAGCTCAGCCACCGCATGTTGGATCCGCCGATAGAAACCGATGAGACCTTCTTCGGCTGGAGGCCAAGAAGACGTTTCTAACCAATCAAGCGCGGGATGGGGATGACGATACCAGGGCGGCAAGGGGAGGGTGGTCCTCAGGCCCATGCGCTTGAAGACGGGATAGGAGGCGAGCATCACCGGCAGATTGACGCAAATATGGTAGAACATGAGGCGCAGGACGCACCTTCCCTGGGCGTCGAAAGTGTTACTCTTGCTCTGCAAACAAACAAACAAACAAACAAACAGTATCGGCATGAACAAAAAACCAACAACAACAACAACAACCACGTCGGTAATCGAAAAGAAATTATATGTGCCGCTGCCGCTTGATGCAATCGTTTTTTATATGCATACGCACGAAGGTAGGTAAGCATGCATGCATGCATGCATGCTGCCGGACGATGAGGCAGGGATGATGAGCATGATGGCGAGTAGACACCATCTCACAGCCCACTGGGAAATTGACCAGGTGCCCATGAGCTGGGGATAAGCACAGAAAGTCTCATCTATAGATCTCGACAACATGATTTCTGTCGTCCCTTAACTTCCAACGTGAGATTCTTCTGACAGGCTTATCCTCTAGGAAAACCAAAAAAAAAAAAAAAAAAAAGAGAATCTCAGGCGTCATCTGAGGGATGATATTAAGATGGCCCACCAGGGGTGGAAGAAAAAATCTCTCTTTCTGTATTAAAACCAGGAGTGGAGAAGAGCTTGGGCAGGCGTGCAGGCCGTCTTTCACGATTAAATTATGGAGAAGGAAAAGGCCAGGAGCTACACGAAGAAGCTTGATTGCAGCTAAATGTCTGCCATCCCATCCAAACAGGATGTCCGATGAACACTTGATACAAACTAGAGACAGTGTGAAAGGTTCGAGGCGTGCAGCTCGCTGATAATGCTATGTCCATAACTACCTCCAATGAAAAAAAAATAAAAGGCTCCGAGAAAGTGCCTGTCATACAAAGTTTGACCAACGGAAATATGCACATATTCGGCCTTTTTCTTGCATTAGTCTTAGCTTTTATGCGTGTGGACGCAGCTAAAATTGAACGAGCTTCAAAGCTCACGAAGGAAATTTGACTGGAAAGGTATCCGACAGCAAAATTTACATCATTCATCTTCCGGCAGAGAACTCTGTTGCAAAAAAACGGAATAATATGCACCCGATAATTTAATAGAAATTACGATTAGGTGATAGAGACGAGATTAATGACCGATCCCCCTATTCTACTGTCATAAAGAAAAGAGGAGACTGCCCAACCTGGATTTTATATTTGCTAAAGAACCCTGCCCTTTCGAGTACCATAAATGGGAGCCCAGACAGGAAGAACACACTTTCATGGAGGAGGAAAGTGCCCACAGAAGCTAGTTGAAATTCGCTGAAATGGGTGATCAGATACTGCAAAAACAGGCAAAACAATCATTCGAGAATAAATAACCTGTTAAAAGAAGAGCAGCAGGTGAAGTTAACCCATAAGGTGGTGACAATTACAGCACCAGAGTGGATGAAAAACTGCAAATAACTACGTAGACGATCACAGAGTTCATAAAGAGCATGCCCAACGCATGGGAATCGTTCGAAATCCTTCCTCAGAGTTCGTAAAGTGCTTCCGCCCATTGCTATTAAGACAATGCCAGCAACTTACTCTCCCTTTCAAGCTTGAAAACTACGACCCAGAGGCCATGCAAATAATCGACGATTCATTCCTCCCCAAAGAAAAACTAACGATTTCTTCTCACAACGAAGCACTAGATTTTAAGCAGAAAACCTCGGGCTCTCATTAATCTTCAGGTGTCCTTTGAGAACAAAGCGGTGAAGTCCAAGGGAATCATCTCCGAAGTACTGGGGGATGTACTGCGCTTCCCAGAACTCATTGGCCCATTCGTTCCCATGGAATCGATTGATCTTACGGTATAAACCATTTAACCTAGACATCCAACGGGCCATTTCCTCCAATGCGTTTAAAACGCGACAGGAGCTCCACGCTTCGTGAGAATTTTCCACAAGAGTCGGGCTCGCATAGCATAATAGGGCAATATGTTCACGAATGCGATCGCAAGATTTTAGTGAAATGATCGGAAATTTTCCGCGCCCCCAAAACGGAGAAACCTAGCCAGACACGAAAACCAGGAGCCTATATGGAAAGAGGAGGGGGGGAGAACGGTGACCAAATCCCTATGAGCAGACTTTAATATATTAAGGAAGACAGACTAATAGCTGTTAAGAACTCTGGATTGAAGATTCCTCGTCCGCAATATGGCATCTGGGACACGTCTCCCCGTCCCCACGAACACCCCCGCGAGCTGGTCTCGACGGGAGACGCAAAACCGACGGATCGATGAAAGGCCTCGCCGACGATCAAAGGGAAAGCATAGGAAACAGGGAGAAGACGATAAATGGAGAGAGCTCCGCTGGGATGCCGGGGAAATGTACCTCCCATCCCGATTCGATGAATGCCGCCATGGGAGGGCCTGCGATGGTGCCAATGCAGATCAGATCCAAGCGGACTCTGCTCTAGCTTTAGAAGGAAAAGAGCATTCAGGCCACCACGATTTCAGGGAAGAGAGAGAGAGAGAGGAGAAGAGAATGTGGACGTGGATAGCTCGCATCCATTTATACCCAGGAGGGAATCTTGAGGCTTTCGAACGTCGCGCACTACCCACATCGTCCCCCCTGACCGCGGGTGCTCTGCCGAGAAAGAGAGACAGACAGACAGACAGATAGACAGACAGACGGAGAGAGACAGAGAGGCAGAGAGACGGGGAGTGTAGAGAGAGAAAGCGCGAGAGTTCAGAGAGAGAGAGAGAGAGGAGATCACCCGATTGCCAGAGTAGCTCTGTCACAGTCGACACGTCTCCTTCAGAATCCGGCCTCCACCTCCGGCTTCGATGGCGAGAGAGGAGGCAAACATTTATGGCCACGTGGCATCCGTGCCAAACCCATGATCGCACCGCGGGGGACCTGCCACCGCGGCGGACCTCCGCTCACCTGTCTCAGTCAAGTCAAACTTGATTGTGGGCCATTTATGGGCTACGGCTCGGCCCAATAATAGCGGCTATGGATTCTAAATGGCTTACTGTCGTAGGGTTGACCTCTGGCGCCATGCATAGGGGCCCTGGGACGTGTCTCTTGGCATTGACTTTCCATCGCCACGGCCTAGGTTTATTTCCTTGGCCTTCCTATTTTAAGGGAATCAGTCCGATCTCATGCAAGATCCTAGTAAGGTCTTACCGGCCATTGGCTGTGGGAAAGATACTTTAACGGGGTCATTTAATTAATACTAAATTGATTACACACATTTTACATAAACCTTAGCGTTGACTTCTATTCCCAGGAAGAAGGGTATTACCTCTTTTGGCCCTCTAGGGAAGAGCTCATACACATGCAACAGGTCGCAAGTCAAATGGTTCATACCTGTGGAAGTAATGGAGAGATCAGATTACTTGCTCAATACCTGAAATAAATGTTTTTTTTGGAGGAGAAATATATATTTTTTTAAGAAATGAGTTTGTGGAAGGAAAGCAACAATTTTAGAAGATGTGAAATAAGGTCAAACCAATCATGATCTCTAGGTTGACCAAGACTCTCCTGAACTTTGACTGAATCTATTCAATCATAAGCACAATGACTAATAATAGAAAAGGGTGAGCTCCCCTTGCTCCACTTGAGCATTAAGCTTAATTATCCCCCTTAAAAAAAGTATTATCTTGTATAAATCTTGCCTCTTTACTCATGTGGGCCACACCCAAGAGAAACCAAACACCAAGATCATGTGATAACCATGGTGAAACAATCATGAAGGTAAGGGATTAAAGCTATGATCTAAAGAAACTAGTCCACATGTTGATCTAGACAAGCATTTAACTACTTCTAATCAATAAATCAAGATAAGTTCTTCAGGTGAAATGCAGAAAAAGTCATATTCAACTCATTTAGTTAACAACCTTATATTGATGGCCCTCTAAGACCAAAAAAAAAACCATGAAAAAGTTGCATTCACTAATATCAAAATATGTGGAAGTATAGTTGCAATCAAGCAAGAGCCAAGCATAAGATTCATGATAGAATCAAATTTTATCCATGACAAAAAACAAATGAATATTCACTTTTAAAATTTGATCAAGAGCATACACACAATAGAAAGTCATTTGAAATACTAATATTGGGTTTTCGGTGAAATTTTGATTTTTAGTGTCTTCCATACAAAAAAAATAGATTATATCATAAGAATTTCTTATTAGTTTTCCAAAAAGAGGGTGGAATGTCACCAAGATGATTACATGAACAATTAATAGCTCAGAAATTATAAACTTTAAAATAATATATATAGTTTCATGTGAGGCATCCAATGATAGTAGACTTGGACTTCATTTCATGGGGCGTTGACTTACATACAAGTAAACTGTCAAACACATATATAGTCTAAGATTTCTTGTTTCAAGATTAATGTGCATTCACTAACATGACAACTTTACCCCAAATCCCAAGTTTGATAAGTGCAAAGATTTAGAAATCAGGATCAAATCTAATATAGGCTGCAACAAATAAAATTCAAACAATATTACATTACTAGGCTCCTATGAATAAGAGACTAAGTTCTACCGCTTGGAAATTTAGATTTTTTTTTTCTTCTTGTAAATGTGGTTCTATACCCCTTATTTCCAACCAAGTGTGTATATGGTGCATTGCTAAACTATACTTTGAAAGTATCTTAAAGTGATTGTGAGTCATTCATTTTGAAAATTACTGAAGAAAGTTGATTATAAGTGTTGTATTGTAGGCTTTTGAGATTAGCAGAAGAAGGATAACACATAATTACTTCATTGTTAAATTAACAAAAATAACATGAAAAGAATGATCGTGGGGCATCTTAATTGCACCTAAAATGAAATCTCTTATGTCTTACGTTACTTCACACATGAGTGAGAACACATGTAAACCTGTGTATAAATACTCACTTTCACATGAAATGAATCAAGGGCTTATCTTTTATTTTATTTTTCCTCATTACTCTTATAAGCACCAGCTTTGAATCGAGCAATTCTTTCTCATCTATGTCTATCTCAAGTTAAGACAAACATAATATGGTATTGATAAGTCTTCATTATCATGAGTTAATAATTAATAAATAATATAGTTTTAGCCTTAACTCATGATAAATAGACTTATATTTGTGTTAAAGAATGATTTGTGATTTTCAATTGATTAACGTGAATTTTTGAGTAATTATGTAATTTTATACGATTTTTACAATCTTACTTTTGAGATAAATGAAGAACAAGAAAGAAAAATAAAAATATTACAAAATGAAGGACTTGCCAGCCAGCTGGGCCTGCAAGCGGGTCAGAACGATAAGTCACCATTTTTCCGTTCCGCTAGTTGACAGCCGCCGGAGACGATTTGACGACTCACTTCATTGATCTCTAGACTTCGCGAGAAGATCTAAAGATTGTTCACATCATCTTTGTCCAAGGAGAACTTTCAAGGCCATGGACACTGCACAACAATCCTCCCGAACGTTTAGGATTTCGGTGCATCGCCGACGCATTACCGTCGCGATGCTGGATCTCTATTTTCTTGCTTTCAATTTACTTTACGCTTCATTTAGTGATAATTTTTGTGTTTTTAATTTACCAAAATATACTTTATTATATTACAATTTTTTCGACTTTTACATATCTTAATTTGATCAATTAAATCATCTGTAATCACTTACGTAAGAATCATCGGGCAGAACTCTATTTCTGTTCGATTTACCCTCGTCGGGTGCTGACATCATCTTGACGTCTGCACCCTTATTTCCTTTTTTTGTGAATTTTAAATATATTTCCTTTTTATTTCCTAGTATAAAATTCATAGAAAATCGTATTCATTGAGAAAAATTCTAAATAATTACCAGATATTATATTACATCCTTGTGATCGACCTAGAAAATTATTGTTATTTTTGTATTTTTTATTTAATTATAATTGATATACTTATTTAGAAATACTTCTAAGTATTTAAAAATTCATATTTTCTAGTTTTATAAATTTTATATTTACATGATTTAATATACAACGACTGAGTCACGTCAGGTATCAAAGCACATGTGTTACTTTCTTATTCTTATTTCTAGTTGATGTGATATATCTCTACACTACTTTAAGAAACAACGAAGGAGTTGAGTTCTCTATACTTCTATTTTAATTAATTATGATATGTTCATCATGACAATACAATCCATAGATACATCAAGATTGTCTTTGAAAAAAGACTTTATAGATAATTCATTAAAGTCTTATTTTTTATATCATTATGATAGTCTTGGATTAATCCCAATCTCTCAACAATTAAAAAGAGACAATTATACATCATGACATTGTGTTATGATTATAACAATTGTAGTGAAAAATAAGATATTATTTATTAATATATCAATTCCTAAAGCAAAGAATAAAAATGCTATATTAATGTTAATCTAGGACAAGAATAATAATATAGTCATTTTTTGAATATTAAATTTTATTTTTTTGAGAAATTAGCCATCATCATTTATGTAGATTCAGCATATGAAATAGGAAAAGATCTTAGAGATAGGTATCATGAAAGTAATAGAGCTAGAATTTTTCAATTACAACACGATTTAATGAATCTATGTCAAAGTCAAGATTCAATCATAATGTATTATAGATAGATGCTACATGCTACATGCTACATAGATATCCATTAGGGTATAAGTCAAAAGTTAAACATTAGAAGTCAAAAGTCAAAAGTTAATGTCAATCAAATTTTATCAAGTTTAGACTCTAAAATCAGTCATAAGATGATGTGACATTAGAAGCTTACTTAAAAATATAACCTATATCTAAAATTAATTGATGTCTACACAATTAGCTTCCTCAACATCAATTCTCAATAAGCAAAAATTTACTTCATCAATATACTTCACAAATACTTACTTTTATATTTCATTGGGTCCCACCATATCTAGAAATGATCATTTAGTTAGTTCTCGAGCATCAAGATACATTTGTTTAAATGTCAATACTTTCATCTCATTACAATGAATATGAAATTTAATAGTCACATTGCATAACAATACACACATATTCATCAATATATAGAGTGATGTGAAATTGAAATCACAATTGCCTCTTAAATGTCTTATTCTTGTCCTAGTTAAGTTCATTCTACTCTCCATGAATGTTGTGACTACAAACTCATGAGTTCATATCTAATTTTTTATCATTATTCTATAATTCAAGATGTCTTTTACAAGATCATAATTGGCAAGGGTAAAAGAATTGATGATCTCTATATTTTAGAGTCAATGATTTTATCTCATTTGACTTATTACAAAATGAATCAAACTTAAGGGAACATTATCTCAAGTCAACAATCGCACAAAAGGTTAGGACATCTTTTCACAAAAGTTTTTAAGGTGATCAAATCTCATTTATCTTTTGTTTATCCTTCTAAGA